TGGCCATGGATACAACCACTCCCGTGGCGGAGCAGGGGACGGATCATGCTATGGCGAAACGGGTATTGAGGAAGATTGACAGACGACTCATACCGCTGCTTTTCGCAACATATATGTTCAATTTCATGGATAAAACCATCTTGTCGAGCGCGTCGGTCTTCGGGATGAGACACGATACTGTAAGAACAGGTCGAGAGAAAACAAGAACCATAACTAAGATCATTTCCAGGGTTTGGTTGGCCAGCAGTACAGCTGGGTATCATCGGTCTTCTACTTTGGCTACTTGGGATGGGTATACCCAACAACTTTGCTCATTGCTCGTCTGCCCGCCGCCAAATACTTGACAGCCAATACTCTATTTTGGGGTGCTGTAGTGGCTCTCACTGCAGCCTGCACCAACTTTGGCGGTCTCATTACAGTTCGCTTCTTACTTGGAGTCGCTGAAGCAACAATCACGCCGGCTTTTATGTTTATCACTTCGACGTGGTACACGCGTGACGAGATTCCTACCAGGACAGGCTTGTGGTTTGCTGGAAACGTAAGTTGTTTGCTATCGATGTTTTGGATAGAAGCTCATCTTTACACAGAGTGTCGGTGGTATTGTTTCCAGTCTCCTCGCTTATGGGCTGGGTCACGTCAAAGATAACGTTGGACCATGGAGGTGGATGTTCATTGTCCTCGGCTGTGCAACATTCCTTTGGGGATTCGCTATCTGGACTCTACTCCCAGACTCAATCTCCAAGGCCAAATTCCTAACAGAAGAGGAACGCCAGTTCGCAAGCAACAGAGTAGTTGTTGCAGGCACAGGCGCAACGGAGGAGACCGCATGGAGATGGGAACAGGTCGTTGAATGTCTGATGGATCCCAAGACGTGGCTTATATTCGGACTGGAGCTTTGCACTCAGATCCCCAACGGAGGAACGCAGAACTTTGCCAATCTGGTGATTGTCTCCTTTGGGTTCACGAACCTGCAATCGACGCTGCTCACCATCCCTTACTCGCTCATCACCATAGCTACAATCACCGGAACGGGTTGGCTGGCTGGTCGTTTCCGCCAACTGAACTGCTTGCTTATCGTTGCCGTTGTGCTCCCTTGCGTCATCGGCAGTGCGATCATTTACTCCCGAGCGCATATCGTCCTCGGGGTGCAATTCTTTGGATATTTCCTCTTGTCGACTGGGCCTGCGGCAATGCCGCTTGCTATGTCGCTGGTGCAGGCCAATTACCGTGGAGTCACTAAGAAAATGACTGTGACTGCAATGCTCTTCCTGGCTTACTGTGCTGGAAACATCTCTGGGCCTCAGTTCTTCCTCAGTGAGGAGGCGCCGACTTACAACACTGCTTTCCGAACGATCATGATTTGCTATGCCCTCGCTGTCCTCTTAGCGTTGGTTCTGCGTTTCTACTTGCAGTGGACTAATGCTCGCCGTACACGTCTAGAGGGCTTTCAGGGTAGTGCTGGAAATGCCGGTGCTGTTGGTGGGAAGGGATTGGATGAGGATCCCGATTCAACAAATGTGGCGGATATGGTCAACCGAGTGCAGTTGGTATCGGATGACTATGAGGATGTCACAGACTGGAAAACACCAGGCTTCAGATATCGTTACTAGAGAGGCATTCCGGTAGTATATATGTGGACGTATAGACCAGTGGATTAATCATGTTTTCATATATAGTGGGATGTAATGAGTATATTCTATCCCTCGATCCCATTGCTATCACACCAAATAATCATACATATCTCCAAATTATGTTACATCCAAAAGAGGCTCTAGGCAAAGTCACGAGATCAAGACTGAGACTTCTCAGTACTCTGCTTCGGTTTCAACACATAACGCCACGTAGTCCCGAGATGCCAACGCTTCTCCTCCACAATCTCCAACCCACTCTCACGCACAATATCCCCAATATCGCGGTTCCACCAACAACCATGCCGATCCGCATGAGCCGGGGCAAGATTATCCAAAATCCGATTAACCCAATCATAATAAGAACGCCCATGCTCAAGCAACAAGATCCGCCCACTCCCAGGCTCGGTAACAGACCCCAGATGTCTCAGCGTAGCAACCGGATCCGGCATCGAGCAAAGACCCATAGTCTGGACAACAGTATCAAAGTAGACCGGTCCTTCCTTCGTCTTCACCCCAGAACGCGCGAGATCAGACGGCGGCTCAACCTTACCCGCATCACAAGCCCGGAATGTCGCTGGGGACGTAGGATACAATTTCTCAAACTTCTCCTTCGTAATAGCCACCATCTGCGGGCTAAGATCAACAAACGTAACCGATCGACACCCCAAAACCGTAGCATGACCATCGGCATCTAACCCGCGACGCTCGCCGAGCTCGTAGAACGGCAGATTACGCCCCGTGCCGCAGCTGACTTCCAGCACGTTCCCGCGCGCTTGTTGGACTAGATCTCGTCGCTTCTTGCCGAGGCCCATTGCCTTCTCGGAGAGCTCGACATCTGCGTCGAAGGTTGCCGCTGTCGTGTTGTAGCGGTCTGAGACATCGCGCGGCACGTTCAGAGTTTGGGCTTTGCTTACTTCGCGCGTGTAAGACGCGTACAAGTAGCCGCAGTACGTGCTGATGGTGAGTGCTGTGATTCCCAGGAAGGTTAGGGCTCTGGGTGGGATTCCATGGCCTGGTTTCGCTGTGGTTTCAGCGTTGAGGCCTTCGCCTTGAGTGCCCTGTGGGCTTGGGCGCTCTTGGAAGGGTTGGCGAGGCGGAGTTACTTGTCGCCGTTTTATAGCCACTGGCTTGGAGATTTTGGGACTGGGGGATGTTAGTTTGGGGGCTGGGATTGAAGGGTTTTGGTTACATACCTCGGCTTTGGGGGTCGAGGGGCTTTGCTTGATGCATTGCGGCAGGGTGTGACGGGCCACTTTGCAACTAATGGCACTCTGCGTAATTGATTTACGTTCATTATGGTGTTTTGAACTAGCAGAATGGACTGCCAAGGGGCTTTTGTGCAAGACTTGTTGTGCATATACGGTTTGACGCGAGCGAAGATTGAGTGCTTACGCGACAGGGTTGTCAGCCCCCCACGGTACCAAAAGGAGACGGAGGCTCCAAGAAAGGAAACCTGAATTGATTAGATGAAGTCCCGAGGTCAGTTGCACTTCTCATTCGGTATAGATCGGAGTAACGATATCGACCCCAACGATGAAGAAAAGTCGGGAACAGAAGCCGACGACCGATGCCGTTATCGGCTCAACTGTTATCAATTGGAGTAATCCCCCCATATCTCCAATTCTAGCATTCACCCACACACATACGGAGTACATATTTTTACAAATGGCATTGCCGCCCAAGATTCTGATTGTAGGAGGGGGTGTGTTTGGATGTGAGTGTCAACAATTCTAAAAGCCCTATCACTGATCTACATATTCACACTATACATTACATTTCCACTTACTGACATTCCCCAGTATCCACCGCCCTTTCCCTGTCAAAGCGACACCCAGAATCAAAAGTAACAGTAGTAGAGTCTTCACCTACAATTCCAAACCCGCACGGCTCATCCGTCGACACCTCACGGATCGTGCGAGCCGACTATGCCAACGCCGCATACTCCAAGCTCGCCGCAGCAGCCATTGACCGATGGCGGAGCACAGACTGGGGCCGTGATGGCCGCTACACGCAGAACGGTCTGCTACTCGTGTACCCAGAAGACAGTGCCAGTGCCAAGGAGTACGCACGCAAGAGCTACGCCAACGTGCGCCAGATCGAGGGCGACAACGTCACCTTCCTGCCGACCCAAGCGGACGTCCTCAGCGTCGTCCCGGCCTACGGCTCGACTCTCGATGTCGCCGGCGGCTACGTGAACTGGGGGTCTGGATGGTCCGATGCTGCTGCTAGTGTGCAATACGCTAAGACCCTCCTAGACGCTGAGGGCAAGGTTAGCTTCCGTACCGGTGATGTCGAGCGTGTGCTGTACGACACAAACGGCGCGAAGCCTAAAGCTACCGGTGTCGTCTTTACGGATGGTTCGATTCTAGAGGCGGATCTCGTTGTTCTAGCGACTGGCGCGTGGACGTCGAAACTTGTGGACTTGCGTGGTCGGGCTGTTGCGACCGGACAGGCGATTGCTTATATGCGGATCTCTGATGAGGAGCAGCGAGAGCTGGAAAACTTGCCTACGATCTTGAACTTCGCGACGGGCATCTTTATTATCCCGCCCCGAGATAATCTACTTAAGATTGCGCGGCATGCGTATGGATATCTGAATCCGGTTGAGGTGCCGGTTCCTGGTGCAGGGGCTTCGGGCTCGATGGTGGTTAGTTTACCTGAGCAGGGAGTTCCTGTACCGCTTGAAGGACAGGATGCGTTCCGGGTTGCGTTGAGGCAGCTATTGCCGCGGTTTGCGGAGAGGGAGTTTGTTGATACGAGGGTTTGCTGGTATACTGATACGTGAGTTTGGTCCTTGTATTGCCAGCTGCGAGTTGGGTGGTTGTGGTTGGTGCTAATTGACTTACTTAACAGGCCCACGGGTGACTTCATTGTTTCTTATCATCCTGAACATGAAGGTCTTTTCCTTGCTACAGGTGGCAGTGGCCATGGGTTCAAGTTCTTCCCTGTTATTGGAGACAAGATTGTTGATGCGCTGGAAGGCACACTTGACTCCGAGTTGAGGAAGATGTGGACATGGCCTGAGGCTGCTGTGTCGGATGAAGAGGACTTTGATGGCGATGGTAGTCGGTCTGGGGAGAGGCGGGCGATTCTGAAAGACGAGTTGGCGAAGACAAAGAAGGCTTCGCGGAGCAGTGTGCTTTAGGGGTGTATGTATCCCTTGGTGTCGTGTATATAACATGAAGGTTGGATGTACAAAGGCATTTAGATTATACTACAGGCCGAGGCGCGAGCAAAGCTTGAGGCCAAAGTGCTACAAACTACAGTGATCTACTCGAACATATAGAGGAAATTTGTTTCAAGAGATTTTCATTTGACTACTCAAAGGTAGTATCATGGCGAAAAGCCGGTCCATCGACCCCCAGATGGGGGAAAAAAAGGACGGAACTGAATCTAACAGACTGCCTTAGGTCACCATTAATTTTTTTTGGCCCGTGGGAATAGAAGCAATCCTCCACAGATGAAACCATAGAATGATAAATGATTAAATCGAGGCAGTCACCGACCGGCGCACAACCGCCTCACTGCGGTGTGCAGCAATCTAATTGTGTGGAAGAACGCGAAAGTGTGAGGAAAACCGGGGATCATCCGAATCGCTAAAAACGCCCAACTATGCTTGCATGAAAAGAGTCGTAAAGAACCGAAGGAAAAGGGAGGTGCAGACCAAAGCGGGCTGTCCTCATAAAGGGAAAAAGCAATGTTAATACAGGTTTGAAATGCAGAGTGATCTCCTTGGAGCTTTCTTAGACCTTGCGGAAATCTGTGAATGCAAGTCAGTAAAGGCATGATAGCAGTGAGTCCAGCAAGACAGCATACCAGAAAGCACAGGGTAGATCAGCTCGAAAGCCTGGTAGATCTCCTCACGGACTTTAGCGCCAGTCAGGACAATCTTGCCACTAACGAAGATCAAGAGAACGATCTTGGGCTTCATCATGCGGTAGATCAAACCAGGGAACAACTCAGGCTCGTAGGAACTGAAATTGTGGTGACGAGAGGCCAACCCCTCCAGACGGATGGGGAACTTGATGTCGCAAGAGCCGACGATATTCTGGATCTTGAAATCGGTAAACTTGGCGTTGAAACCAAGCTTCTGGATAATACGCGCATACTTGCGCGAAGCCAGCTTCGAATCATCCTCGGACTTGGCACCAGTAACGACCATCTTACCAGAGGCAAAGATGAGAGCGGTAGTTTTGGGTTCACGGATACGCATGATCACGGCAGCAAAACGCTAAGGAGAGAACCAAGTTCAGCCACATTGTACCCTGATGTGCGCCCTCTCAGAGCAATGTGAGGAGTGGTTAATAAATACCTTTGGGTTGTACTCGGCGTTGCGTGCGTGCAGTGCGATGGTCTTGAGATCAAGGCGACAGTCAAGGTTGACAGTAGCAACGATGTTCCTTTTGGAATAACTAGTTCAGCCATTCTGGTCACCCAGAAAAACATCCAGAGTATACTCACTGCAAGGTAGGGACAATGCCACTGCTTCCGGTGGTCGCGCCAGGGGTCGCGGCGGGGGTTGCAGGAGAAGCGGGAGTCACCCCGGTGCCATGCATGGCATTTCCTCCGGCCTGCTGGCCATTCATACCGTTTCCGCCCTGTGCACCCTGTGCCATGGCCTCCTTCTCAGAGTTGGGAGGGGTCAGATCCCCAGCGCCACCAGGGAAAGACAGCGACGATGTAGCAGTGAAGGCACGAGCCTGCTGCGCATTGGAAGGGTGGGTTGTGAGAGAATCCATCTTGATGGAATACTCGAGTTGTGACAAAAAAATAAAGATGGAACTATCAAAAAGGGATGTCAGCTTGAATCGCGAAAAGTCGCGAGATGAGAAGAGAAAGACGCGTCGGGAAGAGGAAGAGGCGCAATGAGGGGAGGAAAGGAAAGGACCCCAAGAGGAACCCAAACAGGGAAGGAACGAAGGAGAGAGGGAAGGTGCAACCGTGGTAAGGACAGAAGAGGAAGGAAGGTCTTACCTGGGAGATGGACAACTCAATGTATCCCCCTACGAGGTATTCGCACGTAACCTCTCGGAATGACAATCACGAGATAGTGTAGGCAACGAAACCAACGCAGTCGACTGGTGAACGAATCAAGAAAAAATCACACTGAAGTGTTTTCTCAAGATAAGCGCGACGGCGATATTATGGACGAAAGGACGGCAACTTTTTTTGGGGTTTCTTTCGAAATGTTTCTTTTGCGCTGTTTTTTTTGGAAAATGGGATTGTCTATCTGCGCGATCTGAAAAAAAGAGAGAGTGGTGAAGCGAAACCTGAGGCTCGACTTCTGGTGATTAGGTCCGTGGACTAAAAAACCTTTTTTTCCCTAAAAGAAATAGAATCAAGGGTCTTTCCAGAGATAAATCAAAGATCTGATTGAGATAGATCTGATTAGTAAGAGAAAGCCGGCAGATATCAAGATTTGATAATCAAGAGGCTTTTTTGAGAGGAGCGGAGGGAAGAAGAATTTCCGAAATAAGATCCGCCAAGACCGAGACAAAATTCCCAACGTAAATTGGGGGAGGTTGGGCCTTTATATAGTGCTGAGTCACAGCCCGGTCAGGGGAGGCTGGGCCGCCGGTGGCGCTAAAAGCAGCAAGACCTTTCTCCCTTCAACCTTGGCTCCATTGCCCGCTAGCGGCTCTGGGAAACCACATCACGAACCAATCACAGCTACGAAACTTCTCCAGTGACTTTCATTCGCCCAACGTACTCCGCTAATCTCTCTATCTTGACCCCTGACTGGTTCAAACACCCTTGCTTTATCCTCCGCGGGCCATGGTTACAGGCGCTGGGTTTGCCAGTCCGCGCTCCTCCTGCAGCTGATAGTCCATCCGTCCCATGCCAATCCAATCATCATCATCGACTATCCTCGGTCACTCCATGTACGACGCGCTATCCTCTTGCCGCTTTAACGGATGGCAACTGAACAAAAATTCTCATTTTTTTGCCTTGTTTCTTCCCCTACCTCTCTGACCTCACCACCATCGGGGAATCACTATAATCACTATAATATCCCAGATTTTGGTGATGGACTAACTCATGATAGGGAGATATAATGTGCACAACTTCTATTTGATCCGACTATATTTGTTCTCTGCATTTCAAAACAGCGACTCTCACCAAAGATTTTGATTAGGACAGGTGGCCGTTTTGATTCTGCCTTAACAGGCGGTGGCGTCCAGGGTTGATCCACACTCCGCCAAGGCTGGATGAATCTCATGGCATGCAATTCTGGCGATGATCGGTCACTTTCTTATTATTCGGATCTATTATTTAGATCTACCGAGTATGATGTTTTGGACTTTGTTATTCACGATAACCCTTCAGGTCACATCATGGTATTTTTGGCATTTTCTAGAGGATTCCGGTATGCTGGTATGGTATAGTATATATAGTATGCTGAATACCATACCCGAAACGGAAAAGGCGTCACATTCCCGGAAATCCAGTAATAATACGGAATACGGCAAACTGCATTTTGATCTGGCCAGACCAGATCGGTGTTTGACACCCTTGAAACAGTTAGTATGACTCAACTATTTAAGGTTGTTTTCTAGCATATAGATATGCAAGATCAATACGGAGTACTCCGTAGTTCTAAAGCTGAGGTCCACGTTGGAATATTTCATTATCACAAGTAAAGCTAAGCATGTGATGCATGTGATCAGTACCGAGTATCTATATCGTATTAAACATGTGGCGCCTAGATGTGACAAGAATCGAGGAAGTACACCATATAGATCTTGAATAATACAACTAAGAAGTTACGCACAGCTGCTAAAAGTTCAATCAAGCTACGGGTGAGAGGGCCCCGACGGCTAGAGGCGATTTCCGCTTCGGGCGACCCATCCATCCGTGGCTGCCTCAGGCCTCCAAATTGAATAATCGCCGAGTTTCCTATTGGTTGACCGAGCTGAGCCGAGGGTAGGCGGTTTTTCGGCGTTTTGTCACTTCCACTCAAAATTCGGGTACTCGAGGACTCTGGGGACATTCGGGATCTACGACCTAAATAGCCTGCGTCTCCGCATTCACCCTTTCGATCTGGTGATGCCAATTGCCGGTCGTTACTAGTAATCCTGGTCTCAGCCCCCGATCTCCAAACAATCTCACACGTCGCGATGGCATCAAAAGGTGCCGTTCTGCCTCTATTGAGGCGTGAAATTCGATCCTCCCGATTCTCACGAGCTACCCCCTCCCTCTCCGCCATCGCCACTCCAGCCCGCCACTCAGCCAGTCCTTTCACAATCTCCGGGCGACACTTAGCTCGGCGAACAGCATTATTCACCGCGCCAACCCAGACACGAGCCTTTTCGCAGTCGCTATCAAAGCGCTTCACCGACGAGAATGGCGACTTTGATCCTCGCTCATTGGAGCGCGAATCCGACGACGTGGATGTGTGCATTGTTGGTGGTGGTACGTGCTTTGTGCCGTATTGGTCCTCCGAAGCAGCCTAACTAAACTTTGGTTAACTACAGGTCCCGCCGGTCTTGCCGCCGCGATTCGCTTGAAGCAACTTGCCAACGAGGCAGGCAACGAAGAGTTCCGGGTTATCCTACTAGAGAAGGCCGGTGAATTGGGCGCCCATATTGTCTCCGGAAACGTTCTGCAACCAACCGCCCTCGATGAGCTCCTCCCCGACTGGCTATCTGAGGACAACCCCTCGCGCTTTGAGGGTGCAACCCCCGCCAAGGGCGAGAAGATGCGTTTTCTGACGAAAAACGGATCTTACCCACTCCCCATGCCGCCACAGATGCACAACGAGGGGAACTATATTGTCAGTTTGAACGAGCTGACCAAGTGGTTGGGAGAGCGTGCGGAAGAGGTTGGTGTGGAGGTGTACCCTGGGTTCGCAGCTAGCGAGATGGTTTATAGCGCAGATGGTTCCGTCAAGGGCGTTGCGACCAACGATCTGGGACTTGCTCGGGATGGAAAGCCCAAGGAGACATTTGAGAGGGGAATGGAGTTCCATGCCCGCGTCACGCTTCTTGCTGAGGGCTGCCATGGCAGCTTGACCAAGCAGGTGACTAAGAAATATGATCTCCGACGAGACAGCCAGCCCCAGACATATGGTCTTGGAATTAAGGAGATCTGGGAGATTCAGCCCGAGAAGTTCCGATCGGGCGAGATCACCCACTCGCTGGGATATCCTCTTCCCAAAGATACCTATGGTGGAGCCTGGATGTACCACTTTGGAGACAACATGGTCAGTATCGGTCTGGTAGTAGGATTGGACTACCCGAACCCATGGCTCTCGCCATACGGAGAATTCCAGAAGATGAAACACCACCCCATGTTCAAGGAGGTTCTCGAGGGCGGCAAGTGCATTTCTTACGGAGCCCGAGCACTGAATGAAGGTGGTTTCCAGTCGATCCCCAAGTGCGCATTCCCCGGAGGTGCCTTGATTGGTGATACGGCTGGCTTTTTAAACGTCCCGAAAATCAAGGGTACCCACACCGCAATGAAATCGGGTATGTTAGCCGCCGAGGCTGCCTTCTCGGCGCTTAAGGGTGAGAACCAAGGAACCGTGTTCTTGTTTGACTATGAGAAATCTCTGCGGGAATCATCCATTTGGAAGGAACTGTCTGAGGTCCGTAACATGCGGCCCTCATTCAACACCCCACTAGGCTTCTTCGGTGGACTTATCTACTCCGGTCTGGAGGCCTATGTGTTCAAGGGCCGAGTGCCATGGACACTCAGCCACCACGGCACCGACGCAGCGGCTACCAAGCCTGCTTCTCAATACGAGAAGATCGTTTACCCCAAGCCAGACGGAGAGCTGAGCTTCGATATCTTGACCAGTGTGAGCCGGACCGGCACCAACCACGAGGAAGACCAACCGGTTCACCTGCAGGTGGAGGACTGGGATAAGCACACGGACCTCGCATGGCCTGTTTACAAGGGTATTGAAAACCGGTTCTGCCCTGCAGGCGTCTACGAATATGTGGAAGACCCTAGCAAGAAGCACGGGGTCCGGTTCCAGATCAACTCGCAAAAGTAAGTCCCCGGGTGTTTACCTGTATTTGAGTAATCTTGGATACAATACTAACCATTTACCAGTTGTATTCACTGCAAGACTTGTGATATCAAGGTGCCTACACAAGACATTAACTGGCAGACTCCTCAAGGTGGCGAGGGACCCAAGTACATCATGACATGATCTTATGAGGGGGACCTCGGGATTGCCTAGAATCAGGGGGTTAATAAAAGAATGGCTGGATATAATTTGATAGCAAAAAGAAGACCAATGTATATAGATGCCCCAAATAGGCCAAACAAAAACAAAGTGAACCAAAAAAAAGACCCCATGGGGTTTGGGCAGAACCGTGGAATGTCAGTGGAGAGAGTCCACGAGGGATAAGCCTTGCTTCCCTTATACTTCTTTTTTTCGGAGATATTCTACATATTTACTCTGATTCAACATATAATCTATAATCTAAATCAATACTCTACGTCTACATAATAAATGTTTCATATTTCTCTCTTCCCCTCTCTATGTTCTATAGTGGAACCACGTGGATCAGAAAAAGTGAGGCGGCCAAAGTTTCTCATCTGTCCACCGCCAGACGGTACTTTCTCCCTTTTCTTCCCCTCTCTCTTTTTTTGTATCTTTTGTATTTGGTTTTTGCTATTCTGCTTTGCTGTTTGACATTGCAGTACTTTGCAGTACATCCGCTCTCTGATCGTTTGTCGGGTTACACGTTACACGCTTTCCTGCAGCAACACCGCATTTCACGGCCTCTCGCTGCATTCCCGCCTTTTCGATCTCTCCCATATTCTCTAGGATTTCCTTTAGCCAGATTTCCTTCCATTATCGCCCATCAGTTATTTCAGATCAGCCATGACTGAGGTGTCTTCGACCCGCCTTTATCTTGGGAACCTTCCCCGCAACGGTATGCTAACACCTGACTGTCTATCTTCCCTGAGCTTTGGAGCACACACGCACCACCTTGCATGATCCGGTCGCTTCGCAAGTCCCCCCAAAGTTCCATGTGCTCTGATCCCTCGTATGCTTTTGTGGAATGCCACCCTTGGCCCACCCTTCCCGAAGTGAGCAAATGGGAGCTTCGGCTACCCACACGGCACAGCTTTCGCCGTGGATGACCATCTGACCGGTGCTTTGGGAATCACCATTTGAGAAGTGATGTGCTAATGTCCTTATTTCATATCTCAGTGACTAAAAGCGACATCGAGGAACATTTCAGCAGCCATGGCTCCGGCAAGATCACCGAGATCAAGCTGATGAACGGTTTCGGCTTCATCGAATATGACGACCAGCTGGATGCCAGAGATATTGTGCCCGGTAAGAATGGCTGAACGGCTTCTTGTATTCCCTTTATTTGTGCAGACTTGCTAACATTGTTTTCCTGCAGCGTTCCGTATGCCCCCCATGACTTCTCCACCGATGACCTCCCCCCCGCTTATCAATACCATAGACGGCAGTGACTTCAAAGGCGAGCGACTCACCGTTCAGTTTGCACGCGGCCCTCGCCGCAAGGAGGCCTTCCCGGGACCACCAGACCGCAATGCTCTCCCTCGTCCACGTCGCACTATGTTCCGCATGCAGATTTCCGGTCTTCCAGAAACAAGTTGGCAGGTTAGCAGCCCAAGTCCATTCCTCCCCGGAGTTCCTGACGTAGATTCCTTAAACCTGTCTCTCTACTCAACCCACACATGCTTCCAGTCCATTGTCCTTGAGGCCATCGGTTGAGCCAAGAATCCTGGAGTACTAATCCATCAGCACCCCTCTCCTGGTAACTGAGAACTGCTTTTATAGCGTTTTGTTTTGCCTCAAGATTGGAGGTTTGCTCCTTAATCCTTGCATACTCACCACACATTTTTGTCAGACCCCATGGAACCTTTCCTGGGACTTTTGGATGCCGATATAAGATGGCCATTCTGGATACACCTCCTCGGACTGGACATGGAGTGCTTACCTTTTTCTCTCACAACATTTACCGGACACGTTACCTTTCCTGGACCTGGACTCACCATGCATTAAATAGGACTTGAAAGACTTCGCCCGCCAGTCTGGTCTGGACGTCGTTTACTCAGAGACTGGCCGTGAACAGGGCAGAGGGTAGGTGGACCATTGTATTCCGCGAGAGAGCCTTCCAATCCATTGACATTTAACCAAGGTTTGTGGAATTTGAAACCGCCAACGACCTAAAGACCGCCGTGGAGAAACTGGACCAGCGAGAGTTCAAGGGCTCTGTCGTCTCTTGTGTCGCCGATGTAAGCGTCCAACCTGGCTCGGACCTGGAGGAACCCCCTCTCACCAACTCCCAGATTCAAAACTTTGAGGAACGCCCCGTTCGTGACCCATACCGGTCTCGTTCCCCACCGCGTCGTCCCTACCCTGCCACTATGGAGGAGTACGACCGCCGGATCCCTCCCCCACGTGGCTACAGTCCCCGGGAACACTACCGTGAGCGGTCGCCAATCCCAATCCGCCGCGATCCCTACTATGAACGGGATGCCTATGCCCGCCGGACTCCCCCTCGCCCTCGGATGGAAGACTACCCGCCTCCACGTCGTCCGTACGAAGACCCCTATGAGGCCCGACCTCCCCCACCTCCTCGCCACTATGATGATCCCTACCTGGCTGCCCGCGGTTACGGTCGTCCTCGCTCTCCGCCGAGAGGCGAGTATGTGCCTTACGACCGTCCTCGCTACTGGTAGATGGCGTCGGGTCTTCGCTGATTGGACTTACTGCATATTCTTCCGTTCTACCATCATTTTTGTTGACCTCCTTCGCCAAATACCCGCAACGTCTCGTATTGATTTCATGGGATCATGATCTTTTTTCACCTGCCGAGGTTTCATTCAGCATGTTCTCGCGGCCGGCTGCTTTTCTTTCTTCCTGGCGACTGGACAGCGCGAGTTCTCAAATATTTCTTTCTATCCTGGTAGCTTTGGGGTGGCTGGACGCTAAGTGGTTATCGCCCTCTGGTCTTATCCATCCTGGACTATTGTATGTGTGTTAGCATCCGGAAATCTTAATTCTCTTTAATTTGTTTCTTCGATTGTAGCATTCCCGATGTCCCGTCGCTTCATGCTTCCAACGCGGCTTATCCTTGAATGGGTAATTGGGTGATGAAGACTTGTGGCTGTTATCTTACTATCTTGAAGCCAAAATATATAATGGGATACCCCACCAAACTCCAATTATAGCACTTATAGTTAAGAGAAATATATGCAATACCCCATGATATTCCATTAATCTTCTCTATTTAATTACAATTCCACAATAAATATACCCCAAAATATGCAATTGCCGTGTGGGTTCCACCGTCATGATCTACAACCGCCCACAGGTGCCCCGCCAAAAAAAACCCAGACCCCTCATCTTCTCTTTTAATTTAATATTGTTCATGCTTTCGCCATAACCTCTCCCGCCTTGAAGTCACAAACATAAACCCAACAATCATGACCGACCAATCAATCCAACTCCCACCCCGCCCAGATGTCCTCGACAGCGTCCGTCTCCGCGACATCGAGCTTCCCCTCCCCTGCGCCCCAGAAGCCTGGCACCGCCAGGGAAAGTCCCAACCATGCACCGCAACACTCAAGCTCTCCTACTCCTCAATAATCACAGCCGCTGAAACCGACAACGTCTCCCTGACCCTCGACTACGGCAAGCTCTTCCGCCGACTAGAAAGCGACGTGCGCAACATGGGTGAGAACATCTCATCTCCATCCCACCCCTCCCAGCGACTGATCAGTCTGGAGGGGACGCGACGCGAGGAAATGCAGAGCCGCGGACTAGGCCAAGACCCGCGTGTGATAGCGGGTGTTGTTGCGGATGCCGGATTGGGTCTGTTGGAAACTACGTCTGCTATCACTGCGGCGAAGCAGCCGAACCCGATCTCGGCGGCTTATGGAGAGTGCGAGGTCTTGCTGCATTTACCTAAGGCTTTGTTGCGTGCGGATGAGGGGCTTCGGTATCGTGGGGTTATTGCGCTTGGGAAGGAGGTTGGTGGTGGGGAGGCGCGCGGGTTGGTGGTTTTGGAGGAGGAGTTCCGGATTGAGGGGATTAGGTGCTATGCTATCTTGGGGGTGAATCCTCATGAGAGACTCGAGAAACAGGCTGTTGTTGTTGGTCTTACGTTCCAGGGTCCTGGGCAGCTTTCTTGGGGGTCGACTGTTGTCGATACTTACCAGGCTGTGACGCGGGCTGTGGCTGAGGTATGTGGTTAACTCTTTGTTCTTCTCTGATGCTTTTGTTGGCATCTTTTCTGGGGCCAATTTGCTAATTTGACTTGATCTTATAGAAGGTTGATCAGACTGATTTCCAGTCTGTGGAATCTTTGGCTACGTTCGTTGCTCGCATTGTGACTGTGGACTTTGGTAATGAGCGTGTGACGGTTAAGGTTGAGAAGCCAAGTGCTCTCGCTTTTGTCCAGCGGTCTGGTGTGGAGATTACCCGCTCAAAGGCTTTCTTCGAGAGCCACTAAGTGCCGTGTAAGTGGTTTCATGTTATACAGGAGGCTGCAGTATGCAGATCGACACTCATATGCAAGTTGGTGGCTGTAGTATTGAGGCTGTGTGAGGGTGTCTCAGGCGGGTCTGTAGAACCACTTGACGATATATCGAGAGCCAGTCAAAACAAAAAAGACTGTAATACTAAAGACAATATCATTCAATATCATGACAATTTCAAGATAATACCCAACATCCCCCAATCCGATCAATCCGATCATGTTAATGTCAGCATCTGACACGTGAAATCCCAATTAGGACTAGTGGCTCAGCCCCCGGATCTACGCCTGAAATCTGATTTTCTGCACGATCTCGCGGTTTTCTTGCTTTGTTTCACTTCCTGGGGAAGAAAAACTGTTAATTTACATTTGCTAAAATTCTTCATCCTCTATGTGCCCATCTGTGCCTTCGTCTTTGCCTTTGATTTCGCTTACTGGCTTCCTGGCCAACCTTGATCCATATCCCTCCCTTCTGAACCTCGATTCACCTGCTCCTGACATTTCCAACGTGTCGACATATTCAGTGCTTTCTCCTTTCGCCTTGGCCTTCGATCCCTCGACCAGCGAGGTGACTTGGCTAGGGGTCCCGGGTCCGTCCTGAAGAAGGGCGGACGTTAAACCTGCTCGAGAGATTTAAGGCTAGTCTATCGACCAGTTCGAGCACTGAAGGGAAACCGTGCTTTGATGCAATAAATTCTCCAAGTTGAAGTACGTCTCTTTGGCCCCCCTTTCATTCGCAATTTTTTATTTTATTTTTTTCAATTTCTTTTACGTTTTTACCTTGGCGATAATTAGTGGGGGTGTGTGAAAACCCTCACCTACCCCTCTATTCACTCTTTACAGTCGACATTCAAGATCGAAGCGATTGAGGCTAACCGGGTGCCTCTATGTGAACAGCGACTGCGAGATAGGTATTCTGAATACCTTGCTACCATTCTTTACAACCGCGCAAGGTCAATTGTCGACCCTGCGGTTATCGCCGGCGCTTTTACCTAAATTGTTTCGCTCTACTCGCGGAGCTACCACAGGTGATACAACAAAAGCATAATGCCTTCCTCGAATGCCGACGACCTGTCGGTCGGAGACGTGTTCGCTCCGCAGGCCGACGGCGAACAGTCTGTCATTGACATCCCAGCCAATCACCGTCGCCCCAATGCACACATGGGCACTATGCCGCCCCCAGAGCAGACAGCCAAGGGATTTAATGGGTTTGCGAACAAGACTCTCAACGAGAACAAACAGCGACGGAAGAAGAAGAAGGACCAATTCGTGCCGGCATGTGCAACCGTTCGTGGTTTCACTCCTCTGCAATCCGGCGATGAGGAATCGGACTTCTCCGCTGCGAGCTCACGTACACCCTCTCGACCTCCCACTGCATTCGATGGCGCCAGCCCACTGGCACAGGCATCCACAGGCCATGGGGTCAGCGCATTGAAGCTTCAACTCAGCACTCTGAATCTGTCCGACGACACATCTGGTAGCGGACTTGTCTCCAAGACCTCCAGTGCTGCCAGTGTTTACTCCGACAGCGACCAGACCGAGATCTTAACCAGCTATGAAATCCCCCTAGATCAGGACTTTGTTAGTTCCGACGCAGTGCAACCAGAGACACTGGACGATCGCAATGCGGATGTCCCAGGCATGAATCCGGATTTGCGCAGTCAACTGTGCCGCAAGATGACAGCGGAGGACTTCGTGCCTCTCCTATGCCTAGGCAAGGGCTCATTTGGAACTGTGTTGCTGGTGCGCCACGTTGTCACGGGCAAGCTCTACGCCCAGAAACAATTCCGGAAGGCTTCCCTCACCGTCCACAAAAAGCTAGTCGAGCAGACCAAGACAGAGCGCACAATCCTGGAAAGTGTCAACCGCCACCCCTTTGTCGTGAAGCTTTTCTATGCTTTCCAAGACCATGAGAAGCTCTACTTGATCCTGGAGTACGCGCAAGGCGGCGAACTCTTCCACCACCTAGCCATGGAACGCATGTTCGAAGAAGATGCAGCGGCCTTCTACATGGCAGAGATGGTACTTGCACTAGCACATCTTCACCAAAACGTCGGCGTTCTCTACCGCGACCTGAAGCCCGAGAACTGTCTCCTAGATGCGCAAGGCCACCTCCTCCTCACCGATTTCGGTCTCAGCAAGATCGCGCTCAGCGACGACGACCGCTGCAATTCCCTCCTCGGCACAATTGACTACATGGCGCCAGAAGTGATCCAAGGCAAGCCATACGGCAAAGCATGCGACTGGTGGTCCCTCGGCGCATTAGGCTACGACCTTCTCACCGGCTCACCCCCATTCCGCGGAAACAACCACGCAAAGCTCCAAGAGAAGATCGTCAAGCAAAAGCTCGTGCTCCCTTATTTCCTCGGCCCTGACGCAAAGGATCTCCTCACCCGTCTTCTCCGCAAGGAACCCTCCAAGCGTCTCGGATACCACATGCAGAAGGATTTGCAGACAATCAAGAAGCATCGCTTCTTCCGCAAAATCGACTGGGCTGCCCTTGAGCGACGCGAGCTCGACCCGCCTATCCAGCCTATCGTTACAGACCCTGCTCTCGCGGAGAACTTCTCCGTTGATTTCACCCATCTCCCGCTTAGCCCGACGATCACCGCCACCGGCTTTGACGAGTACTATGGCAAGGGACAAGATTTCCCGGGTGGAAAGGGTGCAGATGGTGGCGATGTTGGTGCTGAGAGTAACCCATTCGGTGGATTTAGCTATGTTGCTTCTAGCAGCTTGCTGGATCATGGGTTGGGAGTTATGACTGCTGGATATTGAACCGAAGTTGGGGATTGGACTGGGGAGAATTGAGAAGAGAATGATGAATATGAAATGGAGAACGAAGATAATGCATATGTCGCGTCAAGGGGTCCCCGGTGTGCCGGTTTTCGTACATTCCATTGCATGTCATGCGTTACACATGTGGCTTGGTATTATTTTCATGCCGAGTTACTTGAATGTTGTCTTGTTCTGAACATTTGAAGCAATGCAAAATACATGCAGTATCAGGCGGACGCAACTAGTGGTACTTTCGCATATCTAGGAGTTTTCTTCCTTTTCTCTTTTATTCGGAGTAAAATTTACCATCTACACATATCTAGCCCTAGAAAACTGGGATTGAATAATACATATTTTGCAATTGGAATTGTTCATAAAATACTTCGTTTACAGCCGTAATAAAGTAGGACGCAGGACAAGTACAGCTGAGTAGTAATGTTGGTAGATAAGCAAAGGGGAGAAATTGGATTCTCCGTGGATTTCATTCATTCTCACTCATAAATAGTATCTGTAAGGCCACACTTGCCCACCAGCGTCCTGATAGACCCAATTTTATAGACTTAGATATTAGATCTCGCCTTCTTCACTTCCAGCATTATCATCATCAGCTTCGCCCTCCTCTTTCTCTTCTTTCTGGGAGTCTAATTTACTCCGATAATCCACATCTGCCGTAGGCGCGGGATCATGCCGCGGGGGATGTGCGACTGGAACAACATGTTGCTGTTTTTCAGGGACTTCGCCTTCTTCGGCGCTGGAGTCTTCTTTTGAAGGGGAGTGTGCAGAGGGTCCTGGTCCTGGCTTCTCCCCCGCGATTGACAGGGAGTCGAATTGAGGTGTGGCTTTTGTTTGGGATAATGCGGCCGCGGGGACGCGAGGGCGGGAGGGCGCTGGAGGGTTTGTTTTTTGGTCGGTTGGGAGGGTCACTTCATGGGAGGGGGTTATGGTGCGCTGGCGCTTAGGGGATCGATCGCGGTCACCATTCCCATTCAGGGTTGAATGGGATTTGTTTTGTGGGGAGGGCGGGTGTGGGTGTGGTTGTGTATTGGGGTGAGATTCGGGTTCGCGCGAGCGTTTGCGGCCATTTGTAGCCGTATCTGAGGTGACGGTGAGTGTTGGAGGGGTGGAAGTCGATTGTTGCTCTGAGGCGGATTTTGTAGGATCGGTATCGAAGATGCGGGTTGGGTCATTGGGGTTCGGGGTTGAGTCTGAAAGCGCGAATTCCGGGTAGCCCTTGCTCAGGCTTTGTTGGACGCGCTCGTAGATCTTGACAATGAAAGTGCAGGCGCGGATGAGGTCGTCGAGATGGACGTCGATCTGCTCCCACCAGGGTCTGCCTTCGGCGTCGTCGGGGAAGGCGACTTTGCAGTGGCGGGCTGCGGCGTACAGGGCTGCGGCGGCGATGACGCGGGGTGGGAATTGGAGGCAGAGGACGGTGTAGGTTGAGTCATTGAGGAAGGAGTAGGTGGAGTGTCGTAAAGCTCTGTTGTCGCCGACGCCTAGGAAGACGGAGTAGTCCCAGAGGATGCGGTAGGGGGACTCGACCTGTAGGTCAAAGCAGAGGTATTCAAGCATGACGCTCTCATTCTGCAGGATCAGGTCGCGCCATTTCCAGTAATCCTTGGACTGCTCGTCAACAATTAGGTTGGGCTGCTTCATGGCGACGCGGCAGCATGCGATGACGAAATCTTTCATGCGGCGCATGGCCTCGTCCACCTTGAACGCGACGAACAGGGCCACGGCGGCGATCACCTTTGGGTGCATCAGGTCTGACCCCATTTCCGGATATTGGCCCATCAACGAATAGCGCATGAGAAAGCGGTGCATGTACACCGTGGCGGTCATTGAGGTCTGCGGGGGCATCTTCAGCATCACGCTCACTTGCCAAATGAACTCGACTGCACGGTGTCGAATGTAATCCTCTTTCCCGCGTTCGATTTTATCAATGCGCGATGGCGTGCGCTCGAATTCTTCCTCTGTGAATAGCCATTTTTGTTGCTCTGCTTCCAACACCGGGTTTGGCAGGCCGGGGATTCGTCGCTTCGGTGGTGTCGAGGAAGCCATGGCTGTGCGAAGTGAAGAGGGGAAAGACGAATTAGGTCGATGAGTGGTTGTTCACACAATGGCAGCAGAGATGAAACGCATCCGGTGCGCCAGATAAGGAATAGCTCGCGCGAGTGGTTAACAATAATCGTTATCGTTCCAAACGTCACAGTCGTTAAGCCAAATCTAGCATGGCGGAGCTTTCTATCGCATTGCGGAGATGATAGTTCACGGCGGGAGATGTTCGGAGAATTGGAGAAGAGACGCCAGGGATAAGCAATATATAAACAACACAGCGCTGCCTGACTATTGAGCACTACCAGATAACCTGCAAGGCGGCAAGGATCTCCGTATTGATGCAGTCGACAAGGGAAGCTTTTAGTCGGAAAATGGCTTTTCCGGGAGAAACTATTTATCCGCTTCAATGTACGGAGTAAGAGATGCATGAATGACAATGAATACATATGTAGCTACATGTAACTAGCTATTACATTATGTATATAGAAGAAGTATAAGTTTATAAATTCTCATGTGAATTCCATTGGACCTATGCAATTATACTTCTTAAAATAATCCCTAAACAATTACAATTGGTATCTAGTACTTTGGAATAAATGTCCATCCTGGCGCCACGCTGATAGATGCAATAGACAAAAAAAAAAGGCCGGATAGGCATTTACTCTTCCTCACTGACTTCACTCTCATCATCACTGGGAACATACTGCCTGGTCGTAGGCTGACTGTACTGGTGGCTTCGAGCTTCCTCTTCTCGAGCACTTTGTTCAAACGCGGCTTCCATCTCCGCCGCTAAAGCATCATCATCTTCCATTTCGTCCTCTTGAGTAGCCGCACTTGTATGGACCTCAGAAGTAGGTGGAGCTGTATTGCCAACCGGGGAGGGTAGACTAAACTCCCCAACGTCTTCATCCCCATCGTCGTCTGCTGGAGTATTATTGGACGAGAAGTAAGTCCGGTCCACGAAGGGCCGCGGAGGTGGAGATCCCATATCAATAATGAGATCTCCGTCAACGATGATGTTCGAGCTGGGAGACTGCCCAGCTTGTTGCGATCCCGTGCCTGCATCGGACGGCGAGGAGCGGGACTCTTCATGCTCAGGCGGGTCGGGATAGCTGACAGGCTCGGCTGGCTTGGCGGGCGCATATACTTTGGCTGGTGCTTTTGTTGGCGGGTTCTTCTGTCGCAATGGGTTTGCTTGTGCTTGTGTTTGTGTTTTGGGTCGAGGTGGTGCAGGTCTAGGTGCAGGTCTGGCAGCCGGCATCAAGGGTGTGCTGGCCCTGCTGGTGGCAAGCTCTGGGGTGCTGTGGCCTGAGGGTGGTTTATCATCCTCCCGGCGATTCTTTGGGAGGAAATGCCGGAAGTCGTAAGGATTGTTATCGTCGGCGGGTCCCTCGTCCTCGCTGGCGCTCCCCCCATGCCGGTCTTCTCCCGAAGTTGCTGGTTCATCCTCTTCCTTGATCTGTAGTTGTTCGTATTGCTCGCGGACCTGCTTTTCCGTCTTTCCTGGAGCCGACCGTAGATTAAAGTTCAAGGTTGTTGAGACCGGCTCTAGAACGAAGACCTTCCGCTCCGGGTCGAAGATGAGCACCAGACTTCGCTCGCCCGACGGGTCCTCGCTGCCTTTGTATGAATAGGTCAATGTTTGATCGGCGTTCGGGGCCTTATCAGTAACGACGAGGTCATAGAGGTCGGGCGATCGGGAGTGGGTGATGGTGGAACGTTGTTGTGAGGTGGCGGACTTGGATTTGTGGTTGTAGTTGACGTTGATCAGTCGACTCGTGTTGGGGTTGCTTGCGAGCCTTTCCCCCAGCACAATTGGGTATTCGGCCTGCTTTGTCGGGTCGATCATGGCGGACAAGGTGGGGGTAGCCATATTTGCGCTCATGGGAAGTGAAGAGACCCCCAGAATCCAAGTTTGCACAATGTAAAGAAGGGAGATGGAGAGGGAAAAGGGTAAAGGGAAAAGAAGATTAGGAATCCCCAAAGTCGGGGAAAGGATGAGGTGGAGAAGAGCGGCATTGGGAAACGGGCCTCTCCCCCACTCATACAAGGGCGATGAATACATAGATTGCTTGGATCCTTACCTACTTTCTTAGTTCCTTAGTTCCTTAGTTCCTAAGATTCTAGAATTCTACGATTCTACGATTTGAGATTGGATCCATTGATCTCATATTTCATATGTTTCCATTTTGTGGAAATCAACATGCTTATACTCCGAGTTCTGTACTACATTTTACACACCGAGGGCTTCGGCTCCGACTTCGGCCTAGATGATAAAAGGCATAAAGTAGGATATAAACAATTATAGAACACATAATAGCAAGGTACTTCCATTAGACGATAATTACTAGCCGAGGCATAAACAAAAAAAGCGGCTTGCAGAAATACAATGCAATAAAGCAGGGCAGGAGGAGGTATCCAGAAACAAAGAACGCGAGGCACCAGAGGAAAAAAGCATGGGATATCTGTTAGCTGTTACAGCCAAGACTATACCACCCAGGATGATTGAAATCAAAGAACAGATTCCAATCTCGGAAATTGGACATTTCCGAGTCATTTATTTAAGCTTCTCCTTGAGCTTTCCGAAAAAGCCGCTCAAGCGATGCTTCTTCTTCTTCTCAATGGTAGAAGCACCTTCAGTGCTCTGAGATTGTTTGGGAGACGGCTCGGCGGTCTTTGCGGTCGAATTAGCAGGAGCTTGAGTAGACTCGGCTCCAGTCGTGGTGGTGGTATTTTCGGGCTTTGCAGCCTGAGTAGCAGGTGTATGAGCAGACTCAACTCCCGTCGCAGCACTAGGACTTGTAGGCTGCGCAGTCGTGGGAGCCGTGGTTTCGGGAGTTGAGTTTTCAACAGTCGAAGTAGTCTCAGGACCAGTTGTGACAGTGGGCCCACTGGACTCGGCGTTCTTCAGCGCGGAAGATGGAGTAGCAGCAGCAAAGCTGCGGTCCAGCGGAGGGGTCGAAAGCGGCGACACATCTGCCGAGTCTACGCCACTAGGAGCAGCGAGATGGGGCGCAATGGCCTGGGTCGCCGCAGTGGCGGTAGGTGCGGGAGCACCGGCGGACTCTTCAACAGGGACCTTCTTGTGCAGTTCCTCCTCGATAGCATGCTTCTCGTCTACCGCTTCCTGGTTGGCAGCAGCCTCCGGGTCCTTGTGGGCTTCGGCCAACGAGTCCTTCACCACCTGAGGAACCTCCTCGACTGGTTCATCGCCGTTAGTCTGCTTGCCCTTTGACTCCAGCGGCACACCAGCAGCCAGTGCTGCCGTGGTCGAGTCGGGGCCGGCGGACTGGATGTGGTATCCTGGATCGGCCAGCGCTGCCTGTTGAGCTGGACCTCCGGTATAAATCGGCTCGGACTCACTGGCTGCGGCGCGTGTCGCGGGTCCACCGATAGGAAGACTGGACTCAGGAATCATGTTGTTCGTGATTGGGGGGAGGGTATATGGGAGATCGCCAGGGTTAGTGTTCCCAGCGCCAGTAGGGAGAGTTTGGCCTTTCTCATATGACTCTTTGTCCAAAGTGACAGCGGAGTCAATGGTGTTATTGTGGATGGTGCTATGATGAGGGACCTCATCGCCCGGGTTCAGGCTGACGGGGTTGCCATAACCCTCCGAAGCTGGGATGGGATCCACGGAAAAGGCCTGTTCGGACTCTTGTCCCGGGGTCTCTGGGAAGCTACCAGGTAAATCCCCATTGGGCTCCTTGGGAACGTTGGCAGCGAGAGCCGCGGTTGTCGAATCAGGGGTCACGCCAGACATAGTGGGGGCGAAGTCAGAGCTCTTGATCTCTTCGGGTAGAAGCACGTTGTTGATGTTGTTATGTCCGTCGTCTTCTTCACGTACGTTAGGATCTGTAGTCCAAATACCGTCGACAACAAACTTTTTTATTTTTTCCTGGTCAGCAAGGAATCTTGGAATGTTGGAACCTTGGGAGTGCGGGATTGCGGGATAGCGACTTTATAAATGGAGGAAAGCGGCACAGGTGACGTCAGTGGATGTAGCCCTGTTGCCTAAGGCTCACCGCCATCCAATCTACAGAGGGGAAGGGTAAAGGCGAAAACCTTGGAAGTGAAGATGCGAGAAAAAAAAATAGTAAGCACCATACCTTGTAGTGGACTTTTTGTACAGGAGATATAGTCACTTCCTTGATAAAGATATCGCCCACACGGTCTAGTTTCACCGTCTTACCCCAATCATCGAAATTGCCTGTAACGAACACCTCGCTCGCATTGTAAGGCCTGCAAGTAACCGTCTCAGCATTGTACCACGAGGATGTCAAGAAATGCAGAGAAATTGATATCTCTAGCTCAGGGGGTCATGTTGGGAAGCTTGACTCACCATTGAAATGTAAAAGTCCCCATTTTGATACAGTGAAAATTGAAAACAGAAATAGTTGGGGAAGAAGACAGGGAAAAGAAAAAGGGCTCTAGTGAAGGACTAAATCGGTGGGGGGTGACACAGACCAGTACCTGACCCTGGGAGAGGACTAAGCGCCTATATAAATTTTTTTTTTTCTGATTCTCATGCATATCCCAATGTGGAAGCCCTGGAGATATTCCATACATATGTAATATTAGGTATCAAGGGGCTGGGGGGCGAACCGTGGCTGTGACCGGGCCTATGCGCCCGCTCTAGACTTTCCGTTTGTATGACGCCATGAGCCTTAGGGTGATAGTATGGTACTTATTATCTAGCTCATATGGTTCTACTCCGTAGCTTACTTTGCTATGGCATATAGTAATATTAAGCGATGGATTATATTATAGCAATTGACATTCCCCAGGACTAGGTAGATACCCTAAGGAATATCTAAAGCTTTTAAAGTTTCCACAATTTTTGCGGTTCTGCAAGTATTTTCTCCACCGAGAAGATTAGAAGGTGACATTTGAAAACGGCGAGTCCATGACATATGTGACCTGGGAACTTCCCAAGGTTCCCGAGGTTGCCACTAAAGTGGCGAATATGCAATTCTAGAAGACGCCTGGAAGGGCTTCAAGCTTTGGCCTTTTTCTTAATCTTATACTTAGGTAGCTATTATAGAAGCTATTATAATAAGTTACTATACATCTACAGTACGGGAGTGAGTCATGTCGATCACAGTACCTAGGCACTCTTCCCCATATATACGAAAGTAGTACATAATAGATACAACATAGTCAGTACTGGTTATAGTAAATAACTACCTAGGTAGTATGATGTACGTAGTGAATTTGAAGCACCAATGATCGACGAAGCTCAGACCAACTTTAGTGTGTCTTCTACCCCTCATCTTTCCAATTCCAATTCTCAGGTATTTCCCACCTCTTGTCTTAAATACTTCACTTTTGGATACAGCTGTACCTAGGTAAAGCTTTCCGGACTGAGCTTCCTTTGAGCAGGTAATTCCCCCGTTTCACATCCATTCACTCCCATTCACTTGATTTCATTCACTTTTTTTTTTTTCATTTGCAATATTTCATTTTAATTCCCGAGACATGGAGAAGAAAGAAAAGAAAAGAAGAAATAAAAAGAAAAAGAGGGAAAAAAAGAAGAAAGAGAGAGACGAGGTCATGCAGTATCCCTACAAATTAGACTCCAACCAATAATCCCCCACTGTCTGCCCCTCCGTTGCTTCCATATTACTCTCTACCTTTTCTACCTCGTCAACCTCTTTACCTTTTTTTCCTACATTTTCTACATTTCTACATTTTCCCTCTTCCCACTCAATCACTTTAATTCATTCCTTTCTAATATCCGCAGATATCATCTCTGTTTCATCCCACATCTATCCCACCTTCAACCCCGGAGTTGCGGCCTCCTCGGCCCTCAACCCCCTCAACGCCCTCATGGCACAGAACTCTGCTCCGGAACTGACTCCGGTCATCAATACCAGAGCCGGCGACAAATCTGCTGGCATTCAAAAAATCTCCGAGGACGACGAGTTCGAGGTGACGTCACCAACCAACCTGACTTTCCGCCAGTCCAGCTCAAATGCTGCACTACCGAGCACCGCTTTGTTTGGAGGTACTGCATTCGCTGAAGGAGGATCACAAGCGGGAAGATCGTTGTTCAGCCGGAGTCCCTTCCAGGATAATGCGGGGGAGGAGGACGAGCAGGAGGGGGAGCTGGCCCCTCTCCCGGCACGATCCGCACAGCAAGGATTCCCTAACAACTACGCGCTTGGTCGCCGGACATCTGTCTCAGCGGAATCTTTAAATCCCACCGAGGCCGGTTCGGATAGTTGGTCCCCTCCTCACCACCCAAAGACTGAAGAGCAGGTCTCCCGGCTTAAGACCGCCGTCAGTAGCAATTTCCTCTTCTCCCACCTTGACGATGATCAATTCTTGACCGTCCTCAACGCTCTCGTTGAGAAGCCCATCCCTGCGAAGGACATCAAGGTCATCTCCCAAGGTGATGCCGGTGATTACTTCTACATCGTGGAGAACGGAAACTTTGACGTCTATATCCACTCCTCCGGCGCCGTGCAGCCTGGCCCTGATGGCTTGGGCAACAAGGTCGCCAGCATTGGACCCGGAGGATCTTTTGGCGAGCTGGCTTTGATGTACAATGCCCCACGTGCCGCGACGGTGATCTCTACCGAACCAAAAAACACTTTGTGGGCTCTTGACCGAATCACCTTCCGCCGCATCCTAATGGACTCGGCATTCCAACGCCGTCGTATGTACGAGGCTTTCCTGGAGGAAGTCCCGCTGCTTTCTTCTCTGAAGCCATACGAGCGCTCGAAGATCGCTGATGCCCTGGACACCATCAAGTACCCGGCTAACTCCACCATCATCCACGAAGGCGATCCCGGAGATGCTTTCTACCTTTTGGAGTCAGGTGAAGCTGAGGCTACCAAGAACGGTGTCTCTGGCCCCGTCAAGAACTATCGCCGCGGCGATTACTTCGGCGAGCTTGCTTTGCTGGACGACAAGCCACGTCAGGCGAGCATCACCACCAAGACGGATGTGAAGGTGGCACGATTGGGTCGGGACGGATTCAAGCGTCTTCTCGGTCCTGTGGAGGGAATGATGAGAGGGGCTGAGTATGAACTGGATGGGGAGAAGTCTCCTGTTTCCAAACCAATTTGATATGATTACAATGAAATTTGAATCTTGGGGCTTTTGAGCCAGGAAATTAGAATTCCTCATTGGCGAGGTCCAGCTATCCTGTCATCTGTCACTCACCTGCTATCCCAATAACTGATGATCTACCTTTTTTTTTTTCCATGTTCATTATTTGTGTCCCATCTCCTCGTTCCCAGCAAACTTTCCACTCTTTACGACTATCTGACTTGTATCTACAACTGTTTCTCTTATGCGTGCCGTGTGTGACAGGGGCCTACTGTCGTCCTTGTTCATATTTTCCTTTTGCTACTGTGTTATCCACTCCAATTGTACCATCCAATACTTAGGTATGATCCAGCAGAATGATTAGAACCTGTGTTTGAATTCCCAAAATTCCCATATGCAATGTCTATATACCCCAACCCCCCAAGGATTCCAAGTCGAAAGTCGCGTAGGAACCCGCCCACTACGATTATGCTATGTTTCACATGCCAATCTACACGCTTGGAACCCCCAAATGCAATATCAAAACCAGTATATCACCTTGGAACAACCAAGTCACTCCTCAAAACCCACTTTTCTCCCCCCGTAACCTCGGCCCCCTCATGTATCATACAATGATCTCCATGTCGGTGCAACAGCGCCATCCCAACCTCCGGCGCAACAGCTATCGGCCCTGGATTGCGATTTGCGCGCGTGGCCTCTGGGTAGAAGATTGTTTCACCGCCTGTGCAGGATGTCAGGTAGACCAGTAGAGTCCAGGTTGTGCGTGCAGGTGTCGCTTTCGAGCGCGAGTTCGGTGGGGGGAGGGTTATATTATTGGCATCGTCGTCTGCGATTGCGATATGTTAGATTGATGTGCTTGGTTGTGTAGAAGAGGATTATATAATCTATAATCCAAGACGAAGAGCTTCTTACAATGTTGTCCGAAAAACTGTCCTGCAGAGTATCGATAAATGCGAATATTAGGATTCAACCCCAACGGCTCCCCGCCCCAGAGTTGACGTGCGCGTTCAGCAAGCGCATTATCGTCTTCTTCGGCAGGCTGGCTGTATCCGTACTCGTCTTCTTCGAAACGCGTCGTGACAAGCTCCTTCAATGCCGTTGTGCTCCACAGCATCTCCGCAAACCGCGCATCGTCAATCTGGAACCGGTCGTTGACGCGTAAGGCCTCGTCTTTCTTTGGGGTTCCCGGTGTTGTGGTCAGTGGCAATGAGGCGAGGAATGAGGTGTAGGTTTTGCACAGGGTGCCTGGGAGGAAGTTGCGGATTAGGTAGATTTGGTCGGTGAGGAGGGGGGGTCAAGGTAAGATCGGCGGCGGGGAGGAGGGGGCGGAGGGGAGGCCAGTTTGGGGTCGTAGTCTTTGGTTGAGGTTTTGGGACGGGTTTTTTGGATTTTGGGGCCATTTTGTTCTTGTGTTGGTAGGTGAAGGTGGATATGCAGGTACGGTGAAGGTAGAAAGTAGAAAAGTAGAATAGAGGTAGAGGGTTACCTGGGTAGGTTCAAAGGCTTTTATCGCGATAAGATGATCCCAGGTATACGGAGTACATGTATGTAGGTAAACAATCTAAGGCTAATTGGTTTTTGTATGTATATACTCCGCTTCCCCAGAATATGTATGTTGTAGTGTACAAAGTATATACACCCCTTGCATACAGCCTGGATAAAAATTATAGTCGCCTAAAGTACTTCGTACATACTACAACCATCAGTTTCCCCTCATCTCAACGGCAAGCCACCGAATATCAGAGGGGTCGACTCCACTCTACATGTAGGCAATAAATGAGGTAATGTGAGATCAGAGCAGTAAAAAGAGGTCAATTGCATAGACTCATCTATTATCATATTCCAATATATAGATCTAGGCTTTTGGATCAACAAAATCGGTGAGGAACCAGCTGCGGGTAGTCCATGTAGGTGGATCAGGTCGGAGAGAATATGGATTTGGGCGGGGCGGGAAAGAAAATTTGTCCCGGAAGAGGATTGTCGGCGCTTTTCTTTCATTTCTTCAACCATAAACCTTTTCAGATTCATACATAATATTTGATATTTGGTGAATTCGTCTCAAGTCAACGATATTAAGAACTAAAGAAACCAAAAAAACAACGAAAAGAAAAAAAAAAAAAACATGGCTCAGCGGTGACTACGGCCATCTGCAGCGACCAACTCGGCCACCGCTCACCGCCCGGTCCTAAGTTGAGAACTTCCCTTCTGGAACTTCATTCCTCTCCCTTCCCCAGCACCAGCCTGTCATGTCGTCGCAGACCATGACTGCGCCAGCCGTGGGCCATCGACCGCCTGACACAGGCCCCGATAGCCCCCTGTACGACTATGGCTGCTCACCAGACAGAGACTCCCCTTCCAATCCTCGAGACGACTCCGCAATCCGCGCCATGCAGAATAATTCTGCCCCGTCAACTCCCAACGGGATTTCCGCCCCGGACGTCGCAATCAAAACCGAATGCTCGGACAGCCACGACTTTTCCGCCGCGCAACATCAACAAGATGCAAACACGCAAAACGCCGCAAGTGCGCTCCTAGCACAGCTTCTTGGAAACCAACCAGCCGCCAACTCTACACCTACCACGATACAACCTGCACAACAGGACGAGGACCAAGATATTCACATGGATATCAAGATGGACGAATCAATCTCCCAGTCATTCGACATGGCTGCCCAGAGCTCTGCGCCCATCGACTCGAGCTTGCACCGGGATTCTGCTTCAATATCTCGCGAGATTCAGGACTTGCTGAATGGGAAAGCTTTAGGTGACGAGCTTATGGGAACAAACTCTGCACACCAGGATATGGACCATGCAGGATTCAACTCAGATGCCATGGGAACCTTGTCCGACCCCATGAACCCGAAATTGAGCACCGACCAGCCCTCACTCCTTCCACCCTTGGACTTTTCGGCCGCCCCGAAAAATGCGTTTGAAGCTCTCCACCAAAACGAGCTGCTCACAGCCGCCTTTCTTTCGCAAAATGCCGATCTGTCGGCCCTGGGATATCAAGATATGGCAGCCTCAATTGCTGGATCGGAACCTAAGATCCAAGCATTTGCCAAGTTGGAGTTTGATGATGGGCATTTTTACGTCAATACCTACTCATTCATCCTAGGACGAGACGTGCGCGCTGCCCGCGCCGCCCATCACCGAGAGTTCCAGTACCGGCAGGCCGTGCGAAGCACTCGGGCGAAGAGTTCAAGTGGAGGACACACATCCCATACTCCGAACCGTATGAAGCGGGAGGAAAGCGCTGCCATGATGGGCAGTGTCGTTAGTGATCGGGGAGGTATTATGGGCTTTGATCCAGATATACCTCCGCATCTTCCAAACAACATGAACATGAGCCGACGATCCTCAAAATCCTCCTTTGACGACGCTGTTGTGCCATTGCATGCAAACCCGGCTCAGCTACAATCGACAACCGACTACAATGCGCTCGCGATGCAATCTTTGCAAGATGGAAACGGAGATGCAAAGCCCGTTGATGCGCTGGCTTTGCTCCCATCCCCTGATTCTTGTCCCACCATCCCAATTCACCCCCCAACGACCGTTGACGGCAGTGCCGCAGGCCATCGAGGGATTTCTCGGAGGCATGTCCGGATCTCATACAATTTTGATCGTAACTTGTTTGAGATGGAAGTAATGGGGCGTAATGGAGCGTTCATTGGCGCTGATTGGCTATCACCGGGACAAGTTCGCCCGTTACACAGCGGCGACTATATCCAGATTGGAGGCGTGCGTATACGCTTTTTGCTACCAGATGTCCCCATTGGCGAAACTGGAGCGGACCGGATGGAAGAAAAAATGACAGAAAAGAACGACGAGGAGGAAGAGAAAGATGTCCGTGCTTCAATGGAAATGGATGACGATGTCGATGAATCCGAGAGACTTGGGAGTGACAGCGGCGAGAGCAGGGAACCTTCCAAGAAGATCATCCTCAAGACAAAGGATTCCAAATCATCACAAGCAATGGATTCTATCGAGACTGGGGATAACGATTCACAGCCGGCCCGCCGCCGGGGACCAGGACGCCCTCCCAAGGATGGGATCATGTCCAAGCGCGAGCGAGCCGAGCTTGCCCGGGAGCAGAAAATTGCTGCTAAGCGCGAGGCCAACGGTGGTATCACACCACCTCCACTCAAAGTGCCTAAAGCCGGGAAGACAGTTGCCAAAGAATCTGTTGTTCCCGAGTCACCAACAAACAAACCATCCGAGAAGCGGAAGTACACCAAGAGAAAGAAGCCGGATGGCACACCAATGGATTCTCCCCTTCCTTCAACGGAAGGCGGCCAGATGTCTGCAGAGCCCCCGCAAGAATACGTCAAGCCCCCACCGGTCAAAAAGCGCAAACCATCACGGTCACCATCTCCCAACTATCCTCCAGAGTCTGCTTACAATGCCGAGGATCTGGCAAAGCCGCCGTACAACTACGCCGTTCTCATCTTTGATGCTCTGACGGAAGCTGGCACGCCAATGACGTTGAAGCAGATCTACCGTGCGCTGAAATTGAAGTATCCGTACTTCCGCTTCAAGTGTGAGACTGAGGGCTGGACATCTAGTGTACGACATAACCTAAATGGCAACGGTCATTTGTTCATGCACGCAGAACGAGATGGTAAGGGTTGGTCATGGCAGCTCATTCCCGGCGCGTCGGTTGAGAAGGAAAAGAAACGACGTCCTTCGCCGCCGCCGCAGGTTTCCCACCCTCCTCCGCCTGCTCCCCAGCAGTACATGCCTCAAATGTCCCACTCGTATGCGCCACCTCAGGGCCCACCACCCGTGCCAAATCCGCCACAGCATTTCCAATTTCCTTCCATACCGCCTGCTCCTTTCCCGGCGTCTGTTAATGTGGGAGGACATCCACCCCAATCCAGTCCCTACCCACCTCCATCGAAGCCCCCTGTCCCTACACCTAGCGCTCCTCCTCCTGCTGCTGCCCCGCCGGTTCAAGCTCCTGCTCCTGCTCCTGCTCCACCCCCGCCCCAGGTTGCGACACCCGCACCCCCGCCGGCGCCCACCCCCGCCCCTGTGTCTGCTCCTATCCCGTCGCCGGCGCCAACACCTACCCCGGCTCCTATGCCTGTGTCTGCACCCGCACCCGCACCTACACAGGCACCCGCGCCAGTACCATCGGCACCAGTGTCGGCACCGACACCAGCACCAGCACCAGCAGCAGTGCCAGCGCCAACACCAGTCCCACCTATCAATCCAGCTGCATCCTTCCCCATCCCCAGTCAACTCCGCAACAACCTCCCAGCTGCATTTGCAGCGACCATCCCTTCAACCTACACTTCACCCTACGCATCCGCCCCCCGCTCCGCAAGGCGGCCAGCAACAACAGTTGCAGACCCCACGGCCTCCTCACGGACCACCTCAGCACCATTCCCCTTATTCACAACAAAAGCCGCCATCCTCTCAACCTCCTCACAACAACCCGCAGCCTCGGGCCTACCCTCCACCTGGTGGAGCGCAGTTCCAACACCAGCATCAGCATCAGCACCAGCCACCGGTCCAACCCCAGTCGCAGCCGCTGTCGCATCCTCCTCAGCAGCAACATCCGCTACCTCACCACCAGCACCAGCCGCAGCATCAACACCAACACCCACATCAGCACCAGCACCAGCACCATCCGCCTCCCGGCCTCCCGGCTCATTCTCACCATCAACAACAGCAGCACCCTGTTCAGCAAAACTCTGCACCAGGGCCACCAGAGTCATCCTCGTTCATTGACCGAGCAAACAAGGCAATCGATGACTTTGAAGCTGTTCTCATGGAAGACTACGAGGACAAGAACTATATCCGGGAAGTTCTCCGGAGTGCGCGTGCACGCGTGTTGGGCGATGCTCCAGAAAGCTCCTTCCCAGGTGGCGAGCCAAAAGACGAAGCCGTCATCATGGACGTACTACGTAATCTGGTTGGAAGCCTGAAGGACGAGTGAATGGCCTCCTGGCGAGATATTTTACATATTGGTGGAGGGAATGGTTTCCTCCCTGACGACTTATCGAGTATACGAGTCTTATGGTTTTGCTTTTTTGTCTTTTTCTTTTCTTCCTTTCTTCCCCATTCAATTTATCCTCTTCAAATTGTTGTTTTGCGACATGTCTGGATTCTTTGAATCTTAATGATATCCCTCTGTTTTTGACGACAGGCGTTTGCTTGCGTCTTGTCTATTTTCTTTTTGTCGTATCTAAATCCTCACTTCCCTGTTCTCTGTTTTCTTCTTTTTAGGCTCCTCATAGCCCACTGTTTCAGAGTTGCAGAGGGATCACCCCCCCATGTTGTGGAATAATCCCGACTACTACTTGCTTTTTTCTTTTGTTTTGATCCTGGCGTGACCCAGCCGCCTGATATAAAAGCGTAAAAGCTCAGCATGATAGAAATACCATTCACATTGACCGGACTAGATACTCGTTCTCCAGCAGAGGCTTGGATATTGTAGTACTACTCTATCAATAGCTTTGCTGGGGTCTACATATCAAGCCAACTGGTCTCGACTATTCTACCGTATATTCTTGATCTTCATCTTTGTACAATTGAAACCGCAATGTATCGTGAGCGGAGAACGAGGACGAAGCCCTCTATATACATACCACTTCTCTCTAAATCACAATAAAGACAGGTTTGTCGCTTGTCAAATTATACAGGCTACAATGGGACGAGGTTAACCTCATAGCTGCATATCTTGAACAGTCTTTGGATCTATGAATATGCTTTCGAGTACCAGACATGAAGAAATGAGTACGCGACTTCAACTGCCAAAGCATTTAGAGCGAAGAGGGGATGAAGTCCTCTCTCTCACCATACCGAAGGGCATAATCGGGTCTTTTTCGTCAATTCCATCTTTGAATATCACACGCGAGGAAGATTCCCTCTCTCGTCATACCAGATGCTATAGTCCGGTCTCCGGTAAAGTACCAACTATCATTATTCCATATAACGGGACCGTAACCCCGTGCCCCTTCAGCTTGAAGGTTCACTAACGGTGCATGTGCACGGCGGCTCCAACATCACCAAGTGATGTCTCTCTCTGATATCAGAGGGAGAAGGCAAGGTTAAGGTTAAGGCTGAAGCATATGTTTGCTTCACTAGGTTTTGGTGACGGCCACAATGGGACAATGGGCAGGTGTCTCTCTCACTGGATGAAATTAGCTAAATGTAATGTTGCTTGTTTTGTCTTTGGTTTACCAAGTTCTGAAGACCAGCGAATGGGTTGCACAGCCGATAATTCCTGGTCTTGGTCAAAGTCGAGCTCCAATCCAAGCACTGCGTAGCCCTCTCCAATGCCCAGAGAGGAGATGTCGTGCCTTTTTGATGGGCACACCGTCCTCGGTGGTGACTCGTGCCTTTACGGCCATGAGGGTAAAAAGAGGATTCAGTTCCCTTTATACACACCCCAGATTAGTCCGCGCGGGTCGAGTTCATCTTCCCGAAGCTGTCTAATAACACTGTCGTTTTCATAGGTCTTGTTTTGAGGAAGCGGATTTCACGAGGTAAATTTTCCAGTAATCTCCAGTTGTGCTCCCCTAAACAGTACTATGGCTCGTTTCCACTTGCTTGACGCCATGCGGTGGTGAGATCAAAGCAAAAAAACAAAGAGCAGAAGCAGAGCAAGTAGGTCAAAGAATGAAATTTTCATTCAAAGATCAGTCGAGAAGCAGGTCAGGAGAAGGCAGTCCCTCTATCTGAAACCCCGTGGAGAAGAAGTCTAGCGAGCAAACCCCTTATGGAGGAAACACGCCAACAAAAGAATAGCGAGGACGACTCGGGAGTCATCTGTATGTCTTGCTAGATCTAGCCAGATGGGAAATTTGTTGTTGATGGTGGATTATGTCGAGAAACCAGACCTTGTTCTCACCCTTGGCACCCATCTAAACATAGCATGTGCAACATGTTTGGATGGAATGTCGAATTCCTCCTTTCATACAGGGGACGCACTTCTCTTAAGATTGCTTCAAGTGGGTTCTGAGCATATGCTCACAATCGTTTGAAAACCAGTTAAGTTTGGTTCCGATGTGGTATCATGGGTGGTGATTCTGATTTTTTCAGGCGGTCTCTTTGCTATTTCTGGCCTGATTGATGTGGATTCTTGCAGGGTTTCTGCATATACCACAACATGGTGGGAAAAGCCGAGGCGCTACTATCAATTGTGGGATGAGTCCGACTCATGACTCCGAGTGTAGGCTTGTCTCAGATCGACAGCTTCGTTGAAGATATTGAGAACCAGGATTTCGCTGCTGTTGCGGGAAGGAACATATGCTGTATCTAGTCAGAAAAGAAAAACCAATGAATTCAGAGTTCGACCTCTCTCACAGAATGACTGGTGAAATGCTTCGAGTGAGTGAAAGACCTAGTTGTTGGCGAGTTTACCCTGGTTTTGTCCCCCTTGAGTGCCTTCATGTATCCTTGTAGCATTATGTTGTCCCCTGTCCGATTTTTCTTCTCCTTTTGTCCGACAATCCATTCCTTTTTCTTCTCTTGATCGGTCGTAGGGATTTCCATAATCTCTTGACAGTGGAGTAGGTGGCCCTACCCGTCCATCCACCATGAAATCCGGCTAGGTGTGACTTGAAATACTACCGCAATCCATTCCCTACACCCAGAGAATATCTGTGACCCAGCTACCCCAGCAGCCTGGGCCTGCTTTAGCACTATAAAGTGCAAGAATAGAGTCACATCGATCCCCGCTCCTTGGTAGCGATGTTATCTTCCATCTTCAAGCGGAGTATTTGCAGCTGTGTGCATACCACATCATGTTGTTGTATGGCAGAGTCATTTTGCGCTGAGTCTTGGGATACTTCAAACGCGTTTGTGTCTTTTTCCTTTATTTGAGACCAAAAGGCTCCGATGCCGTGGTCGTGGCTTTTTGGCCGGATATATAGGGGTTTCCATTCCCTCCACGGCTCCTTGTAGGAGCCGACTTCATAAAAATGGCATTGTCTCCTGCAAAAACCATAATGGCAGTTGGCGCAGTACCTATCCAGATCTTGATGGCGACACAACTCTTCGTGGCATGCCGCCTAGATCCTCTCGGGGAAAATCGAGGGCGACGGGAGACTTTCGGATCATTCATTTGGAGTTCGTTTGCCGAGGGCCTTTTTGATCTTACGCTGGTCAATATTGGAAGCGGTAAGATAACATGAAGATCTCTCAGGTGGGCCCCAGCTTCTCCATCCAGGCCGTTGTTATCATCGAGGTAGAAATTGAAACGCATATTTGTGACCATAGGTTGTCAACTCTGTCCCAATTCCATCCATGTGTGCGTCCGTTTGTGGGATAGCATACTCTAAAGTCAGCACGTTTTGTCCGGGCCATATCGAAGGTCGCAATGTCAGATTCATTCCCTTGAAACGTATCAACTAGAGGTCACCTGGTTAGCAATGCAATCGTTTTTTTAGAGTCACCTACCAATCCGGAACGCGAAGCTTTAGAGGCGTGTTCCGCCGAAGGCTCGTGCTTTTTTCATTGGGAAGTCTACTTCTGGGCATCACGAGGAACGGATGGACGCTTCGAATGGATACAGTCAGGGGTTTATTCAGCCTGCTAACTGGCATCCGTTGATACATCTAGAGTGAGCTATTTTGCGGCTCCCATGGCCCAGAATCCCTTGGGAAACTTCGCTGTTAACCGGCGGAACAACGGCTGTGAGAGGATGGATGGTGGAATGGGAAATACTGAAGATGGTTGATCAAGTACCCCTCCGAGGTCATCTATCAAATTATTCACACTCTTTTGCGACCCAGCGCGAAGAGCCATGCTGTCCAGGAAGGTCATACGGCTGGCAGTAATGAATGGGAAACACCGGACGAGGTTAAGGGGCGTTGAGAAAGGCTGGCTTGAAAGTTGGGCTATCAATGTAGAAGAATATATCCATTGATATCATCTGTAAGACCCTACTCGTCTCATTAGACACGCTAGTGGGTGTTTGTCGCCCGTGGTAGAATCTAATATTGAGATACCCTCGTTCGAGAGAAGTATCAAACAGTATATGGAACTCACCTTGGTGGTTTTTTTTTATTCTGTTCCAGGCAGCAGCAAGAATAGCGGTAGGTGTTCGACCGAAGCTTTTTCGTTATGACCAGATCCAGGATAGTCACTGTGGAGATCTGATGAATTGATCCCCACCGGTGTAGAGCCAAGATGATTTTGCGAGAATACTGTCCATCCCCCCAAAGTCCCGAATAGGGCTTGCTGTGAAATCAAACAGTTATCTTCTTCATATCGACTCTTCGAGGATGCGGACAACATGAGTCAAAATTTCCGACAATCTCCAGTTATGCTCGCCCCAAAGAAGCGATTCTGCGAGCCAGTGTCTCTTGGCTCTCGAGTTCCACCAATACCATGGGGAGGATGTGTGAGGTCTGCAACCGAACCATTTCGTTGTGAAGGTGTTGAGAAATTCCAACGTTTCCAGAATAGAGACAACGAACGACCCTTTTGTGTTGGTATTCAGGCTATTTGTTGAATTTCCGTGAATATGATACCCATGGACAGTTCCACGGGCCATAACAAAGTTCCAAGGTTGTCATATACCCGAATTAGCAAGATCAGGGTTTGAGGAGAAAAGGGACAAGGATAGATGACCAAGGTGAGAGGAAGGACAAAAACAGCAGATGGCGCAGTATGTCCGGCGAATTCCTATCCCATGCTCCAGGCACTGCAATCACCTTCAAAGACCAGAGCCCCAGCAGAGAGTCTGGAGCCACAGCTGAGCTTTTGGAGGAAGTGGAAGAAGTGGAGATGGCGATACAGGACCAACACCAAAATGAGTTGGAGGGGAGAGGGGGAGGGAGATGGAGGAGAAAGAGGTAGAGGGGGGAAGGGGAGAGAGACGGAGGGAAGGAGGGAAATAGGAAAAGAGGAGGGAAAGAGGGAAAGAGAGGCCCTTACAAAGGAAAGCTCGTTCACAGTGTAAAAGTTTTACACTGTTCACCTCTATAACTCTTCACTTGCCAAGATGTACAGCAAAGCCCATTGGCTTAGGCAATGCTTGTCTTCATGTATCCTTCACCCTTGTCCCTTCATTCCCAATAAAAACATGAATACCAGTCAGATATAGTTCCCTGGAACCTGCTGTAGAAGGACAACATGGAATACGAATAATATCAGGAGAAGCGAAAAATATTGACAGCTATCTCAATCATGTATTATAAACATAGTAGTCGAACAAAAAAAGACATAAAAGAGACAGCCCTGGAGACATCGACAACCCATCACAAACCCAGATAGCAAATCCCTGCATCTACCAACAAAGCAAAGAGGCTCGACAAATACATGCCAAGTAACCAAGGGTAGGGAGATAACGTGTTTTGCAAAGGTGTTGCAAGGAAATAGCCATAGCCAGTCAGTGGTCCCATTTCCAATCCATATCCATATCCATATCCATATTCATCACGCAAATCCAATGATCAAGTCCTATGCTATAAACACCTCGAGGCCCTAGGAGTTGAAACAAAAATCGTCAACTCCTTGGTAAGCTGCAACGAGGAAGATAGGTTGATCACAGGCAGAAATAGAATTGAAGCCAAAAAGAAAAAGGAAAAAGAATCGAAAAGGAGCCAGCCTTTGCCCTGCGGAATGATACATGTTGTACATCGGAGCAAGCTTCCCATTGAGCATCCCAAGTTTCGATGTCTATTGGCACGGTTGTGCCGGATAGACACAGCGAGAATCGAGAGCATCGAATGGGTGAAACAGTATTAGGCAATATCTTGAGAAGAATAAGAACAGTAACAAAGAAAGTAACATGAAATACTGTATGGATGCAAACAGGAAGCAAGTATAGAACGATCATAGGGAACGGGGCATATTCATTCGTTGCTTGTTTGAATAACTCATGACCGTTTTGGTTTCTTTTCGTTGTGTTTCCCAAGTTTCCCCTTTGCTCTGCATTCTGAGAAAGTGCACTTGCTTTTATGTATCTGCCTTAGGACCAAAGTCCAACGAAAGATCACAAGAACCATAGCAACTCAGGATAAAGATCAAAAGGGCACATGGAATTTAAACCCCGGCACAGTGTGACCAGCAACAACCGTGCTTGTGAAACAAAACCCCCAAACCGAAGACTCATCTCATGTCAACCGGTAGGAGACAGAAGCCAATCTAGTACTAGAACAAGGGATTCTTAACATCCTGGACTCCGCGTCGGATGACATCCTCGACGCGCCAGCGGGGAGGGGAAATATTGTCCGAGCGCTTGCGATGCCATTCCTTCTCCAGCTCTGGTGGAGGAGCTGGCTGTTCGGCGGCAGGCAGTGCACCACCGGCGATGCCAGTAGAGAATTTCAATTGGAGGACGTTGCCAATTTCATCGCAAGCGGTCAGCACACGGTCAAGATCATCCTTGGTGTGGGCGGCAGAGACACAGAAACGAGCACGGGACGACACCAGCGGAGTGGCCGGGTAACCGACGACAACGACAGAGATTTTTCGCCGGAGCATCTCGTGCGAGAATGCAGGCATCTTGGCCGGGTTAAAGAGAAGGAGTGGAACGATCGGTGAATCGTCGTGGCCATACACTATAAAGCCAAGGCGCTTCAAACCAAGACGGAGGTACCGCGAGTTGAAAGCCAATCGCTGCAATCGCTCCTCACCCTGGCCGGGAACGAACTCACCACTGATGATGCGCAGAGCGGAAGAAATCTGGGAAAGCACTGCAGGTGCGGGAGACTCGCCGAAGTAGACACCGGGGTTGGTGGCACGAAGTTGGTCGATCATCACCTTGTCTGCGGCAATGTAGCCACCGTTGGCACCGAATGACTTTGTAAGTGTGCCCATCAGGATGTCCACCTCGGAAGTATCGATACTGAAGTAATCACAAACACCACGTCCCTTGGGACCAATAGCTCCAATGGAGTGGGCCTCATCAACGAACAGGTTGAACTTGTACCGACGCTTCAACTGCACAAGACCAGGAAGGTTACACATGGAGCCTTCCATAGAGTAGAGTCCCTCGACCACGACCAGAATCTTCTTCCAGGGACGGTGAGTGCGGGGTTGTCCCTGAGAGATAGCCTCTCGAAGTCTCAACTCCAAGTCCTTCATGTCATTGTGCTTGAACATAGCAATGGAGGCGCCAGAGAGACGAGCGCCGAAACGGATGGAGGCATGGTTCAATTCATCGGAGATCAAAAGACATCCCTTTGAGACCAAGGCGGGGAAGACAGTTGCGTTGGTGCCAAAGCCCATGGAGAAAACCATAGATGATTCTTTGCCTACAAAGTTGGCAATCAGATCCTCCACTTCGACATGTAGATCCTGTGTGCCGGACTCCGCCCGAGTGCTGGGTGCTGAAATGCCATACTTCTTGATGGTTTCTTCCGCAATATCGGCACAAGGGCCATCCGATTGAGCGAAACCCAGGTAGTTGTACGAGCTCAAATTCAGGGTGTCGGTAGTGGTACCCGTCAGGAAGAAGTGCTGGTTGTGGTCATCCGTGCCGCGATCAATAAGAGTGATGGTGCGGCCGGGAACACCGGTCACGGGGCGCTCGAAGCAGTCGTTGATACGCAATTTCAAACGACGCACGTAGAAGTTGTCGAAATCACTGTTGAGGGCGCCATAGCCATTGCGAGGCTTGAGATGACGGTAATGTTCCTCGCGGAATCGCTTGCCAAAGAAATCACGGACATGCCCGAAAGCGATTAGGATTAGGTAACTGATATAGGTGGTGAGCAGGTAATAATACGGCGGCTCGTCCATCACCGGTTCTGGGAAGACACCACCGGGGTGTCGACTGGAGTATCGGTGGCTGGGATGACCGATCGGACCAAACTGAGCATGTTGCTTGGCCAGCCGACGAGCCTCCTCAGGGGTCGGAGGCTGGAAGAGTGTTGTTGGCAACTCGTCCATGTTGGGATTATCCGCGGTGGCTGTTGATAGAGAGATCGTCGGTAGGGACAGTGATGCCAAACTTATCGGCGGAGAAGAATTGCTAGGTTGAGAATGTCCACTCTGTACAGTTTCCGTCTTGGACTTTGGCGAGGCCGAAAATAACTGAGAAAGGCGATTGGACTTGACCGTGGGGGCCTTGATGGAGCTACCGCCCTTTCCCGAAGAAGGTGAAAAGGACGGCGGGTTGGTAGAGGTATCGTTCGAAGAGTTGCTGCTAAATCGACGAGGCATCGCAGGAGGAAACAACGTAAGGTTTCGGCACGGGATTTTTTTTCTCTCTTTTCACGTCAGGATCGAGGGGCGCTTTTGAGTTGTGCGCGTACGAATTGACGATATAAGGCAGGGACTACCGGAGGTAGTTGGGAGTTGACAGTTGACGTGTTTAAGTGGGCTGTGTTCTTGGGGACTTCAGCGGTCTTCGGCGGAGTCAATAGCAACCTCAGGCAATGTGTTCAATCTGGAAAGCGCAGCCAATTAGTTGATCGTTCTGGACTAGGCATCAATGCAACACCCCTGAGCCATGCTCCATTTCCCAAAATAAACCAGACTCGGGAACAGCTCACAAGTTGCACAGAGATTGAGACGTACCGCAAGGTTGATTTGAAGCGGGAGCCGAATACTCCGAAGGGGCTTAAAAGATCGCGTGTACGTGGAATGGGGGGCAAGAGACACGAAGGGGCAAGGAGCCCTACGTTCAGATGATGTACGGACCAATCTCCGTTGCACTACGAACAGAAATAATGAAGCACCGAAACGAGTACAAGGTTGAAGAAGAAGGAGAGTCTGAGAAGGTAAATAAGAGGACCTCCGTGTTTCCCTATGCTGCGTCAAATCCATTATGCAGTGACCTCCTGGTATTAATTAAAAACACATGCATTACAATGATAATTACATCTGATTGGCTGATATTTTGTAACAAGGAGGTATTATTACCTCAATACCAAAAGGTTTTCCTTTTTTTTCCGCACTAAAATCTCGGGCCCGAGAAGGGCCCAAATCCACAAAACCTTCGGAGACCAGTCGTATCCGTACTCCGTACTCCGTAGGTGTCTAGGCATATTATCTACCTAGGTATATTGTGCTATAACTACCAAAAGGCAGAACAGGGGTCATGCTTATCCGGCATATCCGATTCAATTCCCCTTCGAACCAAAGAAGTTACATCATGTCAATTTTCAAGGTCTCTGACACCTACACATCACCATATGTGACATGAAGATCTAAGGTTTTCCAAGATGAAAACGGCACAGTGCCTGAGGCAGAATGTCACTTTCGATCCAACGTGACATCTCTCTGTGACTCCATAAAATAATATATGCCTATATCAGAGAAGCCACATAATGTCATGTCCAGGGGGGCTTTTATATGATAAATTATCTTCCCCGTAGCCGCGGGAATCGGCAACTCGATACCCGATCACTCCCGCCCCGCCATCCCCCCTGGGGTAGTTGCATATTGTGTGACTCGCTCTTGACGGGTTCAAGCTTTGACCCTAGCTGTGAAGCCCTATCAAATCCTTCAAATCTGCTAGGAAGTCTATTGCCACATTGTCTTGGGTTCTAGTGGACAATTGGATTTGTTCAATATCAGTCGTGAGTCTACGGTCTACATACTCGACACTCCAAGTTCGATTCCCTAGCTTGATCGTGTGCGCTATCGCCACAAACTCCATCAACTATGCCTCATATCGAAGTCGTTGACCCGGAGGCCAAGGAGCTCTGGCGGCCGTCCTCTCCTGAGACAACCCAGATCTATGATTTCATGACCAAAGTAAACAAGAAGTATGGCTTATCACTGAATGACTACAACGCTCTCTGGAAATGGAGTGTCTCTGAACCAGCCCAATTCTGGGAGGAAATCTGGCACTATACGAAAATCAACACTCATAATCCATACCAACAGGTGAGTAATTCTCAATCGGTCCTAGATGCATCATCTTGGACATGAGATATTCGATCCTGACCCGATCTAAATAGGTCCTTGATTCAAAAGATGTGCTATTTCCTAGACCTTCATTCTTCGAAGGCAGCACTTTGAACTTCGCTGAGAATCTTCTATATCCCGCCACCTCGCCGGATGAAGATTCCGTAGCAGTGATCGGCGCCACTGAAGCAGCCCGCGAATTCATTTCGTGGAAGGAGCTGCGAGAGCGAGTTCGGCTGTGCGCAAACGCTTTGAAAGAAGCAGGCCTGGAGACCGGTGATCGTGTCGCTGGCTTCGTAGGCAATCATGCTAATACCGTCGTGGCAATGTTGGCCGCGGCCTCAATCGGGGCATTTTGGACCGGCGTATCTCCTGACACTGGTGTGCATGCGGTATTGGAGCGCTTGAAGCAGATTCAACCTAAGATTCTCTTTGCAGACAATGGCTCCTTCTACAATGGCAAGGTGCATGGTTCACATGCCAAAGTAAGGGAGATTGTCTCTGAATTGCCAGACCTTCAGCTTTTGGTGCTCCTGATTACTACCCCGGAACTTGAAGTTAAACTAGATGACCTTCGACCTGCAAATGGGAAAGCAAAGGTCTATGATAATTTTGTGTCTGAGGTCAAGAACCCTCAGGCGCCATTGGAGTTTGCAAGCTTGAGACCGGATCATCCCGTCTATATCTTGTATTCATCCGGTACAACAGGGGCTCCCAAGCCTATTGTTCATGGGTCTCTGGGCACATTGCTGCAGCACAAGAAAGAACATCTTCTTCACTGTGATATTCGACCAGGTGATCGCTTGTTCTACTTCACAACGACAACCTGGATGATGTGGCACTGGTTGGTATCGGGCTTGGCCAGTGGAGCAACGATCGTCCTGTACGATGGTTCACCCTTCCGACCCTTTGATACTGAAGGCGGAAAGGGAGAAATGGCCATGCCGCGGCTGGTCGAAGAGCTTCAAATTACCCATTTCGGTACATCAGCTAAATACCTCTCTCTCCTCGAACAAGCTGCTTTGAACCCGCGCAAGCATGCCCACAGGCCAGTGTCGTTGAAGACCCTAAGGGCCATCTTCAGTACTGGATCTCCATTAGCACCATCGACATTCGAATACGTTTACTCCTCTTTCCACCACGACATCATGCTTGGTTCCATCACGGGTGGCACAGACATTCTCTCTCTGTTCGCTTCCGGTTGCCCTATTCTCCCGGTTTACAAAGGAGAAATCCAGTGTCGCTCTTTGGGAATGGACATATCAGTTTTCGACTATGCTGGCAATGATATCAGTGCAACAGGCGAACCCGGTGATCTTGTCTGCGTCACACCCTTCCCGGCTCAACCAGTCATGTTTTGGCCCCCAGGACCAACGGGCTTGGAAAAGTACCGGAAGAGCTACTTCGACGTGTTCGGGCCCTCAGTGTGGCACCATGGAGACTACGTGCGCTTGAACCCACAAACTGGAGGTGTGGTCATGCTAGGCCGCAGCGACGGCGTACTCAAGCCATCCGGAGTGCGATTTGGAAGTGCCGAGATTTATAATATTCTACTCAAGCATTTCGCTGACGATGTAGAAGATTCTCTTTGCATTGGTCGGAGGCGAGATGGTGTTGATTCCGATGAGACTGTCGTTCTGTTTGTCCGGCTTACTTCTGGCAACGAGTGTGGTATGCCGGCGGATCTCGCGGCACGCATTCAGTCCACCATTCGCAAGGAACTCAGTCCCCGCCATGTCCCTGGCATTATTGACGCATGTCCCGAGATTCCGGTGACTTCCAATGGCAAGAAGGTCGAGAATGCTGTCAAGCAGATTCTGTGTGGGCTTAACATCAAGATTGGTGCAAGTGTTGCGAATGCTTCATGTCTTGATTGGTATAGAAACTGGGCTTCAGAACACCCTTAGATTTTCATTTCTTTTATTACATAGAAAAATTGCCGATTCGTTTTAATTTGCTGCAGATTAAATGTTATCAACATTTTACATTTCATATCCACGTTGCCCATTCGTATATATATTTAAGCCCTGCAGGTCTTCCAAGGTTGGTCCCAGGGTAAGCGGATTTGCATCTGGGCAGCTCTGCTGCATCTAGACACGGATGGAGACAAAAAAATTCACAAAGAACACGCTTCTTGTTAAAAAAATATTAATAATATGATTGTAAAAAATCCATCCACTTCAATCTGCTATGTCACAAAAGAACATCTGGACCATCATGCAACGGATTAGCTAAGCATCTCGGATCGAGGCTCCATTACGATTCTTCGCCGACAATCCGTCCGAGCTACATCACCTCTTCCGGATATATTCGGTACACCAAGATACCCTGAATTGACCACGCCGTTGGATTTGTACAGAATTAGCCATCATGCGCCGCACAGCATTGCGGGCCATTGAGTCTGCGAAGCCATTGACACGAGCTCCTCGCGCCGTGTCAAGAAGCCTCTCTACCATCAATGACTCGGCCAAGGTAAGAGATCCTTTTGAGGTTTTGCAACATAGCGTCATATGTAACTGACAATTCATTTGTTTATTCACAGGATCCCGCCGAATTAGAACAGATCACGACACTTCCAAATGGAGTTCGCGTCGCCACGGAATCATTACCAGGTCCCTTCGCTGGTGTCGGAGTCTACGTCGATGCCGGATCTCGTTACGAAGATGAGAGCCTGCGCGGAGTCAGCCACATTATGGACCGTCTAGCATTCAAGTCTACAAAGGCGCGCACCGGAGATGAGATGCTTGAGATTCTTGAGTCCCTCGGCGGCAACATCCAGTGTGCCTCATCTCGGGAATCGTTGATGTACCAGTCGGCCAGTTTCAACTCCGCAGTTCCTACCACGCTCGGTTTGCTTGCGGAGACCATCCGCGACCCCCTCATCACCGAAGAAGAGGTTATCCAACAGCTCGCAACCGCGGAGTACGAGATTGGCGAGATTTGGGCGAAGCCGGAACTCATCCTTCCGGAATTAGTGCATATGACTGCCTATGCCGACAACACCCTTGGAAATCCGCTATTGTGCCCGGAAGAACGATTGGGCGAAATCAATAAGGCAGTGGTGGAGCGGTATAGGGAACTCTTCTTCAACCCGGATCGGATGGTGGTTGCGTTTGCCGGAGTGCCCCATGGGGAGGCTGTTAAGCTCACAGAGCAGTACTTTGGCGACATGAAGCCGAGTGACATCAGCAAGACCAAGGGTCCTATACTGTCCGGCAGTGGAATCGAAACCACACTGTCTGATTCCCAAGCGGCCGCCCACGAAGGCCAGGTGCCGACCGTTCCTTCCTTCACCCCCTCATCCACAATTAGCAGCCCGGCTGCTTCCCAAAAAACACAAAGCTCGCTCTTGTCGAAGCTTCCATTCCTCAAGAACCTCTCTTCCTCTAAGAACTCTACAGTCGAGCCTCTCCACTCATCCCTGGTTAAGCCATCCACGCTAAACCTTCGACAACCTGCTCACTACACTGGTGGGTTCATTGCCCTCCCTTCGATTCCCCCACCAGCGAGCCCCATGCTTCCTCGCCTGAGTCACATCCACCTTGCATTCGAGGCTCTCCCCATCTCCTCGCCTGATATCTATGCCCTCGCCACTCTCCAGACCCTCCTTGGTGGTGGTGGCTCATTCTCAGCTGGTGGCCCTGGAAAGGGTATGTACTCGCGACTCTACACTAACGTGCTGAACCAGCACGGTTGGGTCGAGAGCTGCATTGCTTTCAACCACAGCTACACCGATAGTGGAATCTTTGGAATTTCCGCATCCTGCAGCCCCACCCGGATCACAGAGATGGTCGAGGTCATGTGCCGTGAACTCCAGTCCTTGACTTTGGATACTGGCTACAGCTCTCTGCAAGCGCAGGAAGTCAACCGTGCGAAGAACCAGCTCCGTTCATCGCTGCTCATGAACCTCGAGTCTCGCATGGTCGAGCTCGAGGATCTTGGACGCCAGGTGCAGGTTCACGGACGCAAGGTCAGTGTCCGGGAGATGTGCGAGCAGATTGAGGCCCTCACTGTCGAGGACCTCCGCCGTGTGGCTCGCAAGGTCTTCGGTGGCCAGGTCGAAAACGAGGGCAAGGGCACTGGTAAGCCTACTGTTGTGTTGCAGGAGGGCGAGTTGGAAGGTTATAAGCTCCGGAGCTTCCCCTGGGAGGAGATCCAAGAGCGCATTGCCCGGTGGAAGCTTGGCCGACGGTAAATAGATGATTCTATGCCTCTGGGCTCGCGTGGATATGTCGAACATAAAGATGTGGTGATATGGTCACATCTAGAGGATAATCTGTAATTATAGACTATGGCCAGCATTTCGACTCTGTAGAATACACCTCTCTTTCTCTTTCAGGCTTTATATGAACACCTAGCCTTTCTCAACTTATCTTTTCTATTTATCTTTTCATCCTTGGTTATTTGTACAGTTCATGCTTTTTACCGCCTTCGTATAATACATTTTGAAAGACACCCAAGAAGATATTCAAAAAGATATCTATAAAATAGACATAAAAAATAATATCCAAAACACGTCGGTGACCACTCTTAATACAACGTCCCTGATATTGTCTTGGCCAAATATTCTTGTAAACATCAGTTCGCAAGATCACCAAAAAAACAAATGACATCGTTGTCGGTGGGTCCAAGCTCTTCGCCGCTTTTCGGCAAAAAAGTCGGAGCGAAACCAGAGCGTCCTCCCATCATTCAACCATCACCTCCAACTAGACCCCCTTCGACACTCCCATCCAAACCGCCCAAAATGGTCAAGCTTACTGAAGTCGAAGACGAGCACTTCACCGACAAGCCTACTGCCACCAAGAACGACGCTCTCCTGGTCTCCGATGATGAGGATGACTACTCAGACACTGGTTAGTACCGAATCCCGAACGCCCATACCCGGAACTTGCATCGCGCCATTGTCATTTGCATGGGGAATTGCCTCTATGGGAGTATAATTTGCTCCCTGAGTACCCTCATATCCCAGTCCCTATCCCAAACCCCCAACGACGCGACCTCGAAACCCCAGAAATGAACCCATTAGTCGCAAATAAACATCAAGACCCTTATCTGACATGGACATGAATGGAAAACAGACTCTGAGATCTCCGACGATGAGGATGTCGACCTTGAGGCCGAGACGCTCTACGAGCGTGTCGCCGCTCTGAAAGACATGATTCCTCCCTCCGCCCGCCGCACTGTCTCCAACACCGTCTCTTCCATCACAGACCTCACCAAGGCCAGCTTCTCATTCAGCGGCAAGGCCCTTTGGATTATCAGCACCAGTGCTTTCCTGCTCGGTGTGCCATTCGCCTTGGCCTACGCCGAGGAGGAGCAGTACATCCAGATGGAGCGCGAGCAGGGAATGATCAAGGGAGCTAACGAGGTACGTGTCCTGTGTTTTCTTCTGTTTTGTTTCCTTGGTTTTATCAGATTGCTACAATTATCTCAATCCCCGATTTGTGCTGTCATTCGCACAATTGACACCGTGTACATTGCCTCGGGTATTGGTATCTCGGCAATCTTCAAAACCACTTCTTTTTCCTCAACGCTATCATCACATGCTATTTTCGCGCTCTTCAGCCAGTCCTTGAAAACTTATACTGATTATAATTCCTACTTGCAGATGCTCACCCCCGGCACCGAAACCGAGAAGGTGGCTCAACCCACTCTGTAAATTAATACCACTTCGGAAAGCAGAGAGATTGGCAAATGATCCAGCGATACCATTATCGACCACGAGACTTGGTTTATGCAAACAGCATACCCAAGCAGATGTCGACGCGATCCTGTTACATCCTGCCAATCACCCTTTTTTTTTGGTCAGATCTCAAAATACAGGACTACAAGCACACGGAAAGAGTTGGTTTCCCGATTCACTTCTTGTCTTGACTTGTTCGGATCTTTGTTATACTTCTTGTCTTTTTACTTCCTTTTTTATCTCGCATCTCCCATGCTTTCTGACATTTTGGCTCCGGCAGCTTATGCATGCATGTATTTGTACAACCCCAATCATCTTTCTTCCTGTTTCTCTATACACCTTTTATTCTTCTCTCCCCATGTGCATGTCCAGGTAATGAAAACGGATGGGTTTGGTTATATTCTTTGCATTCTGTAGTCCTAGTCTCTCTACGGGGACTAGAGAAAGAAGGCCGACGATTACCTAAAACGGCATTGAATGTAGATATCAAGTAGGCTCTTTTGTGAAGATGGTCTCTCGAAATGGCCAGCTTGCCATTGCTATGCTAAGCCCACACGTCCTTACCATCGTAGGCTATGTATGTAGCTAAGCTGATCGGAACGCATGAGTAGGAATATGCAAAAAAAAGGGTATCATTGTGAAAGCTCAAGCAACCGGACAAAGTCCACAAGAGGAAAGCAGTGTCATGAAACTAGTTACAAGGGTCGTAGTCTTCATGGGAGCTCATGATAAAGCCATTATTCGAAGATAAATACTTACCCTCGGGTGAAATGGCTCTTGGATATGATCATTTCATCATCCGTGGATAGACTAAATACAAGAACAGGCCTGATTAGCATCATGGAAACCCCGGAATCAATCAAACAACAATCACATACCTCTTTCTCACGAGCAGACTTAAGATTAATGTGGAAGTCTCGCCAAAGCTTATCGACTTCACCAGTTCCAGTCATGCTATCGAGAACATCATTTGCATTTCGCGTCTTCCGCTTGATGCTCAAATCATTTCGTCGCAAGATCTCGTCGTCATCCATGTGACCCGTACGCTCGAGGAAGTCGATAACCCATTCATTGAGATGGTAGCGCCAGTGGGTGAGGGTGTGGGCGAGCTGGGCTCTCGCCTTGCATTGTCTGTTGAAACAAAAGGATGCGGTCAGAGGGTGAGTTCGATCGAAACGGTTGTCTAAATGAAACTTACTTTCCTAGGAAATAACGGACATTCTCGGGAGGAAGGACATGGCCATCCCGGTCCCGTTCCTTTCCATCATCGTCCTTCTTAGAATCCTCATCGCTATCGTCGCTGTCATCATTCTCATCTTCCAGTGGCTCCAAGGTCTGTAGGGAATACGCTTTCCCGTAGAGCTTTACATCACTGGACGCAGGATGTCCAGAGCGTCTGCAAGCATCACAGGGATGATTCTCCTCTGTGGGGAAGGCGGCGATTTCAATGTGTGGTCGGGCCTGGAGGGCATAGACAAAACTGGGGTTCCAGACTGAGGAGATCAGCTGTGAACCCGCCCGACCCTTGACTTCATCTTCCAGTTTCATGAATGCCATCTTGTACATGTCGTCAGAGCGAGGGAAGGCCGGGTTTAGTTTGTTTTGCACCATCCAGCCGATGACGTCGCGGAAGTATTCCTTCGGCTGCTTATATGCATGTCGTGTGAACTCGAAGGGGATCTCTTCGGTGGGCACACCGAGATCGTTCGTCTCGTCGTCAAGAACAAAGTCGTCTTCGTACCGGTCAAGGTTCTCGTTGGGGTCGATGGCTGATTCTATGTCGCTGTCATCGTTGTTATGTCGCCAGAGACCACGACCAGCGGGGCTAGCATCGCTGCCGGGTTGTTTAATCTCTTGCACGTCTTCATCATCTTCGTCTTCTTCATCATCATCTTCTTCTTCGTCATCCTCTTCCTCATCTTTCACACCAGCCCGTCTGCGTCGGAGGGCTTCAAGATGCTTCATTCTCTTGTCTCGGGCAGATTCGACATTCCGGCCGCGAGTTCGACTTTTCTTAACAACTGCGCATGATTGGTATCAGCATGAATACACGAGCCTCGTGCGCTAATTGATTCCTACCTGAATCCTGAAGGTCCTCCAAATCCTCTGCGATATCAAGTCTGGCCTGTTTCGAGATGTGGCGGGGAGTCTGGGGAGCCTGCGGAGTGTTTTTTTCCTGTCCACGTCGGAGCCTCTTTATTGGCGAGGACGCCAATGGTTCGTCCGAGTCATCGTCGTCACTTTTAGACATAGCGGCTGGCCTTGCTAACCTGCGCCTCTTAGCGGTCGAAGGAGCTATTGACTCGTTTGAATCATCGTCGCTGAGTATAACAGGCGAGCTTGAAGAACGGCCACCTCGGGTAGACCTGCGCCGCTTGGCGACCGAAGAAGCCACTGGCTCGTCTGAGTCGCTGGAGTCAATCGGCGGGCTTGCGGCCTTTCGCTTGAGTGTTTGGCGCGGCTGGGATAGCTCCTCCGAATCAGAACCATCTGTGCTCTCAGCCTGTTTCTTTGAGAATTGTAAGGGTCGTTGTGATTTCCGGGCGTGGGATTTCTTCGCATCTTGGAGGTTATCGAGCTTTGATGGGCTGTGGATCAACACCTCGAGGTTATCAGGTAGCGCGGCTTGCTTTCTCTTCTGGGAGGCGGGGATGATAGGTTCGTCTAGTGATTCATTGTCCGATTGAGCTTCTACAAACAGTTTGTCTCTTGAATTTTAGCTTTCTGGTTGTATCGAGGGGAGAGCATCACCGTACTTGCAGGTTTGGACCTTGTCTTGGTGGGGAGCTTCTGCCGTTTCTTCTCGGGTGAAGTCTGCGGCTTGCTTTTGGAGGTCTTTGGAGGACGGTATGTGCCCAAGCCTGGGTTGTCGTATGTGAGGGTCGCATATCGATTGCTTTGCTCCAGACCCGCATCCGCTGAGGGTGTAGCGGTTGAAGTAGCAAAGGCAAGTCGCGTCTGCTTTTTCTTCGATTTGCGGGGTGGCATTGTGAGTTGTCAAAATGATAGAGAAGGTTGGATTGGAAGACGGAGTGTTGTGTTCATATAGCTAGATATGTCATAGCAAAGTCAAAGAAAAAGAAATATGTTCAAAGAAGAGTAAAGCTGGAGTCTGCCAGATCAAAGTGGGACCTTCGCCGTCGCGGATTGCGCGTTGGGAAAATCACGAGAACACGTGATCTATATACTTAAAAGATCAAATCACCTTGGAGAGCCCTGGAAGCGATCTTTGAGAAATATATTCTTATGCTAAAGATGTATTCGCCAGGTTTCCTTGTGCTTTGGAGGAAAAGGGTGGTTGTCTTGAAGGAGCATCACTGAAGGTGGAAGTGAGAGAACTACCCTTGCAGTACATGGTGTATATGGTAACTGCCAAATTTCCAGATCGGAAAGCAAATGGAATAGTTGATCAGAATCTTGGAAATATCTTTGAATATGTTACATTGACACTTTAACCAGGGTGTTATATACTGCAGCTGTGCGGCATGATTTGAACAAGCCGGACCCTATGCAATTATCCATAGAAGGCAGATTCGTCTGTTCTTATAGAAACAAAACAAAGACCAAAGGTATTCAATATATAAGAATACCTGGTCACTGATACGGCCTTGTTTCTTTTGTTTTTGCTGGTCTTTTTCAAAGTCTTCTTGGATGTCTCGGATTTTCTTTTTTGGACGCCCCTTTTGTAGATCCGTTCTCCTTATAGGGTTTATAGCTAGGAGGATAAGAAGAATTAGCCATAAAATATGGAATACGGCCATGAAAAGGTTTAAAACACGTAAAACGACTTTTCCAAGTACAACATGCGATTGGGGCTTCTCTAATATGTGTGCCGCTCTGTGTATTTCCGAAAGATCTCCTTTGTATAGGTCCGATACTCAATGGATCTTTCTACTTAAATCTTGTTTCCTCCCCCGCTAGCCTATTGTGAAAAGAAATTTGAAGGAATTTTTTTACTCCTTGGTTTTATGTCTTTAGTCTATTTCTACATTTGTAGTTTGAAGACCAGCTAGTTAACTAGTTAGTTATGTAGTGATCCATGTAGCACATGTTGCCTTCTGATCCTCGGTTAAACTCGGCATTCATAGGAGGAAACATTGTAGCAGATAAGTACATATAGCCTAAAATACAACCCTGGAAGATGCTAAAAGAAAAAAAAAAAAAAAAAAAAAAGGAATCAAAACACCCCTGTAATATCAACAGGATATACGGAGTACAAAGTAGTAATAAAATGCTGCCCTAACTCTACTAAGGATAAGGATAAAGCCAGCCCTATCTCCAGGTTAAAAGAAGCATCGAAATCCAGTCGTCTATTATTTCTTATTTGGTTAGTTTAGCGCCATTGTCGAGTGTCTTAAATCTACATGCTGCAATCCTTCACCATTTACCCTATTGGTGGACTTTGGCTTTCTCCTAAGCCACTGTCATCCAACCCCCGATTCGTGGAAACTCCCCCAACTTCATCTCGCCGGAACGAAAGCTTGAAAAATATCCTCGAACCCCAGATCCCTATTACCCCAGGTCCAGCTAGCGCATTTGAAAAAGCTCCAAACCAATGAGAAATCGAATGGGGTGTGAGATATGCTCTACTCATGTGCCATTGACTCCAGACACCCCACCACTCAGCGATCATGGAGACAAGGGCTCCCCGTTATCTAAATGCCAAAATATGCTTAGCGTGTCCGGGGTTGTGAATTCTGGGGATGGTCTGATCCACCCGTGGCGTTTCTCTGTTCACATGGGCTGGGGTTGCAGCTCCGTCCCCGGAATGCCCTTATCCTTTCTTCCTGTCTTATATAGCTGCAGCCTCCGCCCACTCAGGTGTAACCCGTGGAGTTTAGCTCATCTTTAACTGTTCTCTCATCTTACCAGAGGGCTACTGTCACTTCCTGCTTTCTTAAATAAACTTGTGGAGTGTGGTACTATCGATCTGGTAAAGATCGTCAACCTCACTGTCAAACAAGTCCGGTCTCATCCCATCAAAATGGGCCTTTTAATGACCCGCAAGAGAGCGTACAATTGGTTAGTACACAATCATCTACCTCCGAAGAACATATTATAATCCGACTTTCTAGGTACATCTCTTGCGTTGCAGCATCATGCATGGTGCTCTATGGCTACGATGCCTCTGTGTTCAACTCCGTCCAGGGTTCCAAGAATTGGCTAGCTTGGATGAACAACCCAAATGCGAACACGATAGGCTCAATTAATACAGCATACACGGTCGGTGCTATCTTTGGTGGTTTCTTCCTGGGAGGACCGTGTGCAGACTTCCTAGGCCGCAAGCTTGGAATGGGCATTGGTTGTATTTTGGTCGTTGTTGCCACCTTTATGCAAACCTTCGCTCCTCGCCACGATCTTGCTTGCTTCCTTGCAGGTAGATGTATCATTGGTATTGGTCAGGGTATTGCATTGAGTACGTCTTGTTGGTCGCGTGGTGTCAATGGCATGAGCTAATAGAGTTACTTCGCAGCTGCTGGCCCTATCTACATTGGTGAACTGGCTCCGCCAGAGATCCGCGGTAAGATCATGACTTTCTGGCAGATGTTCTACTCTGTTGGATCATTCATCTGCTTCTGGATCAACTTTGCCTGCACCAAAAATGTTCCTAAGCTGGGCGAGTGGGACTGGAAGTTGGTTGTCATTTTCCAGCTTTTGGTTCCTGTTTTGATCCTTGTCCTTCTGCCGACTATCCCCGGCAGCCCTCGTTGGTAAGTCGCTTTTGGTAGTTTCCCCATTGGACGCAAGCAATTCTGACAATAACTAGGTACATTCAGAGAGGCAACAAGATTGAGAAGGCTCGCGAAGCCCTGCGAAAAGTTCGCGATACCGAGGAGGAAGTCGAACAAGAGCTGTTGGAGATTCGCGAGGCCATCGAATACGAGAGGGAGGCCATCTCTAGCAATTACTCTGCTCTCTGGAAGGACAAGTCTCTGCGCAAGCGCATGGCTCTGGCTCTGGTCCTCAATGCCGGCCAACAGATCACCGGACAAGGCTCGCTCAACTCGTACTCTACCAAGATCTACCAGAAGGTGTTTACCAGCGACAGTCAGATTGCTCTGATCAACGCACTTAACGCCACCTTTGGAATTTTCTTCACCCTGAATGCTGTCTGGATTATTGATCGTTTCGGAAGAAAGTTCCTTCTGATTGTCGGTGGTATTGGCATGGGTCTCTGCATGATTATTGTCTCTGCAGTCGAAACAGAAACACCACAACTCGCCAACGGAGCCAAGTCAGAACCAGTTGGAATATCGATTGTGTTCCTTATGTTCCTGTTCATCTTCTTCTGTAAGTTCCATCTACTCACCATCTCCCCGCAAATGAAACTCTACTAACATCATTTCTTAGACAAACCATCTTGGGGCGCAACAGTATGGATCTGGACGTCCGAAATTTTCTCAATGAACGTCCGCGCCCAGGCCGTGGGTATGGCATCGCAGACGCAGAATGTCGCCAACGCTATTGTGCAGCAATTCTTCCCTATTTTCCTCGACAATGAGGGTTTCTATGCCTTCTACATGTTTGCTGGTATCAACTTCCTACTTGCCATCTTCGTTTGGTTCCTCATTCCGGAGACCAAGCAGGTTCCTCTCGAGGAGATTGATATTCTGTTCGGTGGTGCCAACCACGTTGCTCAGGGAGAGGAGGTGCTGGCACACCAGAAGGGAGTTCAGATGAGCCACGAAGGAGGCGAAAAACCTGAGACTGTTACTGTGGAGCATGCTCAGAAGTAGGTGACTTGTGTCTATGCCATGATTTTGATATACCAATTGCGGTGTTTGTGTCTGAAAATTTAATAAGCGACACGATATATACTTTTGTTTAGCAGGTAGTCTCTAATGTAAGTGCGCCGAGCGCGCCTTATGAAGCCCGTTTAGTACTTGAGATTCTTATTAGGTATATCATGTTTAAATAAGTGACAAGTAAAAAGTACACATACACCGAATTTTAGGCCGCACGAGTTGGCTTTCCCTTTCCACTTTAGTGCTCACCCTTGCCGCTTTTCATCCACCGAGCCCTGGAGCATCTGTGGACGACCTTATTATTACATATGCCAAGGATGTGCCTACCTGGGTGCCTAGGTGCTCGCTGAGCGTCACCTATGACCTGAGCAAACCTTGGAAGCGGAGAGCAGCTAAGTCAGCAGCTCACCTCAATATAATGCACCAAGCTAGCCCCGTCCATATGCAGTCTTTCAGACAATGACCATTATGGAGCTGAAAAAGTATACTTAGAGAGAGGATCAGACAGAAGAGGGTGATGATTCTATGAAGTGTTTAGCCGGAGCATCCAACAACGGCAACTGATGCTGAATGCTAAATGCTAGCATATCAGACATACACAGGCTCGAAATCTAGTCTGTTATGACGTATTATCACATCCATGTGCTTCTGTCGCACAAACCAGGCATTGAAAGTCTCCCATTTCTTGTTGATGTCTTCAAGCTCGATCTGTGTTTGACTTCAGTTACGGTCTTTGTCATTGTAATTTAATCAAAGCGGAAACTTACCTGGTACTTCAGGAACAGTGAAGGTATCAACTTATAAATCTCCAACAGGCTGATATTCTTTCCAATGCAAGTCCTCGGGCCGGCCCCGAAAGTGAAATTGGCCCGAAGCATCTGCTGCCTGCGGGTCTGATATTGACTGTCAGATTCATGATCTGCTTGTAGCCATCGCTCTGGGATAAACGAGTTCACATCGTCTCCAAAGACCGAATGGCGATGGATGATCCATGGGTTGGCGCCGACAATCGTCCCTGCTGGTAGGAAGGGCCCACCATTCGGAAGCTGGAGCCCTTCAGCAGGGACTATTCGCTCCAGAATGAGCCCTATAGCGGGGTGTAGGCGGAGGGCCTCTTTGATGACAGCGTCGAGATAAGGCAGTTGCTCCTGGCTCTGTTTCCACGAGACCGGTAACGAAATTCTTTCTGCTTGGTAGGCAGTGTTGAGCTCCTGATGAAGCTTCGCTTTGACCCGGGGACTTTTCAGCGTGTAGTAGAGGATGGCCCTTAGCGAAATTGCAGTTGTGTCTGAACCCGCGTTCATATTGGCAACTGTATAGGAGAAGACCTGGTGATCGTTTACGACCTCAGGATATTGCTCTTTTGCCTCCAAAAACCGAAAGAGAAAGTCTTTCCGTGGCTGTGCACAGGTATTTTTAGGAGAATGCAATGTCTTCGACTGCTTTAGCCTTTCGTCTAGCCGGGCACGCGCGAAACGAGCGATAGCCCCAGTAGAACCTCCCTGAATGAACTGCCTAAGAGGGTTTTTAATCAAGACGTAATCCAACCATGGCATTTGGCCAACCTAATGATATTTAGTATGTTAGGCCAGTTAGTATCTCATTGATAAAACTCACCTTGCCAGAATAATCGAGTATCTTCTCGAGGGCAGCAATGATCCCATCTATATCTCTCCCTCGTTCCAGAAATCCGAGCGGCTTGCTAAATGTCAATTCGCCAATGACATCGAATGCGTCTGTTCTCATGGTGAGCTTCTCCAAACCCTTTACTGAATATAATCACAAGTCCACGTACAATATTGCAGCCACGTTGCAATATCACACACTTGATTATGAGCCACAAACCCATCCAATCTTTTAAATAGAGTATGAATTGTGGTGTCCACAAACGGCTCAAACTCCTTCAGCGTACTCATAGAGTATGCAGCGGAGATAGGTCGCTTAATTGCCGCGTGAAAACTTTCATCTGTAGTCGTGAAGAGGGTCGATGCCGGTTTGCCTTTAGATAACTGCTGTTGTACCTTGTAGAAGTCGGTCTAGAAATTTGTCAATTTTAATAGGACTCCACTTAATCAGTATTACTCACTTTTTTATAGCCTTTGTTGATCCCATATATTATTTTCAGTGCATCCAGATTCCACACGCTCACTACATTCGGGCCCAGTCGTACATAATCCCCGTGTGTCCGGTGTAGATTGTATAATGTTGCCTCTGCACCTCCATTTGCAACGTCGAAGAATCTCCAGATGTTGGAGATTTTCGCCAAGAAAGGACCTGGCACGACACACACTCCCGGCGTAAGATAGTTGCGAGTGAAATGGATTATGACAAGGAGGAGAACAACAATGAATATATGCTGCGCCGAAAAGGCCACCAAGTCAGATATCATTGCCATGACGGACGTCTTGTTCATGAACCCTCAGGATTAGCTTGATACGGAATCTTTCCATTCGTCTTCACTTTATTTATACGTTTGAATACGTAGAGCCCTAACCTGTCTCTTCTCTAGGCAAGAGCCAAAGCCCTAGGCCCTAGCATCCTTATCTCCCCGTGGTTTGTGTCCAGGTGTGTAGAAAAAGGTTAAATAGTCGCGGAATACTTCCGTTCCTAGTATCACACATATTGTCAGCAACTAACATCAGGAGGCTTCTTCTTAGAGATATGGAGAGAGTATAGTCATCAGAAACGCGAGGTCATCAAAAGACAACCTTTTGTCGATAAAAAAAAACATTATCCGGATTCACGTTCACCCCATACATCTATCTTCATCTCTACCAACCACTAGATGATCGCACTTCGCAGAAAGGCCCAAGGCTTTTGCCGATCGGGACAAGGCATGTTTCTCTGGAACAATGGAACTGCCGACCTAAAATGACTTTGAGAGCCGTTCGTGAGTGGTTTGAGCCGATGTAATCTGTGGGAGGGATTTTGAAAGCCATATTGACAAATAGCTAGGAATTAGGCTCTTCATACATACCATAGTAGGTTCCAGTTATCCACATATTTAGTTCCTGCATATTGACCACTGCGTTTCTTTTAGCTACTAGATTGATATCTTGAGTTCCGCTGTATTCAAATGAGGTGATCTTCCGAATACGTGTGACACATATTTCCAGTTTTGAGGAAATCCTTGCTTATTTTGTCTCTCTCCTGCCTCATTTGGTTTCGAACCTCAACCGCCTCCGCAAGTCTCATTGAATCATCCTCCCCTACGGTCTTTATTGATTGTGAAGTGTCAACCCAGCTTGGGTCCTGGGGTGGCACATTTTGAGTTGAGCAGATTCGATAATGCGGGTCTACCAACCACAAAGTTGCAAATCGAAGGTACCCCGGCCGCAGTGGATCTGCGAGACTGAAAGGCTCGGCCTTAGACCGCACTGTACCTGGCCAAGCAATAACTTGCCCATTCCGTGAAATCGGGATAGATCCCATGGTTTGTAGAGCATCCAGGGAGTCAGGATCATCGCTGTCCCATTGCCACCCAGGAACATCAAAAAGTCGATCCATAACCTCAAAGTACGCAATGTTGTAATCATAGCTATAGATCTTCGTCTCTTGCTGGAATGAAACCTTTGCATCTTTGATGTTCTGTATATCAAAGTAGCATGTAGCTGTGGAAACGATGTGCTCATTGAGAATGCCAGTAACGTTGTGATGGGAATCACCAGCATACAAAGGCTGTTCTGGGGTGAGCTCAATAGTTGACACTCGAACTATGATTTGCAGGCCCTCAAACTGATCTTGGAGAGATACAGAGTAGTACTGGTGATCTGGATCAGGAATTGGGGGAGGTTCATTAGGCTCGGTCCATCTGGGCATGATCGCGCGGCCAGTATTTTCACCAGTCTTCCATTCATCGTATGTGAAGGAGATCCCTGGTTCAACGCCTCTCACAGCAAACAAGCGCTTACCCTTTGCGAGCACTAATTCTTGCAGTGCTTCGAAAGAATTCCATTGCCATGGCTGCATGCTAGCGAGAAGATCATGGTACCCAGAGTCAGGCCATATGCGGTATCGCTTCTCCTGCTCGGGGAGACTAAGATATTCTCTTACTCGGGATCGAACCTCATGCCATTCTTCTTCTGTGATTGGTAATTTTTGTCTCCTCACGTTGCCCAGGTAATAATATATCTTTGGATACCATTCATAGCCTTCCACTTCAAAGTCATAAGTCCTGATTCGAATTGGTGTCCGACCTTGATCTCCAAAGATAAGCATTTCGTTCCACGGTTGCATGGCGACCGAAATAAGCCCTTCGAGCACTTTGTATATGCCCCTTTCCTTTGGATGCACACCATTGATATAGGAGGTGATTTTAGCGCCTCCTTGCTTGTTCAAAGCAACCTCACAGGGAAGACATTGAAAGACATTGGACCAGTATCTTCGCTTTCCATGATACCGCTGATCCCTCTTGTCTCTTCCTTTTCTCTCTTTGAACTGCATCTCGTACTGTCTATCGGTTTGTTTCTCGGGAATTGGAGCAATCTGGGACTCCGATGGTGTCCAGGACTCAGGTCTCTCCAGATCAACTTTGCCCCCGTCGGCAAGGACTCGAGTGCGGCCATAAACGAGAGGATACATGAAGGGATCAACCACATGTCGAACTGGACTTTCAGAATCACTCCCAGGAGTATCATCTGAGGCACAAGACGGACCGGATCTCAATTGCGAAAAAAGTGGCGACATGGATTCGCGAAGCTCTTTGAGAAGATCGTCATGAACTTGAGACTTGATGACTCGTGAGTCCGCATCAAACACAGCAACATATCCCGTGCGTTTGAAATCAACCGCTTTGTCTCGCAGCTCCTTGACACACCACTGCCATGAGGGTTCATCGAGATCAAAGACCGAAACGGCGTGCTGATGCCATTTTTCCAGTGTCTGCGGGTCCTCGGTCTTGTTTTCCCAGTCCAGCTGTTCTGTGACATACGACATGAGCTGCAGCATGGAAAGCTCTCGTAGAAATAACTGGGGACTTTGTCTCCAATCGGCAATCCCATGTGCAAAGCGATTGTCTTTTGAATGCTCATAGAACAGGGGTACACCATTGAAACCAGGCACCCGCAAGGGGCCGGTGCCACTGTTGTCCAGGTTAATAGGAGAAGGGTCTGGCTGAATCATCCCTGAGTTGCAGCGAGATGAATAAAAGGGGAGTTGGGTCGTTCTAGCGCGACTAGGTAGTCGGGGATGCAAGTGAAACCGTCGGAGGATGGTAGCCATTGAGAAAGGGCGATCAATTTGAGATTGCTGCCATAAGAGGTGAAAAGCGCAAAGAGATGGAGAGAGAGAGAGAGAGAGAGAGCAAAACGTGGACCTTGACTAGGATCAAGTGGGCCAAGTGAGTGGTAATTTTGATACAGGGCGTGTACAGGAGCGTCCGGATCTCCGGGTCTGGGCGCGGACGCTAAGCTTATCTATGGCTTATTTAGCTTATTTAGCTCGATTGTGAAATAAACTATTGCTTCACCACCCGCGGAATTCCGGAAATTGACCACGATCCTTCATGGAATCGAGACAAAAAATGAACCCGGAAATTGCCCGACAAAACGCCATCATCACATCAATGTTTGACCCTTCCATATTTACTCAACACTGGCAGTGCTCCGGTGGCCATTCTTGGTATGCTGCTGGGCTTTGACAGCGGCTCTGCAGTTGGCAAAATCAGCGATGAATCATTGGGAGCCCTTAAATACGATTCTCTCGCTGCCGCTCGGCGTGAAATGAAAAGTGCTGAGATACAGGAGTTTGGGCTTGTATTTGAAGAGAAGATGAATCGAGTTAGTTCTATTGTTAGCAAGTGCTTGAGACGTTGAGCTTTCAAGTCATGCAGCTACCAATTGTACCCATACATTGTTTTCCAAAACATCCCACAATGATGTTAAACCTCTAGATATAAACTTTCAAGACCATTGAGGACAAAAAGCGGCAGCCCTTTCAGGAAACGACTGAGATCCTGCTCAAATTGTTGTAAGACACAAGAGGTGTGCTCTGAGTATATTTTCTTGCAAACAGTGTGCAGTTGCTCAAACGGACGAGACAAAAACTGAAGAAGCCCACTGGTTATTGATGCGCCCAGCGGGTCAAAGTGCCGAGCGAGAAGTGAGCATTTATTGAGCTCTGTCTGTAAAGTGTAAAACCATTGCTTGCGTATGATCTTTAAGTGTCTGGTTGTGGGCCAAAGCTGGAAGTGTTCTCTCGTCAGGGTTGTTTTCTTTGAGTTCTCGGAAAACGGTGATGAGATGAAAAATCCGAGTACGCGAAGAAGCACAATGGCGAGCGTCTCCCTGAGGCACGGCTTACCGCTATATGGGGGGTTTTGCTCATCCCAGCCGGTATTATCATCGAAGGCGTCTGTCTTGAACATACTGAGTCCACAAGCTGGGTCGGTAGCGCTTTCGGCATGGGAATATCAAACATGGGGCTCCAAATTACAACGACCACCATTTACGTCTATACTACCGATGTAAGAGCCCTTACTTACACTGTCCCTCCCCATTTCTTACCCTTCATGCAATACCACGGCTGCTTATCTGTGTCTTGTAGTGCTACAAACCACAAAGCGCTGAAATATCAACAATCATGAACATATTCCGCCAAGTGTTTTCTTGTCTGGTGTCCTTTTATGCGTGAGTTCATGGTTCGGTTTGGCTCTCTTACTCGTAGGTGCTGATTTCCAATGATTTAGATTCCCTCTTGCAGATCTGGTTAGCATTCAAAATACCTGGATTATATTTGCCATGATTGTGGTGGCATTTATGGTTCCGGTCGTGGCGCTGAGGTATTTTGGTGCTCGTTGGAGAAGCCTCACGAACCAACAATCGCCCCCACCCGGCCCAGAATAGGTGGCCACAGGTCCATGTTAAACGTTTCAAACTGCCACTACATGATCACCGCTAGTTGTTGTAGTCTCAAATAAGGGACTTCTTGCGGTCTTGATGTATATAAGAATAAACCTGTCGCAACGAGGAATAGTTTGCTTGCATGGGTAACCTGTGCAAGCTCATGTAGTCCAGGCTTAGCCCAGGTCTGTACATCAGGATTCTCACCGAGAGTACCGATAATTTTATGTAAAACTGCACAAGTATGATGTACGCCATCTCCTCGACGAATATCCCCTCATGCTCTTCTTGTCATTCTGCACTCTTTCGCAATGTGAATACAGCTATTGTTCTTCACGATACGCAATAAATGGATTCATCATCACAATATTGATTGATTCCCACAGTTAGATATACAATTCACGGTCAAGCATCTCTTCTCAATCACTAGCAGCACGCTAGTTACTTTCTCTTTGCTTTCCCACACTTTTTCCGGCAGGCGTGGAAGTCCACATCTTCTCTTCTGCCTGGTGCTGACGAACCTTTGAACACATGAACACTCCTTCGGGATAAAACCTTGCTCCATATAGGAGGTAAGGGCAGCGTTGGCAAAAGCCTGATCATCAAATAAAACGACGTCAGTATGGACATTATTCACCACAAGCACGAAGTCACCCGGGTGGCTCCAACGGGTGCGGCGGCCGATGTCATTGGAGGGAACACTTATCATACCTCCCTTAGAACATCCTTGAAAACTTCAGCAGGATGTGGTAGCGTTGCGAGTGGGGCGTATGTTGTCTTTTCTTTTAACCGATAGTTGTTTAAAATCCATTGTCCTTGTATAGAACCACAGACTCATTACTTTACAAGTGCACGTTCTTATAACTGATAGTTAAGAGATCTTGTTGAGCCTTAAGAGGTTAGATTAGGTCTTGGAATGTTGCACTTTTTAAGGCTTGACGACTTGCTATTGAATTTAACAGGCTGAAAAATCGTTCTTCGGAATTAATTCTACCATTTTATAATGGGCTTCACCGTATGTCCTGCTTTCATATCCTGTATAGCGGTGGTATGGTCCTCAGGCTATTGCATTTGTTAGTGTGTGCCCTAACGCTTACTCGATAACTCAATTACCTTGTAGAAGCGCACGAGTTTTTCGATTGGGAACCTGCCCGCCCGATACCACTCAATCATCTGTAGAATATACTTCCAATAGCCCCTGTCAGCATAGGAAGAAAACAGGTAGGTGAGTTAGCAGGCCCACCTTTGACGGAATCACATCCCCTTGCACACTCCCAAGAAGAGTCTTTCCGGCCTTCACACATAGCAGACGATTAGGCAACGATTCCCAGATCATTTATGAAAATAAGACTGACGTACCAGTTTGAATTTTGTCATATCTATCTCGAGGGAGTCCTTTGCCATTCCTAGTAGAACCATTCGGCCTAGGACACTAGTCATGTCCAGCGACTCACGGATGATTGAAAGTACTCCTGTCGTGTCAATAGTGAGAGAGGAGCCCAATCCTTCCGTTGCCAACTTAACAGCATCCGTGAGGCTAGTAGTAAGTTCCCCAGTATGAATCACATGAGTGGCACCCAGCTCTGTCGCAAGCGACAATCGATCCGGGATACGATCGACTGCGATGATACGTCGACAGCCGATAATCTTCGCGGCCTACATTTCTTAGTTATCTCTGAATTTCATATTGTTCTTGAAATAGTATGATCATTGTTCACTCACCATGACCGCCGAAAGTCCAACCCCGCCAAGGCCAATGATAGCAACCGAGTCATTCGGCTGTGCTTTCCCCAGGTTCGAAACAGTGCCGGCCCCGGTCTGAAATCCGCACCCAAGCGGAGCGAAAAGTTGAAGTTCTTCCCTAGATTTCACGATTCCGGCTAGGCTGACAATACAGTTTGCCCTTGCGACCGCCAAACTTCCGAGGCTTGACTGGCCGAAGAACCCGCCTACCACATGGGCTGTAGTATCCTGCCCAGGTGCTAGGATCACTTGATAGCTGTCACAGCCTGGGTGGGCAAAGTTTAACCCGTAAGCGTCGTAGCAGTAAGAGGGGTGCCCGGCCCGACAACTTGGGCAAGCACCGCAAAACGCGATGGATAGGAGAACAGGGTCCCCTTCCTTCAGGTTCATTGGCGACCTGGGCACATCCGAGCCGATTTTTCTCAAGTACCCCGCACCTTAGGAGGTAGGTCAGTCAGATTGAGATTCCTTTCAGATATGGGGATCTACCTACTTTCATGGCCCAGGACTCTGGGGAAAATAGATTCCGGTCGCGATGCGATTCCTAGATCTGTATGGCAGATTCCACTGGCCACAATATCCACCAGGCATTCGTCTGGTTTAATATCTCGAATAGAAACATCCTCGAGTTTAGCATTCCAGGGTCTCTTATGCTCAGGCGGGTAAGATACAATGGCCTGACAGTTCAGCGACATTTTGAAGGGGGCGGGCGGGACAGGGAGTATGTTATTTGTTTGTTGAATGCGTAAATCCTGAGACTATGTATTATATTTGAATTATATTAATACCAATTATCTCCCCCGAGCTACCCAGACGAAGGCAGCCTGTGTTTCTGAGTACCAGTGTCAACCTCGCCAAGACCACCTTAACTCCCCGTAATTCAATCCAAAACCCTAAAACCCTAAGCTGACCGGGGAGATAAGGGACAGAATGAATCCGAACTCAACACCCATAAACCTTAGCCGGGGAGATATAAGAGCCCGGAATTTCTTTTCTTCAATCACTTCCTCATATCTGTTCGATTAAAAAGTATCTTGTCATATAAGCAGACCTTACTAGAAATGGCCTCCATCTCGCCAACAGAATATGAAACCCGCCTGTTCATCAATGGAGAGGTTAGTGCTTCTAGAACTTACTTTGGTCTTTATATCTAAGTTCTTGCATCAGTTTCGCTCTGCGTCGAACTCAGAGACATTTCTACTGAAATCACCAACAACTCTCGAGACAGTCGCTCTGGGTAAGCAGCATTCTAGGTGCCTCTGGAATCCAAAATTAATATATTAACAACATTTGTAGTCTCGGAAGCCTCTGTGCAAGACACAAATGACGCAGTTGCAGCGGCCAAGGCGGCATTTCCAGCATGGTCTAGGCTTTCGCCTCATGACAGAGGAGCGTACATGTTGAAGCTCGCCGATCTGATTTTGGAATCCGAACAGGATTTGGCTTATCTGGAAGCTATCTCAATGGGCCGACCCGTTTCTGGATACTGGGATGCAAAGGCCGCAGCAAAGAAGCTTCAATATTTTGCAACGTCCGGGTGGAATGTCCAGGGTCAGACGACTCTCAACACTCCGGGATATGTTAACATGACCGTCAGGCAACCCTTTGGCGTGGTCGGTGTTATCATTCCGTGGAATGTCCCGGTGTATTTTTTTTCATAAACAAGGTTGCACCAGCGATTGCGGCGGGTAATACCGTGGTCATAAAGAGCAGCGAGAAGGCACCTCTAACGGTAAGTCTTGTTCTATCTCGTTAGCGAACTTTCTAATAATAATTCGATATAATAGTCAGCAAAACTCGCTAGTCTTATCCAGACTGCCGGTTTTCCTCCGGGAGTAATCAATGTCCTCTCCGGCCACGGCAACATCTCAGGCACAACGCTTGCACATCATATGGATGTCAGATTGATCACCTTCACTGGCTCAGGTCGGACTGGACGTCTGATCCAGCAAGCATCTGCAAATTCCAACCTAAAGAATGTTATTTTCGAACTCGGAGGCAAGTCTCCTACTGTTATATTTGGAGATGCGGACCTCGAAAGGTCTGCAAAAGAGTCTGCACACAGTATTCAATGGAATAGCGGTCAGGTATGCATGGCAAACTCTCGAGTCTATGTCCATGCGTCTGTTGCGGATACGTTCATCTCTCTGTTCAAAGAACATTTCAAGTCTGTCACGCTTGGCGATCCTACCAATCCGCACGTCAACCACGGACCACAGGCGGACGAAGCTCAATTCAATATCGTGAAACGCTATATTGAGCTGGGAAAGAGAGATGGCCAACTCATACTTGGAGGAGACAATGTCACCGACCACAAAGGGTACTTCATTTCGCCTACCATCTTCACAAAGACACCAGAGGATTCTCCAATTATGAAAGAGGAGGTATTTGGGCCGGTGGTTAATATCAACGTATTTAATACGGAGGATGAGGTGATCCAGATGGTGAACTCTACCGAGTACGGGCTCTACGCTGCCGTCTATACCCGAGATGTGAATCGAGCTATGCGTTTTGCTATGTCTATGGAGGCTGGAACCGTCGGTATCAACTGCACGAGCCCATCCGGTGCCTTCGATTTGCCTTTCGGAGGATTCAAAAGCAGTGGAATTGGGAGAGAAGGAATTCACCACAGCGTGGACAACTACTTGGAAACAAAGTCGGTCCTTTTCAGGGTGGATAACGAGCCGTAAGTTCATTTGATAGATTAGAAGACCACAATATTTTTCATACCTACCACAGTTGTTTCCTGCTCTATAGAGAAGCTTGTAAACGGGGGTTTTGGTTTGACCGATCGTAGCTAGCTATGATACGCCTGTTTCTACATGTGCTGGAAGGGTAATGGAGCGAACAATACGGGATACCTTTTAGAGACCAGAGCAAGGGACTGATTCGACTGACTGCCTTGCAGTATGGGAAAGAAGATATTCAATGATGGAAGGTGCGAGCCCGAGGAATTAGGCATGGTCCTGGTTATGAACAGATTGTATTGTAGGCTTTGATTGGAGGGTTTGGAGGCGATGGACATGACAGACTTCTCAAATAAGCGCCGTAAAAATATCAGGAGCTCGAGAGGAATGAGTACGGAGTACTGCTACAGTACTGCTACCACAATGACACTTTGTATTTCATAACACCATGAATCTCAGGCCGGTATACACGCTTAAGGAGTGATCTTGAAGACCAATATCTATAGGTGTGGGTCTAAACTATAGTTTGGATAGCCAATCATAGTTAAGATGCGGAATGCGAATGCACTCAATTTGCATTGCCGAAAAAGCTCGGCGCAGATTTTCGATGCGGGGAACTACCTAGGTAGGACCTTAAGTTTCTAACATCTCCCCAATCGTTGATTTTATGGAAATATATCTGCAATACATGTTTGTTTATACGCCGATATGGTGAGACAAGAGACTAGCGCGACCAAGCGTCGCCGGAATCGGGTTCCCATCTCCTGCTTCAGTTGTAGAACGCTAAAGACCAAATGCGATGGCGCACAGCCAGTATGCTCGACGTGTGCTCACAGCGGACGTCAATGTACCTTCGTTCCACAAGGTATATCGAGGGGTGCTGGGAGCATGGTATTGGTCAAGGAAGAGTAAGAATCATTTCCCTTACTCTTGCGAAGGCATAGCTAAAGCAAGTTTGGCATGTACAGCTATTTACGCACATTGGAGAAACGAGTTGAATCTCTTGAGAGGGTGGCATTCCCGTCTGCTTCGGATGCACCAGTAGCCCCTAGACCTCCTGGCGCTGGTCAAGATCGACATGCATCGGCTCAGGCTCAGGCTTCTCCCACATCCTCGACAGTCGTTGGGCCTCTTAATACAAACCCTTCATCGACCTCGATGGTGGTCGATGCCAATGTATCAATCGGAGGCGCCACATTTACGCAGGCGATTTTGAACAGCCTCCATGGTCATAATTCTCTAGCGGCGCAATCAATCGTGGCTAGTGGCGAGCCCCGCGCAAAGCAATCCTTGCTGACATTGGAAGATCTATATACGCTGCCGGACAATACATCAGAGACTTTAGATCGATATTTTGCTCTCCGAAACATACTCACACCTTTGTTTCACGAACCTACCGCGAGACCAATGTTCGATGCGGCGCTACGTTGCTCAGCGGAAGAGAAATATCAGCATCGGTCCTCATTTATCCTCCTCAATATGATTCTTGCACTTTGTACTTCCCACTGGTTGTCTGATGTCGACAAGAACGCTCCCACAGCACGGAAACACTACGATATTGCGATGACGCTTCTGCAGCCTAACATGTTGCGCGATTGGACCCTAGAACATGTCCAAGCACTTCTTCTGGGTGCTCGATATCTCCAAGGCACCACATGCGGCGATGAATGCTGGAATATCCTTGGTTTGGCTATTCGAATCGCTCATGGTTTGCGTCTGCATCAAGAGCCGCCTCAGTCAGACGCGCCCCCGTTGCGTGAAACAAAACGGAGAGTTTGGTACTCTGCCTACATGCTTGATATGCATTGGAGTATGGTATACGAGCGTCCACCAGCTACCAAATCGTCTGAATTCTCCGTCTGCATGCCTGAAGATCTCGATGATGTCTGTATCCAGGCAGACAGGGTGCTCTACCCGACACCCAGGCAGCCATCATTCTTATCTTTTTTCATTCAGAACATCAAGTTGTATCGTATAGTTGAGAAGGCTTTGGCCCGCGTATCAGAGTGTAAAGCTGAGCGCAGAGTGACGGCGGAGTTGGTGATGGCCCTTGATGAAGACTACCAGGCATGGCTCCGAGAGCGCCCAGCACATCTCATTCTCAATCTCCAGGATGCCAAAGAGCCCACATGGATTCTTGCCTTGCGTGGTAATATGGTTTGTATCTTGATTCATCGACAGTCACTGAAGGTGAGTTTACATGAGAGAGACGGACCTGGACCAATTGAGGAGTCCACAGTCAATCATATTATACGTTCGAGTCAGAGGATCTGCGTGAATGCCGCCATGGATTCCATTGACATTGTCGCTCTAAGACACGAGCAAACAAAGGAGACAATGGGCCTTGACCGGTTCAATGTCTACTACTGTACGTTGACTCAGCCAACCACGATGATACTCGCTAGGTTCTAACCAGTTTCCACAGTATTCAATGCCGCGACAGCTTTGGTCTCATATATAGCAAATCCGTTCTACACCCGTGACCCACCTATCCTTGACAAAATGGACAAGGCACTGCACATGATTAAGTCAATGTCGAGAAATCACTCTTTCGCACAACGGGCACATTCCTTTCTTCAGCAACTCATCGGGTACATGTATCAACAATTGGGCCCCCGGGAAAGAAAATCGGAGAATTCGGCTATCCCTGAATGTGTATTCCATACACAGCCAGTGGAAACACAGCCAACAGAAGCTATAGGAACCTCAAATATGTCCTCTGATTTTCACGCATTGTTTGACTTTACGCAAGAACTCACGGACAATTTAGAGACACAGCTAGGGGATTTCGACTCTCGGGGCTTGTCCGAGTCCATGTGGACGTTTACCGAAGACGGTACATTTGGTGGCTTCCTATAGATTTTGTCTAAAGTAATTTTGAATGAGAAAAATAAATCGCGCTTCGTCCAAGTTAGTATTTGACTTCATAGCGGCTATATCCGGATTAACTGAGCAACGTGCCAGGACTTTTTCCCCCGGAGATTCTATGCATTTCTAGTCCCTATCCAGAATTGAATTCAATTTCTCATTCACGTCTCTATTGTTCACAAGGTTGTACAATGTTATTACGGAAATATTCCGCGCTCTTTACGGGGACCGGGGTGTTAAGAAAACTAAGGGGCTGCGCCGGGGAGATAAGCGCACGTTTTGTTTAACCCTAAAAATGGTTCAACTCCATGGGCTGACTATTTGAACGACCTCTTTGTAAGGTTTCTTATCGTATAGTTCCTCATAGCACTTCCGGCGTATCTCAACATGTTTCGCATCGCCATCATCGGTGGCGGCATTGGCGGCTTATTCGCAGCTTTGTCCATTGAGCACCATTGTGGACTCAATGATATTCAAATCGACATCTATGAACAGGCCCCTAAATATGGGGAGATTGGTGCCGGAGTGGGAATAGGGCCGAATGCTGCTGAGCTTGTGAAAAAGCTGGGTCTCTTGGAAGAGGCCCGGAAGATCGCAGCTGACCGACAGGGCATCTGGCTTTCTTTCCGTCGATATGACACCGGTGCGGAGGTTCATACGGTCAGGACACCCGAAGCAGGTAATACGGTACAGTTATCGATGCATCGTGCGGAATTCCTGGAGATTCTCGTTCGGGCTGTTGAAAGCCGAGGGGCGGCGACTTTGCATACGAACAAGCGTTGCCAGACGCTCGAGGTACTGTCCATAAACCTATTCCTATTCATATCCTATGATTAATTATCTGTTTGGTTCAATTGCTGATCATAAAGATATAGGATCATGGAGACAAAATGTCAATCACATTCATAGACGGAACAATGACGACAGCAGACCTGGTAATCGGTGCAGATGGCATCCACTCGGCTGTACGCTCGCAGTATGTGGTATGTGCCTCTCATATCTCGAGTGATAAGCATATGTATTGACTACTCTGATAGAATGACAGCGCTCAGTATGGCGAAATGGTAGTTTACAGAGGTCTTTGTGACATGGACAAGATCAAGGACTCATGGACACTTCCGACTTTTGCTGCAATCTTCATGGCTCCTGGAAAGCACTTTCTTACCTTCCCTATCAGCAACAACAAAATCCTCAATGTAGTTGGGTTTGTGACTACTCCATGGGAAAAACTCAGGGATACGAAAGAAAGCTGGACACTCGCAAGTGAGAAAGCAGCAGTTAAGGAGGAGTTCAAGGATTTCGCTCCAGCAGTCCAGACAGTCATTGAGAATATGGATACCAACCCATTGAAATGGGTTCTTTTTGACCGAAAGACGAGCCCGGAATGGATCTTCTCCGGAGGCAAGGTTGCTCTGCTAGGCGATGCAGCCCATGCAATGTGCCCCCCACCAAGGTAAGCCAAAGCCTCTTTTAATTGAAGGGCCTGCTTCAAATTAAGTCAGCATACGATAGACTGCTGATCAAATTCTTATTTTCTAGGCGCCGGGGCTGGCCAGGCCCTCGAGGATGGGTATATAATTGGGCGAGCTCTCCAAGAATATTTCCGTCCTCAGAGAACTTCACGCCGCTATAAAATCGAGCATTGCCTTCGTCTTTATCACTCTATTAGATATCCTCGCTCGGAGAGGGTCCAGATGACATCCCGCGAAGCAGGGGACATATATGAGATGAAGATCGATGGGGTGACTGGGCTTAGTTATGATGATGGCCTTCCTGTTGTGAAAGCCTTGTTGGAAGACCGCATGAAGTGGATTTGGAATGAGGATATTGATGAAGTGTACGCAAAGTCCTTGTCTGAGTGGCAGCACTCGTATGCGTCAATTTAATGTTGGTTTTCGATGGTGTTAGTACTTGTATGTGGCATGAGTACTGAATCTACATATCGTTAGTACATGTTCTTCATGTTGGCAGATAGATTTCCTGGGGTAGGAGCAATTAAAAAAAATGCCGATCAATACAAGATGGATTTTTAGTTGCTTATATGGCTATGAAATGATCTATTTTGGACAGTACAGCCCAAGAACTGCCAATTTTATTTTTGGCGAATGAGCTGTCCATGAGAATAAGACTAAGAAATAAGATAATATCAGATTTCTAATTTAACAACACTCTGGGATTACTTGAGTTTGAGAGCGACCGGAATCTTAGACTCCGGTCCTTGACAAAAGAGGGAAACGACCGGTATTCAGATTCCTGTCGCCGGTTGGCACGGCGTTATCTTAAAACTAAAGCCCTTAATTCCGTCTTTTACTCTGGAGTCTGCTGTGGATAGCTATTGTGACGCTCTGACCGATGATTCCTAAATGACTGACGGCCCTAACTCCGTATGCTACGCCGTACGGCGCTCCGAAGGATGCCTACCTAGCGATGTATCGGTTTCCGCATATATATAGAACCAATTCCTCATAGGAAAGGCGTCAGAAACATCGCTCTGCATTCTCAAGTTGCCCAGAAAAAGTGCCTATTCGTGTCATCTGAAAGCGACCGCAGCTACTGCTCCTTTTACCCACAATACCTCCAGTCACCCTATATAATAGGAAGTTCGACAATGGCCCAGACCCCAGAGAATCAGGCCGCCTGGCTACTAGCCTCCCAGGCCACGCCGCTTGAGATCAGCCCGGCGCCGTACACCTCTCCCGGGCCTCACCAGATTGTGGTGAAGAACAGTGCACTGGGCATCAATTCGGTCGACTGGGCCAAACAGATGCTCGGCGAAGCTTTGCTAGGCCACATCAGCTATCCATTCATTCTCGGTGAGGACGTGGCAGGCACTGTTGTCGAGGTGGGCGAGGGCGTACAGCGCTTCCGTGTCGGGGACCGTGTGGTGGCAGCGGCTTCTGCCATCTCCGTCAACAGCCCACTCGAGGGTGGCTTCCAGTTGTACACAGTCATCCGCGAGTGGCTGGCCGCACCACTACCAGATAATATCACCTTTGAGCAGGCTAGCGTGCTACCGTTGGCCATCTTCACAGCCTCCCATGGCCTATTTGACACCGGCTATTTAGGCCTTGACTTCCCCACCGTGCCCGCACGCCAGTCTAGAGACAAGCGTGCTATTATCATTACCGGTGGCTCATCCGCTGTTGGTAGCACTGCCATTCAGCTGGCCGTATCCGCTGGATACGAGGTTGTTTCGACAGCATCGCCCAAGAACTTCGATTATGTCAAGAAGCTCGGTGCCACCCATGTGTTTGATTATAAGAGTGACACTGTGATCGACGATATTAGCGCTGCTGTCAAGGGACTCCACCTTGCCGGTGGCTACTCCATCGGCGACGGCTCCATCGACCTGCTGGCCGCTGCCTTGGAAAGGCACGAGGGCCCCTCTGTCAATAAAGTTATTGCTCTAGCTGGCGGCAAGCCTGGGGGTGGCATCATTGACCCGAGCATCCAGGTCAAGTTTATCCTACTCGGCCCGGACGCGGCTGGCTCCGACTCTGTGGTGAGCAAAGTTTACACGAGTTACATCCCTGATGCACTTGCAAACAAGCAGTTTGTGCCAGCACCGGAGGCGATGGTCGTGGGCCAGGGACTGGAGAAGATACAAGAGGCTTTTGGGATCCACATGCAGGGTGTTTCCGCAAAGAAGATTGTTGTGTCACTATAAAGCCTAGAAACTTGTATCGGGGTCTTCTTTGCCTAACAATCATCTAGCTATCTACATAGTAAAGCAATATCAAACAAGCATGTTTATGCAATTTGCTACGGAAGGTGATCTAAGAAGAGGAAAAGGCTTTAGTTCGGTTCGGTCATAGGGCGACTAAAACATCAGGTCCAAGTACGGAAAATAAAGAAGGGGGCATAATATGGCTCTTTTAACTACCGTCTTGCTACAAATGGCACTCCTCTAGGCAGTATCTCCTCTAACTCCTACATATAGAAAACCAGCCAATTCCCTCTAACATGCGTGTGATCAAGAGAACAAAAGATTATATATACTTATATACCTGTTTTCCTCTTTAAATCAGGTACTATACCTTTTAAATATATCTAAAGCTAGCTCAAAGAAGCTGCAAGGTAAACATCAAACGCGAGGTCTTTAACACCCAACCTTCCATCTTAAGGAGTATTTATGCATTTTCCATCTTAGGCTGTGACCGACTTTTCCGTGGTGGAGTCCAAATTCTCCTCGGTATTCGGTGTCTGAATGGCCTGCAGTTGCTTCACCTTCCGAATATCAACCCAGCCCAGCCCCCAGCCAAAGGCAAACGTGGCTAAGCTGACTCCAATACCAAGGTACATGACATGGCTAATCGCCGTGGTATAGCACTCCAGCGCAGCCGTGAGCTTATCCCCAGAGACAACGCTTCGGATGGAACTGAGCCCGGTACTGAGGATGATGTTCGGGCTCACGCCAACCTCGTCAATGTGCTTCTGGAGCTCCTTACGCAGCCCGTTGGCGAAGATGGAATTGGCAACAATGAGAAAGACGGCACCGCCCATGTTTTGACAAAAAATGATGATAGCCATGGCGATAGGAATCTGCGGAGCCGGGACAAGATTTTGGATAGCTACATAGGGCTTCATGCAAAAGTAAAGTTAGTACAATTGGACTTGGGATATAGAAGAGATGGAACATTGGAAAGTAAACTCACTGCTGAAGTCATAGCACCACTGCCAACACCATAGAGGACCTGGTAGCCAATCCATTTTGAGGACGAAGTCGTGGGTTTAATCATAGACATGAGGCCATAGCCAATGGAGGCCAAGGCACTTCCTCCCAGGTTCCAGGGCAGGTAATATCCAAAGATCTCGGCTGCGAAACGTTAGTTGGATCTCAGTTTTCGAGTTAAAAAGAGAAAGGGTGATAACGAACTCATCATTCCCGAGAGCATAGTGAAAATGACCAAGCCTAAAGTTGCTGGCAGTAGATGTACACCACTCATTATAGGCCTGTCGTCGAGAACGGTTTGGAAGTAAATGGCGAGATAGTATTCGGCCACCAGAATGGCACCGAGAAGGAAGAACAAGTTACCCGCAGCAGACCACACAATGCGCTTTCTGATCATGGAAAACGGCACCATGGCACCGTCCCCCTGGTGGTATTCCCAGACAAGAAAGAGAATAAAGGTAACAGCAGCGCCGACCAGAAGGCCTATAACAACAGAGCTATTCCACGGGTGCACGGTACCGCCATATTGTAATGCAAGCAGAAACATGACTGCAGCGGGGCTGATAAGCAGAAAGCCTGGAAGATCCAGAGACTTGACGGCTGTACTGAGTACTTGTCTGGGGGGCAGCTTGGTGGTCGGCTCGGGAATGTTGAAGAGGAGCAGTAAAATGGTTAGAGCGCCGCCAATGGGAAGGTTTAGGTAAAAACCTACAAGAAAAAGAAAAATATTAGTACAACGATGGCGGCCAGGGATCTTAATGAAGAAGACAAGCAAACCACTTACACCAACGCCACGTAACATTTTGAGTGAGTGTACCGCCAATGATGGGACCCAAGGCGATACCGAGCTGGCCGATGCCTAAGTTGATGCCCAGAAACTTGGCTTGCTTCCTGCTCGGCAGTACAGTAGAGATGATGGTCAGGGCACCATTTCCAATACCGGACGAGCCTGCACCGGCAATGGCTCTACCGACAATGAACATGGGCGAGGAGACAGCAGCTCCACATATGACAGATCCGAGCTCGAAGATAAAGAAGAAGACGAGGAAGGACCACTGTTTCCAACGTTAACAAAATTTCACCTTAGTTTCTTTTAAAGAAACCACAGAATGACCTACCTTGATGTTAAAGTGACTGTAGATCTTGCCGGTAAGAGGCTGGAGGGCGGAGCTGCCGAGCTGGTACGCACCGCCATACCAGCCGACGTCGACCAGAGAGTTGAATCGTTCTGTTATGGCGGGGGTTGCGGTAGACACAACGCACATGTCAAGGAAGACGAGGAAGTAGGCGATTGTAACAGGACCTAGAATAGACCATAAGGCTATGCCGGTGGGAAACTTGCTGTCATCGTCTGCGGCCTCGTTCTTGGAGGTGACGCTATCGGAGCCGTATTTCTCAACATCACTAGTCTCCTCTGGCAGTACTTTGCTCGTATTAACTGACTTGTTGGGGTCGGTCATGGCTGGGGCTGACTCTTGCTATCTCCGTCCTGATGCCAAGAACTATATGAGTAGTTGCTGGGAGAGAGACGATTAGCTTAGAGTGCAGCCATTGGAAGCTATATAGCACAACTGACTACATGATGCTGGAAAATGAACAAGAGCTCAGGACAGGAACCGGAATCTTGCGAGTGAGCGCCCTTGAGTTAGGATTCGTTGTTAAGTCAGAACCGGAATCTAGAAATCCGGTCCTTAGTCCTGCCCCTATTGGTCGACGGACTTAAGGGTATGTCCGGCCTGCCAAGTTAAAACACACCATATTCCATAGATACCTAGGTAATAATAGGATGAATTGGAACGATTACGGTACCTGGTTGACTGTAGTCTCAGAACAACTCAAGTTTTCTATAGGCCGATGTTACCCAAAATGGTAATTACCCGTTTATCATTCGAAAGCCCTTTTCCACATAGCAAGACTAAACACCGTGTTGGCCAAGTATGATGTAACTTATTGTACATGTATAATAGTGATTCGAGATGAGTATATCCATTTGTTAACAGTATACGCATGTCAAGTCATCGTCTGATCTTCGTAGTCAAAAAATCGATCCAGCCATGACGTGGGACTCAAGTATTCTGCTTGTTGGCCATTTGCCAAAGCATCTGTATCTGCTTCTGCAGTCGCAACTGTAGCTGTATCCGCACCCGCTCTGGTCCATGAAATACCTCCTGCTTCTTTTGGTTTATGCACTTCCTCCTGTTGGTTTGGTATTCTACCGTGATAACCTGACTGGAACATACGTAGGCCGCGGGCCAGTTGTGTGAATACACCGTCTACTGACACCCGGTGTTCTCCAGCTTCAGCAGCAGCGCGCTCTAACTTGTCTGCCGTGCAGGATAGCAACACAGGAAGATCAACAAGGCTGCGCAGAGTGGCTAGATCCCAGCCAGGCTCCTGGAGCGTGCTGAGTTGGTGCAGGGTGGCCACGCATCGTGCCAGCTGAGCCCACTGGACAAAGGAAACACCAAGAAGCCCAGACGGCGAAAGAGTTAGAAAAGTCGATGTACACGACTTAATCGCGAGAGCTGACTGCCAAAAGCAGGAGATGCGCGTAGGCCCACATATTGGCGGTTGCGGGCGAGCGGGGTCCTGGATGTGGATGGTTTCGATAATGCACATCTCGGTATAGTATGTCTGAGCGAGGAGAACTACTTATCGATTAGCAATATATTTTGGATGGGAATCTGTTCTGAGATGGACACCTACCAAAGTGCTGCTGGAAGGCCGGAGGGATAGAAGCCCTGAGCTCTTGTAACTGCCCCATCAGAGTCTTGACGTACAAGAGAGCTTGAGGTGAAAGAGTCTCCGGTGGAGGGTGGTCCGGGGAGTTGGGCTCGCTCACGGACCTGGGCAGCCTTCATAGCGAGCAGTTGTAGCCGGACCTGAATAGCTAGGGCAGCATCAGATGGACATTCTGCGCCGGCGCTGTAGCCGCTCGCGATAAGGGCAGCAAGGCCCTCGTCCATCTGAGGTATCCAGCGCGGCGCATCGATTTGGGAGAAGTATGCAGAAACGGCCGACCCAAGCACAAAGCACCCTAGAATGGCCCGCTGGTGCTCGAGGTAGAACTGGGAATTAGTCACTCCAGCACCCGTCGTTCTTGTCGCTGCCGTTGTTGCCGTAGTTTCTGACGTTCTCCCATACACACCGTCAAAGCCGCTTTTTAGTTCGAGCTGGCTTATTGTATGCGCAATTTCTGGTGCAGCCTGATCCAGAAAATGCAACTCCCCAACCAATGAGATAGCCACCCCCATGAGTCGAGACAGACTTTGACGGCTGTGTAGGTGCTCCCAGCCCCACGAGATGTAGACAAGAAGAGCTAGTAGCATATCGACTGTTTGGTGTGGTTGCTGCTGTTTTTTCTGCGGCGACTGTTTGAGAAATGCTGTCTCACAGAGGACACGCTTCAATTCGAGGGAGCTTGCCCTCTTCTCCTCAGCCGATGCCGATGTCACACAAATAATTGCGCGGAACAAGAACGGCCGGTTTAGCTGCAACTGCTCGGCCGTGAGATGGACAGGCAAATGAACAATGGGAAAGTGATGCAGCATACGGGATCTGAACGTGTCAACAGATATTGATGCAGATGATGGAGATACAGAGGGCGACATAACCATTTCCGACACAGTCAAGGATGGAGTTTCGGCGAGACGGATACCGTTGGCGCTGACGCTGCTCGTATTGCTTACCGCCCACCAAGAGCCAGATATACCGGTGATATTAGCATCGGTATCTTCGTCGTCTCCGTCGATAGGAGCGGCACGTGAGTTCTCCATAGTGCCACTCCCTCCGGTCCCTTCTGCGATCTCGTCTGGGTCTGCAATGATGGGAGGGGGTGGCTATTGTCAATATAATTAGTATGGTTATAGTGGGGATTGCTATTACTATTATATAGTCATACATCGACTCCGTTGCCGTGGACGTTGTTCATGGTGCCCACGTTGACATTGTCCGCTTGGAGCAGCGAGACTAGCTGGCCGAGTGTCCCCTCGAGTTTCGCAATACGGGCGTCCGAAGAGCTCTGCTTTTTAGCGCTGCGACGTAGCGCATCAGCGGGGTGACATGGGCGCTTAAGACGATGGCACCTATATAAGATATTGAATGAATGCCCACAGGTCGGGGTTTGAAAGCACAACTCAGACTAACCTTTCGCATCCATTGCCTTCAGGACGAGGAATACACTTGCATTTAGTCTTGAAACAGCCAAGACAGGCTTGGCCGTAGGCTGCCGAGTGGCCGGCCATTCTATGTATAGTCGATGTAAGAGGAAGAGTGGGTGCAGTCAACGGTTGTAATGGCACAGCCCACTTTTATTCTCCACCGAAAATCCACACTATTCCCTAAGAGGCCCGTCCTAAGCCCCACTCCTTAAATCCCCATTACAATCTTATAGATCAGCAATTTCTTGGCTGAGCTTGAATCGGAGTAACTCGGCGTGTCTGGAGCCATGCATAAAAAATAGCCATATTTTTCATGAAGATACAATGCCCAATATGAAGACTGGCCCATTATGTAGCATAGGAGATCGGAAGTTTGAAGCCAAGATTCGCGAGCAGGGGAATTCTTGAGAGGACAGAAAACCACAATATAGATTGCCTTGATGGTGAAATACTATGAATCTTAGTGAATATAGTACCGAGCCTTAGCCCATTGCGGTTGCCTTAAGCATGAACAAAGTGGATAACTCCAGCATAATTATGGTATCGATATGGGAATAGACTCATCAAAGGGGAGTAGAGGTCACCGGGCAAGTCCTATTGATTACAAAGACAATTAGGTAATTTCTCAACCTATAGACATGAAATAAAGGAGACGTAAAATGTCGGTGGAATCTGAATTCCCTGGAACGAATACGGGTACGAAGTGGCTGAACCATAGGCTAGCTCACCATATCCGTAACCGGTAATAGTCGTTACTATTGTCCGTTAACCGTATGTCCTTTTTGTGCATGGTAAACTTAGTAGAATAGGCAGCTTTAGGCTCCGGTTATAGGTGATGGAGTGTGCCATCGGGGACCTTCCAAGGTTACTACCCGGAAAGGATCACCTAGGTACAATCAACCCCCAATTATACGGCAATTGCATGTACAATATACCTGTAGAACTTTTGTATCACCGATTCAGTTAACTTAGCAAAAACACCGCTTCCGGTATTCACGGTGTCCCTTCTCGTTCCTAAAAGCCAGGCAGGTGTAAATAGGCTAATTAGAGTGTTTTTATACCAAGCTTGCATTAAACTAGCTTCCTCAGTGGATATATGGCACGTGCCCCCTATAAATCCTAAGAAATCTCACAAGACCCTTACTTAGATATCTGGCGATATACAGCATAATTAAACAAAATAGGAAAGTAGCTAGTTTCCGGATCCCTGACCAAGGCAAAGACAGTAAAATGTGTAAACTGCGCAGAGGACTTTTCCATGTATAACCCCGGGGGAAAAAGAAAAGAGGAAAAGAAGTAAACCAAGACTAATCAATACGAGCAACCTTGGAATGTCCCCCACCGGGCTTAGGAATAATTGACGAACAGCCACCACAAAGTAGCCTTCTCCGGAAGGTTTGATCTTGCGGGGTAGTACCGAGTACAAGGTTTGATCATACCGGTTCTGGTTCGATGCTGAGGTATGAAAACTGGGGTTGTTGATGTAGAAATGAATACCTATCGATTATTAGCATACACGCGAAGAAGTCAAAAAATCGCGGAATCTGAGGAATCTGAGGGATTTGTGGTTGTGTTTGCACTGTTTGCCTATTCCATCCCTCTTCTCCAGATCTGAGTTCCTAGAGACCTATACGCGTAATAGACTCCATACAGACCACAAGCATATGTTTTATATGATGCCTCGGCGCTTTCTCAATTTCCATGTCTTCAACCCGGTTATCAAATTATGATGTGCACCCGGAGTGGGTTGCGGGGCATTGAAATGATGGATACGCGTATGCACTGACACTTTCAAGGTTGATATCTACGAACTTGATTGTTCACAATCAATGTGAGGTCACTCCAAGACATGGATTTCTATGCAGACAGTCGATCTTAATTATCCTGTAGCATGATTTTCGGCCAGCTGCATAAACTGAGAATGTATAAAGCAGCGTGTTAACCGGGAGATTCCTTGACTCCCGCAGGCAACTTCAACATGCATTTCAAGGCTCCAGTTATTTTCGGAGTGTTGCTCGCCGTTTCCGCCCATACGGCACCATATGGGCTGACGAGCCGTGGAAAGCAATTGTCGGCACCCCCAGAGCCTGAGCCCATCGAGGTAATCGAACTTCCACTGCCTCCAGTCACTGCCAATGAGACTGAGGGTGGCTGTACACTTTCGGTCAATCCGCACGGCACTGGTTGTATAGGCGTAACCACTTTCGAGACTCTGAGCGGGAACTTTCTTCCCGACGGCGATCATGTCACAGTTTCCTTGGTGTTCACCGGAGCTCCGGCTGCTCCAGATCCGTCCAGCATCTACACCGGCCTCAATTTGATTATTGTTCGTACGAATGGAACATTGTTCCCCAATGGCGATGCATGGAAGTGTATCACTTGTGGGGTCCCGGAGGACCAACAATATGGTATCACCTCGGATATGGACTACCAGTATCCCCAGGCATTCAACGACGGTACTCGTGTCCTTGTGGGAAGTCATATCGTCGACTGTGGCACTGCGCAGCTCGCCAGTGCTGAGTGTACACCGGACAAGGTCCACATCTATCCGATCCGGTGGAACACTTCTCCAGATGGTTCCGGGCCTGGAGGATCCATCCGTGAGCTGCGAAAGCACCCCGACGACGTCCATATACTCTTCAATGCCATGTCTCTCTCAGGCCCTACCGTGACGCAGTTCGCTTATTTCTCACGGTTGGAATTCAACTCTGCGCCCACTACCGGAACACCGCTCACACCACGATACGATCTAGTCAATGTGACTGGACTATATGAACCGTCAGGCACGCCTTTGTTTTTGACAAACGGGAGCTCCTTGAGCCTCAACCCGCAGGCCATCTCGGTTGGAGAAGCACGGGGCCTGAGTGGACTAGGTGATGAGGTCACATATGTGGGATTCCCTGCCGAATCCTGCAACATCGACATTTTCCGGGTCAAACTACAAACCGGGGAAGTTAATCGGGTGACATACGGTCCAGAGTACGTCGATCCCATTGATACCTCTCCAGATGGTAGATGGGATGTCATAATGGACAGCACGGCTGATGATCGACTGATGTTCGTCGCGGGGATGCGGGGTGTACCACCTATCATTGATACACTTACCACCGGTGCCATCTCGTCTATCCGAAACAATGGAAGACGGCGGTTCTTTGAACAGTGGATTTTCGATCGAGAAGTTGCCCCTTATTCGGAGGACAGCGGCTATTATAAAGGCCAGCAACTAAATGGCGCTGGTGATGGCAGTCCGGGCAGTGTGAATGACCCTCTATGGAATGGAGGTGCCGATCCTCGGTGGTCCCTGGATGGTACGAAGATTGCATACTTCGAGCTCCTGGTCCAAACCCCCCGATTGTGGCGGAGTCAATCCCCTACCGTGCCCCAAGTCCACTGCTCCCGGTGGGCGAAATGTGCGAGTTATGATGGCAACTCTTACAAGCCGCAAGCCCCTTCCAGTCGTCGCCATGGATCCAGTCTCTGATACTGTGCCCTGGGGTAAACCATATGTCCCAGGGGGCACGGGACCCAAAGATCCCAGTCTGCCATTCGGCAACTACACTTTAGCTGGACAAGTGAGCGGCCATGCCGACGTTACCTTCACTCCCGACAGTGCCGGAACTGCACTTAAGACAGTCGAGGCCACGTATCACAACTACTCCGACGATGGTCTCAACTTCATCACAGGCAACGAGAAAGTGACAGCGCTCTACCCCAATTCTACTCTGATTCATCTCGATTGGTATTCAGACCTGTCTTCCACCGGGATTAGCAACAGTACAAAGGTCACAGGTCCCGGTGGGTTCCACTTCGAGGTCGACGTCCAATTGAACAAATTTTATGCGAATGGCACTTTAACCACTACCGTTGATGGCGTGGTCTACAAGCAGCCTGAAAACGGATGTTAAGGCTCTCTACGCATATTTCTCATATACACCCGAGATTCCTCAGCTGGTGATATTCTTTACGATACGGATCTGTCAACCAGAATCTCTCATTTACCATTCGTGTACATAATATGTACTTATTTTAACAATTACGCTCTTTTTACCTTTTTACCTACACTATATAAAGATCTGGGATTAGTGCACCACAATCGCTATCGTTTAACAGGATTCTTTGTATCTAATTCTCCATTTCTGAAGTGGGCTTATCTCCATTTGAAACCAACACTGAATTTCTGAGCCAATCTAAACACAGCTATCACTGCCGGCAACGAAAGTACCATCCGAGTTCTCGCAACCACACTCTCCGGTGTCGGGAGACTTGATACAGGTCGTGCCGTATCCGGTACTCTTGCCACCACTGCCCCAGTAGAAGATCCAGTAGTCCGAGTTCTCCTCCAGCTGACTACTGGTCGGGGCAGTGCAGGTATACGCACTGCAGGTACCGTAGGGAGCGCCTTTAACGGAGTCGTATTGGTGGTCGGTCTGGAAGACGGCGAATGTTTGGGTCTTGGAAGTGCGAGTGTTGTGGGAGCACTCGGCGGCTTGGATGGCTTTAGAGACCTTTGCGGCTATTTTATGACAGTCAGCACAAGAGCACACCATCTTTGTTCATTGTCACCACGCACCACTGCAGTTCAAGCTAGTCGGTTTGTACCCCTTGGTGTTCGAGGAAGCTGGAGAGAGGGTAGCTGCTACAATAGCTGGTGCAGCAAGCAAGGCGATCAAGTTGGTGAAATGCATCTTGACGGATGGTTGTTTCAAGAGGGTGAGGATGGAGAGATTTGAAGGAGGACAAGTTGTTGATGGATGTATATATATACCTAATCATAAGACCCACAACTGTGATCCGAAACATATACTCCGTATGTTAAATTAATACATAAAGCCATATCAATGGAAAGGAGGTTAGGAGGGTCTAGAGCTCAAAAGTGAATATCCATGAATGTATGGAGTATAGAGGATGAGGAGGATGAGTCCAATATTTTCTTCAGGGGGAGGATCCACTTCAGCCGATCAAATTTCAATTCGAAACAGTCATCCGCTGACATTTCGCCCAAGTGACTTCTGAAGGATTTCGTCCATATCAACGAAAAAGAATAGATAATTGAGTAGCTCAGTGTCAACATTTTGAAAGCGACAAAAACTACTATAAAGCCATTGCTACTAGATTAGTTTGAATACTCGCAGTATTCACCATTGGAGTATTGAAGTGAGTACAGAGTAGTCGTCATCCAAGTTTCATAAAGATGGATCTGTTTGATTATTTATAGTGTATGTCTCAGGTCTACCCCTGGATGTGCCACACCCACACCATTAGGAAACGTCTACGGAGTAAGATATACCCCGTACAGCACACAAGCTTATTTTAAGGAGGCGATCACCCTCATGATCTTCCTAGCATGATAAGCTTGATCAAGCGGCTAAATAATCTTGGGAAATTCTCCTTTAGTGGAGCCTGTTGGGCTTAAAGGCAGCTGGATCTAGGCCAGGACGTCACGAGTTGTTCCCCTTGATTCTTTTTGCCAGCTCACGCTTTCACTCTCCAAAAGGAAAGCAATCAATTCACAACTGCTACCACACCAGTGTGACTATGTCCGTTGTTGATATACTCGTACCGTTGGGGGCTGGTCCTGGGGTTAGCGACTGTCTATGTTGTAAGCGCAGTCTGGGTACTGAGCGAGCATCAAATTTCGGAATCTTAGACCCGAATCTCAACGTCGTGGGTTGGATTTTATAGGTTTTGTGGGTCATGGCGTAGCTTAGGTACGTCGCCACAAATAAACCCTTATTATCCAATACCGGCTGAGCGAGACGACTTACTTTTGCTCTGGAACACACGGATTGGACGTTTGACAATTAGAAGCGCTCTCTTTGCGCGCACGAGACGTGGGTTGGTTCTGGAGTACACACGCGTATTTGTGACTCGATCAAAAGATAAAGAACCTCATTGGACGTGTATGAATTGATGTATTCGTCGGAAGGTTTTGTGGATTTTCTACGGTTCTGTTTTTCGGTGGATCTAAAGGTTCGTTGTTAGGAGGATGAAGGGTTAGATCTGTTCAGGGATCCCTATAGGGCTGACCAGTAAAGGGGCACTACACCGTCTCTTATAACCAGTGCCACGGCTTACTCACCGATATCACCTATATCCCGCTTGACATTGTGAAATTTTTGAATACCTGGATAGACACTTTTTCCCTGTGTACACCTGGGGAAGAGCCTAACATCACGGTAACAACTCTTGGATCTTGACGACGGGCACACTAACAAGTGAACCAAAGTATGGAAATCCCTCCCCCCCCCGAGACAATCGGTGCGATGGAGATTCACACCGCGATATGCCCGTAGCGAAAGCCCAAGCTTACCACTAGGACTCGAATCCCGTTTACATCTTTGCCTTCATTCCTGGTTCGCTTTGGTCTTCTGTTATAATCTGAGATCTGCCAGCTGAGTACTATGTACACGAAGTAGTGGTCAAATTCAACCCGACAGCATTCACGACCAGCGGAACTACAATGGCACTGCCTCAATTCCTTCGTCAAGGATTAGCTCCAATCTACTCTGTACACATACTTGACGCAGGTTCTACACGCCGACAAGCAAGTGCCCTATCTTCGTGTTCGCATGTGAAGTACAAGCATGGGTAGTTGATATTTGGATCGACATTTTGGAGACGGCAGCCCGACGGAAAAATTGGAATATTGTTAATGTTGGAATTTCATGGGATACGCGTATCCCTATACGCGTATAGCCCTGGAGAGAGTGCAGGCTTAGTTCATCGGGAGATCAGCGCCGATCTGTGGACAATCCTCTCCACTTCTTACAGTTCTTTGACATATTCCCCACCATCGGCTTCATAGCCGCAAAAGAAATGACGCAGGGGGCGGGGGAGAAATACTTAATCCCGAGGATGGCGCGTTAATGTTAACTGTCCAAGATTGCACACTCAACCTTCAGCAATCGACCATGAAGATAGTCGCGATCCTCACTTTGCTTTTGGCAAGCGGGTATCGTGTTACAGCCAGCAAACCGTTGAGTCCCTGTCCCCATTTCAAACTTGTCATGGCCGTGTTACTGATACCTCAGTCAGCACCTATTTTGATCCTCAACATGTTACAGTGGACGGAGGCCCCAAAATACCTACGACTTCGTACCGTGACTTCACCTTAAGCCCCAGCTCACCTTGGGCTACCCTAGACTACGGCGCTGAGGTAGCAGGCTTCCCCAGCTTCGAAATTTCTGATATATCCGGACCGACACAGATCGAGGTCAAGTACAGTGAACTGTTTACAGGGCTGCTTGAGCCCTTCAGCGACGGTCCTAGCTTGTTCGTGTCCAGTCTCGCCAACTCCTTCCGAGTGGAAACGTTCAATATCACTCGAACTGGAAAGTTCAGTTCCAAACTTCTACAAGGAGGTCAGCGATGGCAAAGCATTCGCCTGCTCACTCACAGCACGGTGGAATTCCGATCGGTGTCCTTCAGGTCTTCAGTGGGTGTGGTGGATACAGAGAACCTTCCCGGCACATTCCACTCGTCAAACGAAATCTACAACAAGATTTGGTCTCTAGGTGCGCGGGCAGTCTCGATGGCATGCTTCGATGCGGGGTCACAGAAGTCGACATGGAAGATCTCTCCCCAAGGGGCTATGGTATCAAGCAGCGTATCTAGTTACTCTGCTTCGACCTATAACCTCACCGAATATGATTTGGAGTTCGATGCGAGAATTACTCGAGGGGGTTTTATCTGGTCCACCGGCTACACTTTCGGCATTCGACCAAAGGGAGGCATTCTCATCAATTTGGCCAGCAACTACCCAGAACAGTCGACGTTCCTCAACACGAATAAAACATTGTTCCCACCATCCACCATCACTCTGGCGTATGGAGTGAGCTTCGTCAACCAGACCACTTTGACCTCTTACGTTTTAGGTTCGTTCCCGATTCCTTTCGACGTGCAAGAAGGTGTTTGGTACCGGATCTCGACCACCGTCCGCTCCGGACATCTGGTCGTTAGCTTGAACCAAATCCAAATATTCAATGTCTCTTTGTCTAGCTATTATGCCGGCGGGGCCTCGATTACAACTTCAGGAGCATTTGGATTCGGCGCGTGGCAAGATCAGTCTGCCCACATCCGTAAAGTGAGCGCCCGAGATACTACTGGCAAGCTTGTTTACCAGAATCCTATGACCGATGCCGGGATTGTTCTGCCAGAATATGGTGTGCATGAAAACTACTTCCCGACTTGCGTGGATGGCGCAAAACGGGATCGATTGGCTTGGCTTGGAGACTTTGTGCATACCACCCGCATCATCGGAGTCACAACTAACCGCAGCGACCATGTTACCGGTACTTTCTTGCAGCTCCTCAGCTATCAACTTCCCACCGGTCAGCTGCCTATGGCTCCGTCTCTTGGTTACTCGCCAGAAATTGACCCTAAAGCGTTTGCGGTCAGCGGTATCGCATATCTTCTGCCGGACTATCAAATCCTCGCTCTAATGTCCTTTGCTTCGTATATGGAGTACTCCAGTGACACCACCTTCGCCCGGGAGCACTGGAGTTCGTGGAAGTCCGCGGTAGATTGGCTTGCCTTGTATCAGAGTAACTCTACTGGTCTCATTGACTTTGCCGTCTTCGGAAATGCCTTCCTAGGCCCCACCAGTGGCTCAGCCATCAACGCTGCCTCCGTGGAAGCATTCAGAGGAATGGCCTCTGTTGCTACTGCTATTGGAGATACCTCATCAGCCAAAAGATGGACTACACTGGCTAAATCCGTCAAAGCTGCTCTCAACGCCGCTCTGTGGAGTGAAGAATATGGCGTCTACTCTCTACAGGCATCCGACCCAGGAAACTATTCTATTGCCGCACTTGGCTTTGCCATTACCTCTAGCTCGGCCAATAATACCCAAATTCAACGAGCACTAGCTCATCTACCTACCCTCAAACTAGGACCGGGATATCGTGACTCTAGCAAAATCGCCTCATCCGACTCAACTGCCAACCTCTCACCGAACACGAATGGATTCCTCCTCTCGGCTCTTCTGCAGCAAAAGCAAGCAGCGCCCGCTGTATTCTTACTCAATAATCTCTGGGGCGCGATGATTGCGAATGAGTCAAGCAATTCGGGTGCCAGCTGGGAGTATGTCAGCCAGAAATCCGAGCCAGGCTTAGGACAGTTCACCTCTCTGAGCCATCCTTGGGGCGGAGCAGCGACATACGCGCTTACGAACTATGTGGCCGGCATTCGGCCGACAAGCTTTGGCTATCGCACTTGGATTGTGGAGCCTGCTTATGCAGGATTTGGGCTAGACTATATGAATGCCACAGTGCCGACTCCACACGGTAATTTAAGCGTTGTGTGGACGGCAAAGGACTCGGTGGTTACTGTGGAAATTCGTTCACCCGTTGGAACGACTGGACGACTTTCTCTAAGTAAGGAATGGGCTTGTGAGGAGGGATTCGTGCCAAAAGATTGCGACAAGGTACAAGACGTTGTATATGAAATTATCGGGGGAGGAGTATATCACATCACCCATAGGGTGGAGGCACAAGAGAAATTACCTAGAAGCGTTGGTATATTACCACGAGAACTAGAGCCCTAGTATATAGTAATAAAGTCGTCTGTGCCTAACGTACTAGATAATCTATATGAAGTGACTGCATGTAAACATACACATACACGTAGAAAATCCAATTCAAAAAATAGTTAATTACAATAAATACATTAATTCCCCTATCTAGCATCTTCGTTCCGCCCGTTTATTCACAATCACGTCGTAGTCTGTATTTTCCCCATTTTCTCAGACAATTCGTATGCAAGTTGCGACCTCATTAGTGATCTGACCCACCGCCCAGGATGATTACTTTCTTTTAATATCGGCATCATGAAGTTCTATCGCTGAAGAATATTTGGATCTATGTGATTGATAACCATTGTTAGATTCTGAAAGTCTATCAAAGGGAAAAATCTTAAATCTCGTACGTTAACGCATATATTCAATCATGCAAAGTGGAAAATCCAATGCCGATATGTGTAGAGTGTTCCAATGGATTGGAGGTATTGCACCTTGTTCCAATACATCGAAAATTAGCCTTTAACCATTTAGGCAATGTGTTCGGCCTCCTGATATTCAGTCTTTGCCATGACCTTCTCCTGGGCGAATGTGGAGTGAGGGCGCCACTTGGCAGAGGTCCGAGGGGTGGTTTCTTCCATCATCTTATCAACTTGCTCAAGAGACAGACCCTTGGTCTCTGGGACCAGGAAGTACGCATACACGAAGCAAGCAGCGCAAAGGCTTCCCCAGACGAAGAAGACAGAGGATCTCATGTTGGCCTCACCAGGGTTGTCTCCTACCATGTAAGGAGTGATGACAGCAATGATGGTATTCCACAGCCAGTTGGAGGCAGTGGAGAGAGCAACACCGCGGGAGCGGATGGGAATGGGGAAAATTTCACCAATGAGAATCCAGGCACCAGGGCCCCAGGTGGATGCGAAGAAGAAGATGTAGATGGCAATAAGTGCGACTTGGGCATTGACAGCCGAAATATTGTCGGCAATGGTACTACCACTGTCGGTCATGTGGGTCTTGTTAAAGCCAATAGTGACACCGATGATAGCGACGATGAATTGACAGATAAGCATACCCAACGCGCCGAAGATCAGAAGAGGGCGGCGACCGAACTTCTCGACGGTGTAGAAGGAGATAGGAGTTGAGAAAACGTTGACAATGGTGAAGATCATCGACATCAAGAATGTATTGCTGATCGCGCCAGTGCTCTGGAGGAAAGTAGTGGAGAAGTAGAAGATGAAATTGACACCAGTCCATTGTTGCATCATCTGGAGGGAGGTTCCCAGGATGGTACGACGCAAGTTAGACTTCTGGACCCAAAGGCTACCAGTGAAACAATTCTTCCAGCTTCCGAACCAGCCAGCATCGGGGATAACGCTGCGCTCATATTCCTCGTTGGCGATGATCTCAGAGAGTTCAGCCTCAATGTATTCGGAATCGGGAGGCTGGTCGCGGACAATGCAGAGGGCCTTCCTGGCATCCTCAATGCGGCCCTTCTTGACGAAATAGCGAGGCGAGTCGGGGAGGAACACAAGTCCACTAGCCAGAACGATTGCCCAGATGAACTGGATCGCAATAGGGATGCGGAAGGAACCGGTGTCTTTGCGGTTTTCAGTGCCGTAGACCAAGCAAGACGCCAACATGAGACCGATGGTGACACAGAACTGGTAGCAAGCGACGATAGCACCTCGAACCTTCTTGGGGCACTGTAAAGAAAAGAAAAAACAAAATGTTAGCATGTGGCTCAAAATGTCATCTATCTGAAGGTAGAGACGACTCTTACAATTTCACTGATATATAGAATGACAATGGCCGATTCGAAGCCAACACCGATGCCAGCAATTAGACGACCAGCAGCAATGATACCAAGAGCGTTACCGCCAATTCCAGTGAGCATTTGAATGACAATTCCAACAGCATAAATCGCACAGCCGGTGATGACGGTCCACTTGCGACCAACCCACTCGGCTACATCGCCTGCAAGGACAGCACCGAAAAAGGTACCAGCGGAGAGAATAGAAACAATAAGGGAGGAATGGGATGCAGTGAGGGTGGTACGGCCGGGCTCAATGATATCAACCCACATCTCGATGCCGTTCACACCATTAATATATCCGGAGTCATACCCAAAGTAGATACCTCCGATCGAGGCAAAAGCACAAAGAGCATAGGCCTTCCAGGTAATTGGTGCCTCAATGGCATTGACATCTCCAGTTCCACGAAGAGACATTTTGGCAACCTGACAGGGAATGTCTATTGTATGCCTAATGAATCTAGATATGAAGTGGAAAAGAAAATTTCCATTAACATGGGGAGCAACGAGCCTTGTTATATAGAGTTTTATCTCTGTGTCAGCCACATGGGGTACCAAGGTTTCCAAGGTTTATCCCACTGACTTTTTTTCTCCTTTTACGCCCTCTTGGCCTTTGCCAAGAATATGATCCCACATGGGCCCAAGCATAACCCCTCCCCCCAACGGGTTTAAGATCCAATTTGACCCAGACTGACATAATTACGCTCTCACTCGGGATTTTCAAATTGCTAACCAAGAACAAAGTAATACAACCTATGGGGTAGACTGAGAATAAATGTAAAAACTAGCCAGGAATGATATCGCAGTCGAGTTTATTCATATGGTCCGCCCTCCCCAGCTTTTCCGCGCTGACACATAGTTGCAGTCAGGCCACTTTTCTTTCCCCGTCCACTCGGAGATAACGAGTGAGCAGGTTGCATTGGGGAAACCTTATTGGGTATAAAATAAGTCTTGTCACGCCTGGAGTCACGCCTGAGAAAATATACTTTTGTAAAACTTTTAGGAAAGCCGAGTCGACCGAGTAACAAGATATACCGAAGTTTAGCCGTGTGTCTGTACAGTCCGAGCCGGGGTAATACCGGACAGAAGTGGATTCACAGGTCCAGAATGGCTTAAATTGCCCAGAGACATCCCCGATCTAAATTTCCGCGCCCACACAAAGACACGAAGCCGAAATAGACAACTAGAGCTTCCTCCTTCCATGCCTTGCTGTTGCTGTCAAATGGCACGCATGATTAGAGACAAAACTGATACTCTAACTGGGAGTACAAATTTGGCATTTTACCAAAACTCAAACACTGGGCTCATTCGAAGGTTGGAAATGATTAATATGGAGAAACCCCGGAGAGCGTGGAGCCCCGCTTTGCACTTTGCGGAGATTTCTCCCCGTGGGTTTGGTTTTCCGCACTGCCGAAGGTTCAGGCCGTGTCGGGAACTCATTGGTCAACTCGTCCGTTCCCCGTGTCTTGGACATTCCGAGGTTCCCGATTGAACTGCCCAGGTGTACGCATTTTGGTACGGAATTGTCCATACACTTCATTAAGATTGCCGAAGAGCAAACCTTTCTAAATTACAAAGATTTACAAAGCAGCGAAGGGCCTTCCAAGGTTGGTATCTTCGGTTATGGAATGTCCACATGTCTCATTTTTTTTATTATATAATATTATTTTAGGACCTCGGCTGAGTTTTAACCCGGCAGAACCTTCTAAGGTTACATGCTGCTAAAAGACGGGAAGGATTAAGCCAATAGAACAAGAGTAGTCACGTGGACAGTCGCCCTAAATGTCACGTTGTAAGCTGAGATTTCCAAGGTTGTACCGTACTATAGAGGGATACTAGCCAAATTAGGTAGTCTTGGCACTACCTAGTTCCAAGGTCCACAGTCCCCGGGGCCACTAACTATGGTATTCTCTAAACAAATCGGTAGATTCTTCCAAATTACAAAAGGTTTGTAAAAAGGCGGGGTCCATTTTCACGAGGTATGGCTGTATTGCCGTAAAGATTCGGCCAATTCCACTCGGTACACTTAAGGATTCAGACCTTCTACAGCTCCCGGAACGGGGTTGATCCCCTATACGGCTCGGTATAAAGCCGGGGATAACCTGCTGTTAAAAATTTAAACATTACATAATAATTATAGAAGACACAACATCATTAGTAAGTAACTACTAATATAGGCAGACCGTCTCCACCATCATGATATATTTTTACTTGATTCTAAGCAGGTTGATGTTTCTTGTTAGAACAAAAGTCAATAGAGGAAGAACAAAAGGGTAGCTGAGAGGTATATTAATAGTCACTTAAGACAGGCCATAGGTTAAGGCCTACTTGTCTAACTATACAGGTAAATTGAAGAATCATTCAACACGCATTTGCCAATGGCCTCGCCATCGCCAAACCCCTTGAAAGGCGGTGCCCAGTGATCCCTCGCTTAACTCTTCAATCTGGAATGTGTGAAAGGTTAGCAGTCGGGTTCAAGAACTGCGTGCTTGAGCGAATATTCTACCTTTTCGAAGTCGAGACACTCGTGTACAACGTTCGCCATTGCGCGTATGCCAAAGTTCTTAGAGCTATACTAAAAGACATTCGGCGTTATATCCACAGAACACATTTAATATTGTCTGAGCGCATCGAGTATATAAGGGTTATCCTCAGCGGTCCATTTGGGGTCTGCTACCTTTCATATGGAACCGAGGCAGTACAAGTTGTGGGAAAAGCTCAAAACGATAAGATAGCCGCTTTCCTCATATGGTGCCTCGGGTGATGTCTTGTTGGGGAGTCGAAGGGCTTCCTATGTTTGTGGCCTGAGGCATAATAATCAGTGCCTCAGGCATCAACCCCTCAGGTAGTATATAGTCGACAGGTCATAGAAATCAACTCTCTCCCTCCACACTTTCAGGCCCCTACGTTGTAGAAGCCCCCCAACACTTCCTCGTATGATATACGAGTAATTTCGTCTTCGATTAGACATACTGCCAGTATAAAGTTCCTTCCATAGTCGGTTATTTTCTGTGGTCGGCATTCCTTGATATAGCGTTGTATCACTGTTGATGCCGTTTTGGAATTTCACCAACTTGTGGGAGATGGCAGTGTCGACCAGCGCTTTAATGAAGTCAGATTTCAAGCGAAAAGATATCCCAGAAGACGAGGTGCGTACATGACAAAGCAATTCATCCCGTCCTTGTCCTGCATCAGACTTCAGCCCTCAGGGAGCATTATGAACAACAACGGTGAGTGCAATGTTGATAAGGAATAAGTGTAAAGCAAAAACCAAGGACGGCAATAATAGCGGTAGAAACAATTTGGAGAAAGGTGGGGAACGGATGGAAGGAAACAAATTCAATCTGATCGATGAAGTGTGGAGATACAGGAATTCCTAACGGTCCGGACCGGACCGCCCAACCTGAGCGCCTAACTTTAATATATAGTTACATACCCTACCTAGGTACATGCAATTGCCCGAACGCTAGAAACTTGTCATAAATTGGCTAGGGAAAAGGGAGAGTAGGGCCAAAATATAGAGATTAATTACGCGCCTACGTGGTATATAATACTCTGTCAGACTCCGCGCCCCTCCGTAGCGATAATATAAATTTGATTAGGAGGCATATGGAGCTAGTCCTGAGATATCCAGTAGGGGATGCATACCGACCTCGCTAGAAACTTGTCCCACGAGTCATGTCCTTACATGAATCATCCCTCTTTCAATATAAACCAAGGCCCCTTTACTATTGAACGGTTTGAAATTCTTTGAAATATTTCCATGATTTTTGTCCCTTATTAAAAGCTTACCCTACTGTTGCCATGAACGCGACCGCGGACGCTACGTTTGGCCCCCGACTACAAGGGCATTTCGACTTTACCCTCCTCTTTGAGCAAAGTATCTTCTCAATTGGCCCATCGGCAATCTTGCTAACTACCTCGCTTTTCCGGATTACTGCTCTGACCCGGAGGAAGCCAAGCTTTGGGGCGAGCACCTTGCTCTGGATCAAGCTCGTAAGACTTTGAACATCCGATACCGTGCTGCTGCTAACACAGGAAGATTCCAACCAAAAGCTCGGAGCACTACTACAGACAAGTTAACAACTTATTCCCGGACACTCAGTATTTTTATCGCTACTTTGAAGCACCGGGATTAGGACACTGTGTAGGAGGAGGTGGAGGACATCCTCTCACAATATTTGACGCTCTTCGCAGTTGGGTAGAGGAAGGTATGCTCCGGAAAATTTGCCTGTTGACTTCAATGGTATTGGTGGAGTCGAGCATGGTCGAATTCTATGCTAATACCCAACAAAGGCAGTCTACCAGGGTGGCGATGTCTCTGATTCGAAGAGCTTCAAATGTATCGGCAATGCCACAGGCAACCTTGGAAACAGCACTGACGTTTGAATCTGGAGGAACCACGTTCCATTGTTGAAACTCAGATGCAAAGTCGAACTTGCAGGGACACTTTTGCCAGCTACAACCGCCGAATACAGGTCAATCTCGGTCTTATAAAAATCACTGCTGCGCCGTCAATGTAATTATTATTGTTGTTATTAAATTTTAAAATGAACAGCTATAGAATTGAGTCGAAGCCGTTGAGTGCAATCAAAGCAGACCAAGCTGCCTCAAAGGCCAGTGAGCAAATCTCCGGTGATAATCATCCAGATTTTGATGCACTCCTTTAGCAATGTGGCGAGGCCATTGTTGGATGAACCACACAGAATCAAGTTCATTAAGCAACACCAAAAAGTAGGAGAATAGTAACAAGGCAATATGACTTTTGTCTCTCATGTCTTGAACGAAGAGATCTGGTAACATATAAAGCCAACCAAAGATCTCCGACCATAGACCCGCACCGGAGAGACCAGCTCCAAGTATGGATTCATAACGCGAGTAGAGCATCTCGAATGCATGGCAGTAGCTGTAATGGCGAGGGTTGTCAGTCGGGAATTTGTTAAACACGAGATAGCGTAGTTGCTGCAGCGGCTCCCGGAATTCACATAGGGTGTTGTTTTGTTGTGGGTCATGGACCATCAGTAATGGGTTCCCCTGAGTGTGCTCTTTTTCCGTTTCTTGATCCATTGAATGGTCTTGTGGCTCTCCGGTATGTAGTTCGGAGAATCCTCGGGAGATACCAAGTCTATTACTTGCCTCCAAGATCAACCGAATGCCGTGGAAAAGAGATAAACAAGGTGTATCGGCGTCATTTCGGAAGGTCAAATACTCATCCGGCTGAGGTCCCCGAGCAAGCGAGCAAATGAAGATGAACAAGGAAGAAACATAGAGCGCGTGGCTATTTCCTTGGTGTAGTTGTGGGTCTGTGGCTGCAACTCCTGCAATCGCGATGCTAAGATGACGCTCCGCTTCGACTGAAAAATCAATTTGTGGTCCGGGAAACTGGTGGCTTGATGATGTCCGGCTCAAATGAAAAGCAGAAAGTGCAAGGAGCAAACGTAATAGATAATGTACAGAAAAGCCTAATCGGATAAGCTGATCTGGTATGTGTGGCTTAAGTTCTTCTGCCGAAAGGAGATGATGCAATAGAGTCATATCGGTGATGGTGAACTCGAATGGCCTTTGCGCTATAGCCAAATTTGCATCAGGTGAAGGAGACGGCGTGGAAAGATCAATCTCCTTATGCGTTCGCTTAGGGATAGTGAAATCCGACTGGGACGAGGAGATGAAAGAAAATTCCGTGCCCGGTCGGCTTCTAGAGCCTGAGTCTGGGATTGCATTTCCTTTGCGCGAGGTTGATTGACTGAAACGTGCAGGCACTTGGCTATAGGTGCACTCAACGGAATGACGTGCACAATTCACACAACGCGGTTTGGTCTCATCGCACTGCAGGTAAGGTAAGCCTTTTGATTCAACTGTCCGAGATAAATGACCCACCTTAACTCTGCGGGCCTTGCAATTATTGCAGCCCAGGCGAGATTTTCGATGCGAACGACGAGATGTTTTACCCTCGTAAGTTTCGGAAGAATCCATTTTCCATTCAAAGAAAAAAAAAAGGAGAAATATAAATAGGAAGAAAATTCGGGTACTACCTAGATAGGTAATTAGCATGAAGTGGACCCGAATAAGTAACATCTCATTGGAGAATCGATGTTTAAATCTTTTGACTTGCAACGCCGAAAACCATGGAGATGTCTGGGTTTAGTATCCAAAGCTTCATTTTTGGATCAAAAGCTTCAAATGTTCATTGTGTATGAACGATTTACAATCCAATGTATAGAGGTACAAAGTGGTGCTGAAATAAGGCTGAAATAAGGCATGCAGGCATCAAATACCGGGTCTGTGGATCTTCTCCACTTGGACAATTCCCCACCGATGACTTTGTATTCTTTATTTGAAGCCAATTTTATAGGTACCTACTATCATCATTTCTTTAGTGATGTTCCAGGAGGATATTATGCTTCTTTAGGCTTTGGTGGGAGTTGGAGTAAGACTGTGTATAATAAGTTTAGCTGTGGTACTTGGGGAGAATGGTTGACAGCGCTCAGGCTGATATATAGTTGTACTATATACGGCTTTGACGGAGAATAAAATGTGTTAATACGTTGGAAATTTTATTTTGGCATAGCTACAGAAGGACATTCACTATAAGAAAAATATTATCGCATTCCATGCATGACGAAGTGGATAGAGAGAGAGGGGGAGAGAGAGGGAGGGAGGGAGGGACTATCTATGTTGAACAACAAACACCAGAGCTGCAGGCATTATTCTTGACTAATCAGGCAGCTCACAAACAAAAGTACATCCCCCGCCTATCTTGTTCCTCTCCTCAGCATCTCACCCTTCATAGTTATTCCTCATTCCTCGGGGGGTTCTTCTTCAATTAAACATTGCCAAAAAGGACCTCATTACGTACGAAACAATGCCCTTCAAGGTAGACACAACCCTTTTCCTCTACATCACATTTATTGTGGTAAGATATTGGAGTTCCAGCCTGGCGGTGAACCTCTGTTAACACATTTCGGAATTAGGGAGGGGTCATCTCCTTCCTCCTTGGAGCGTGAGTTATTGCACGTTTTATCATAGGTCCAGGTGGAATATATCAAACCAAGATAGTGACTGATAGACTTCTTGCGGAACAGGATATCTTGGGCTCGCACCGCCACACTATTTCTTCCCTTGCCGACATGGGTTCCAGCTACTACAACCCTCATATCCCCAATCATGGTACTCACACTCATAGTCACACGAATACTTTCTACCCGTTCAAACAATGAAACGATTCGATGGACCACAATATTTCCCATACTCAATCAGGTTCAAACGGTCATATCGACCATCGTGGCCACATTAGCACTTGCGTACCTCTTTCCCGACAGGATTCTCTCATGTAACCTAGATCAACAATGGCAGGAGTTCTTCAAGTCAAAGAATTCGCACGCTATTCGGTCAATCCAAGATGAATTCCGATGTTGTGGTCTTCGAAGTCTTCACGATAGGGCATGGCCTTTCAAGGACCGGAACCATGGGGACAACGCGTGTGAGTTGCAACTGGGATATCAGAGGAGTTGCTTTGCCCCTTGGAGAAAGCATCAACATCGTACGTCTTGGATGGTTTTTGCGGCAGTTGTTCTTGTTTTCGCTGCTAAGGTGAGTTTACCTAAATGAGGTTTGTGGTGTAGTGACTGATATCCCGCAACATTATACAGATAGCTTTTATTCGGCTTTCTGGGTATCGGACAGGTTGGATGAGCACACAATCGCAATCTGCCGGTTACCAGCGTATTTCACACCCAGAGGTGCAAGACGAAGGGGATATCGAGAATGGCGTCCATGAGGAAACGCGGAGGACACTCTTACCCCAGTCAAGCGCCGAGTATAGAAACAACTGGCAGGTAGATTAAATCCGAGAAATCTTCCACCCAGCCAGGGAGGGAAAATGCACTATCACTGTGCATCCTTGGCCTCAATCCGAATTGAAGAATATCAGACAATGGAGACATCGCATTACTACCTCGGGCAGGTAGGACCTTGCTTCCTCTCTTTCTGCCTCTCTTGGCAGCTACCTCAATACGCTCGTGGCTTTATTTCCCTATCAGACAATATTAGTGTATCAAACCCTCACTCGGATAAAGTTGACATCTAGTTTTATAGTAATATCCTAAATTACGCTAGTTGGCATATCTCATCTGCCAGCCTTTATGCCTTTGAATAGTCGCTGTGAATTGCCACCTCAAAACAAACCCATTCAATGGCAAATCTTGGAAAACAACCTAAACGGCGATGAAAGTGACTTTCAGGCGGCCAAATGCCAATCGTTTCTTGATTGAATTCTCATTACGATCGATTTATATGCACTGGGCACTAATTAACTGTTCCCTCCGCTGTCTAGTTCGGATATTTCCCTCTTATGATCCGCGGGAAGTTCCCAACGCATGTGGGTTTCCCCTCGCAACTCAGCGCGCCCATCTCTGGCACCCACTGGAAGCTCAGGCATCGGCTGCACTTGATGTGTTACAACCTCAGCCTCACCCAATTTCGGCATAGCCAATTCTGCATTCTTTTGCTTTTTATTCCTTGCAACGAAGAACCATAGCAGGCCTAGGATCAGGGCTAGACCAGCCACACCACCGACAACCCCTCCGGCGATAGCACCCTTGGTCGATGGGTCGGATGTGTTAACTTCCTGTGGCTCGGATATGGAAGAGGGTTTGTTATTAGCAGTAGTACTGGTTGTTGCCGCACTCTTTCCAAATAGAGTTTTAAAAGCTGGATCAGCCCACGATGAGGGAGATGGTGAGGCCTTGATATCGTTGGCCGTCGAAGAAGATAGGGAAAATGAAGATAGAGTGGGCTGTTCAGCTATTAGTTTATTGAACTCGACTTTGAAGAGGGTGGAGTACTCACATCAAAGGACGATCGCGTTACCTCGGATTGAGCGTCATATATGAAGGCTGGAGCATCGTAACAGCCTGCCTGACCATCATCTGCCCAGGCAAGTCTTCCGCCAATTCCAAAGATCTGACGCCCGTATGTCACACACATGAGGGTCATGCGAGGGTCGTCAAGAGGGGCAGCAGAATACCATTTGAAGGACGGAATTGATAAGTAATTTCTAAAAGAAAGGGTCAGGCCGGGGCGCGGGGATCACGACAGAATGAATACCACTCACACATCTAGAATAGTGTCTTTGGATTTCAGATCTGCCCCTCCAAGAACGTATATCTGATATGAGGACGAGGATTCGTCGTGCTGCACGGAGGCGCAGAATTGTGTTCGGGACGCTACAGTTCCCATCGTGGACTGGTTATACCATTTCGCTCCAGCAATATCATACACTTGAACATGGCTCCATGAGTTCTGAGATCTTTATTAGTATTCTGATTTTCATACAGGCATTCCCAGAGCTTACCGCGCTCATCGTAGCGTTGATCCCATCCTTAATCGAGGGAACATCACCACCAATATACACCAAAATTCCCTTGTCGCCAACTGGCACGTATGAAAGCGAACCTTCCTCGACAGCTTCGTAAGGCCCATCGAGAGCTGTGTACTGCCCGGTTGTAGTATTTAATTGAATCATCCCCGTGGCGTAATCTCTTGTCGAGTCTGTGATTGAAGCTGTCGTACCACTAGCCCGATAACCACCTATCCAAAAGCCAGCTTGGATAGCGGGCGCATTCGTATACACTGACAGAAAGCCGATGTCAGAACCACATCTCGGTATAGCGATCGAATTTCAACATACCACCGTACTCTAGTCTCGAGGGCTGAATGGTGCCATCCTGTTTGCTCCATGATTTGTCTTTGGTTGTATAGGTCCATATCGTGTCTTCGGATGTGATGTTTTCCAGAAATCTCCCTCCATACTGGTACAATGTCGAGTTATCCGCGTTGGACCAAACCGCCATGTCTTTAATCTTGGGAACGTCGGTGTCGATCTTGGCCATCTTATAGTTCTTGCCCTCGGAGGTGGAGAAAGAAGACGTGAGATCGAGCGTCACAAGATAATTGTCTAAGAAACAACATAAGTATACCAGGATAAAATTGGCGAAACAGCTTTTGACTTACTCGAAGCGTCCCCATCATCTGGAATGAGTCCCCCATCCAGACCAACCATGTATAAAACATTGTTGGCAATATCCGCTGCACAATAAGCATCCGAGGTCTAGAATACGTAGACATTTTCTCCGCATACCTCCAAATCTGTAACTGCGACAAAATCCTCCAGATAGATCTGACAAGACTGTTCTCTTGGCAAGATCCATGACTCCGGCGTTGGCAAAAGAGGGACCCAATACCCAAAGTAACATAAACCACCAAGCCGCCATCTTAACCGTTTCCTAGCAAGCACCCAAGTGCGAAAGAGAGTGGAATTTTTTCAGGGTCTAAGCTCATGCGGGCTGGGGAACTCATTTATTTGCCAATCACGACAATTTAAGAAGCTAGTAGTAACTAAGTAAGTCTAGTCAGATTTAATCTTATTATCAGGGGCGGGAAGAGTTCCAGAATTAGTCACATTGAGCGCTTGGGTCTTATGTTTGGGGGCTTTTTGCTGAACACTGCATGATGCACGCACCGTCAAGTTAGCGTGTATATATCCTGCTGGGTTGATTGGTGCATGGTTTCCGATCTGCACATACCCGGCCCCTTAGATAGCCAGGGCTTTTCTCTTGAAACGGGAAATTTGAGAATAGTCAATCATTTGACACGGGATTATTTCAGCCGTAGTGCCATAATTATTTGATCGATCGTGTGTTTCGGACCTCAAACCAGTCACGTGTAAATGTTTGCAAGGCAAAATGCTACACAACATTGACTAGCAGGTGCCATATTGTGAGTAATCCGTGGTAATTGACGGGGTTCGGAGACTTCAGGTCTGCAAAGGCGCACATAGCGAGAGGGGGGGTCGTAGGCCAGGCGGCTCTCGGGCCTAAACCCTCTTCTCCAGGGCCTAAGTCCAATTTTTAATACTATACTATGTATAGACTTCAGTCTTAACTTATGTCTTAATTTCTGTCTTGGATGACCAGCGCTGTACTAAATATAGTGAGTAAATGAGTCTCCGAGTCTATAAAACACCAATAGCAGGTGGATGACTTGACCGATATTCAAACCATAGGGGAGAAGATAATCGATGTGCCTTTCCCCATTTTCACCTCACTTTAATTTAATGGAAATCATAATGCCGTCTCCAAGCAGTCGAAGCACAGTCGCGCAATTCTCTCCAACATCAAAGGAAAGCTGAGTTTACAGTTGCGATGGATAAGGCCTACAATTACAAAATTGGTGTAAACAATTTCGACTGGCATGATTCTCCTTGAGATTGCCGCATCAGAAGCCAACTTTCTGCGTTTCTTCAAACCCCATCCCCGTCTAATCCAATATAACCGAGCGCGCTGGAAGCGGACCTGGCATCACACTCAAGCTCTGTGTGACAATCTTGCGCGGCGAGGAATAGGAAATTGAAGAAACCGAAGAGGAATTATTGGGGTTGAAAGAGAAATGTCTGCGCAACGACCTTCCAGTAAACATCTCCGCGGGTTTACGCAGTCGCCGGGAGATCGTTCAATATACCAAGGCTGCATTGTACATCATCAGTCAGCTTTGCATCCATGACAGAAATCTCACCGGAGAGATCGTTCATCCTCTTATCGATGCAACAAACGTATGTGTCGTTTGATCACGAACTCTATACTCTTCAAGCTGTGCAGTTTTTTTGTGTGCATTGGTGAGAAGGAAGAGCACTGCTCTCTTTACGAAGAAATTGCTTGCAATACAAGTCACTCGAAGATACACAGATGTTGATAAGGAGAAACACGTTTCGCACAAACAGCTGGGGATTTTTCGTTATCTCGCATGCCTATTTCCTCTCACCTTCGGCATGAAAGCGACATCTTGCAATTGCAAGAGTAGTGGGCACACTATGATCAAGTCCTACCCAAAAGCAAAAAAAAAAAAAAGCAAGCACTACCTGCTGCAGCCATGAAAAAGAAAAAAGGATGAGCAGTTTAGAAATATGTGGCAGACTCCATCGGAATTCCCAGATTCCAAAGTAAGAGTCCAGAGCGTTTCAAAATTTAGTAGTGGGTTGAGACAGAAGACGTTGAAGGCATCGCTGGTTTTTCTTTGTGCGCCTCATAACATACATCCATATATGTAGTGTACGGACTGCTCGTGGAGGTTTCTGCTGAGAATACAATGGACTCCAGTGAGCCTGGCTTAGTATGGTTACAAATGGAAAGGCTAAAATAAAGACCCAATATTGGACGCCACCCCCGAAAGCGAAAGCTTGTGTTGATATAGGATTATAAGATTGAAGCTAAGTAATCAGGCCACGATGCGCTATTGAGAAGGCGATCCTGGTTCTGCGAGAGTGATCTCGCGCTTTGCGGGGTTAATGTCGTGACAGCCAGCACATTCTGAGTAACAGCACACCATGGCGCGATCACAAGGTTTAACCACGCAAAGCTGATCAATCTGCGCTATTTAAATGGTCTTTCATATCTGACATATCTGACATCTGCTGTTCTTCCAATCGTCTTTTGCATTATAAACAATATGTCCGCTGTTCAGACTATCACTGTGCCCGCCCAACCCGATATTCAGTACCACCCTGAATATGAAAAGTACAAGGAGCGTACTCGTCGTCGAAAGGAGACCGAGACACTCCAGACCACTTTGCCGGCGGGTTTCCCGCAGAAATTAGTATCGCCGCTGGTCTGGGAAGGAAAAGATGTCGAGAAGCGGGATGACTGGGTTTATCAGTTGAGCGATAATCAGCTGGATGAAATTGACGCTGCTTTGAAGAGCTTCAAAGGTGGGTAATTGTGACTGTGGGATTAAGATACCATTGCTAATTTAGAAGCTCTTAATTTATCTTTGGGACATATCAACCAGTCGACTTTCCCTCTCCCCACCCTGCGGCCTGTTCTTCGAGACCTTTCGAAGGAGATCCACACCGGTCGAGGATTCGTCGTTCTTCGGGGTTTGCGCATTGATGATTACTCTCGAGAGGAGAACATTATCATCTATGCCGGTGTATCTTCTCACATCGGCAATATTCGAGGACGTCAGCAATACGCTCGACTGGCCAATAACACTTCACCCGTGATATCCCACATCAAAGACCTCACTAGCACCACCCAGAGGGAACTTATCGGGGCCCCTTCGAACACGCCTGATAAGCAGGTTTTCCACACTGATGCCGGCGATATCGTCTCACTCCTTTGTTTGAACCGAGCCGCAGAGGGAGGAGAAAGCTATCTTTCTAGCAGCTGGCATGTATACAACATCCTGGCCAAGGAAAGACCCGATCTTATCCACACTCTGTCCCAGGATTGGCCAGTCGACGGGTAACAATCCCCAAGTACCAAGAGAGAGTATTTGCAAATTAACACTGTTCAGCTTCAATAACCCGGCCAGTCCCTACACCCTCCGCCCACTTCTATACCACCAACCAGCTACTGCCACCACCCCTGAGAGGGTCCTAATTCAGTACGCAAGACGATACTTCACTGGATTCCTGGCTCAGCCCCGATCGAAGGACATCCCCCCTATCACGGAAGCCCAAGCCGAGGCACTCGACGCTTTGCACTTCTTGGCAGAAGAGCACAGTGCCGCTCTGGATTTCCAGAAAGGCGATGTCCAATATGTGAATAATCTTAGCATTTTCCACGCGCGGAACGGGTTTAGAGATGAGCCCGGTAAAGAGTGCGTCCTTGTTCTTTCACATATGCTGTTCTTTTATGGAGATGCTAACGGTATGACTGTATTAGGCGTCATCTGTTGAGAATCTGGCTGCGAGACCCTGAAAATGCATGGGAAACGCCCCAGCAACTCCAAGAACGATGGGATATAGTCTACAAAGATGTTGTAGAGGATCAGCAGGTGTTCCCATTGGAGCCGACTATTCGCAAGAGTGTCTGATCGTGATAATAAACAACATGAGAAGGTCAAGTTCTAGTCGTCTTTAGCTTAGCACTTGAATTCAATATTCGGCTATATTTATATCGGTTATTCCAACTGTCGAGCTGCTTAAACGGAAGAAGGTACCTGCACGGCAATATGCGGTAGAATTCCGAGGTAGCGTTCCGTCATCTTAAATAGGATCGGCTTCACTGGCCACAAACTTAAACATGTCAACGCCACGTCAAATCCTAAATTGTAAAGGAATACCCCGCTCTTGGACTAGGGTGTTGGGTATATACAATATCAAGACCTCGATCTAGATCTCTCTCTAACTCGGTGAATAGGTTTGCAAGGGCCTAGCCCCCAACAAACCTGCGATCAAATACTCGGTATAGACAAAGCCAAGCCTAGATACCAGGACGGGCAGCAAGCTAGGTACTAAGCCGTGTAATCTTGGCATTCTTGGGGGCGGAACCAAATGCCGACTGCGATCGAAGAATGCGGAATGAATCAAAACAATGAAGGTCTCGTGCGGGGACCCCGGATTTCCCCAGACGGGACTACGATACTATGGAGTAGCCCCATTTATTTAAAAAGAGTTTATATTCCACCATATCATCCTGGTGGCTGCTTGTTTTTATTTAAGGACGATCTGAAATGGACCAGGAAAAGATATACGACGAGACGGTCGAGGATGTCAAGTCCGCGGTTTCCGTGCCAGACATAGATCCAAAGGCTGAGAAACGACTCCTACGGAAACTTGACATCCATGTCGTTCCTATTCTCATGTTTTTGTTCTTACTCGCCTTCCTTGATCGTATAAATATCGGTAATGCGCGAATCCAAGGTCTCGAAAAGGATTTGGGCATGGAGGGACATGATTACAACATCGCACTGTTTATCTTCTTCATTCCCTATATCCTTTTCGAGGTTCCTAGCAATCTCTTTTTGAAAAAGGTATCTCCATCTTGGTGGTTGAGTGGGATTATGTTTTGCTGGGGTATGTTTGAACTGCCATAGATGAAGGGACTGGAATTAACCTCCATCATATTAGGCGTTGTTACAACATGCCAAGGTGTTGTGAAGGGCTTCGGTGGCCTCGTTGCGTGTCGATTCTTGCTCGGTTTGTTTGAGGCTGGATTAATGCCAGGTTTGGGTAGCCTTCGATCCCTTGATAGCACAAATGCTAATGTTCTAATGCAGGCTGCATCTACTTGATTGCTATGTACTATAAGCGCCACGAGTTGCAATGGCGATTCAATATTTTCTTCAGCGCTAGTATTATGGCAGGTGCAATCAGTGGAGTATGTATTACCTGCCCGATGATTTTGTTCTATACTAAACCATTATTTCCTAGCTTCTTGCTTATGGAATAGCCCAGATGGACGGTGTCGGAGGATACAGCGGCTGGCGCTGGATCTTCATCATCGAAGGTCTACTTACAGTATTCACTGGAATTGCTGCGAAATTCCTCGTCGTCGATTGGCCCGAAACATCTAGTTTCCTAAATGATGAGGAACGTGCTTTGCTGCTTCGACGTCTATCGGAAGACCGTGGTGAAGCGCAAATGAATCGCTTTGACAAGCCGGCAATCAAGCGCACATTCTCAGATGTCAAGATCTATCTTGGGTAAACTTGAGTATCTTTCTTCCATGCAGACTGTCCACTAACAACAAATCACGTTTAGTGCTATTATGTATTTTGGAATTGTCAATACGGGCTACGCAACATCGTTCTTCACCCCAACCATCCTCCGCCAGCTTGGCTGGACATCTGTCCGAGCTCAAGTAATGAGTATTCCGATCTACATCGTTGCAACAGTAATTGCACTAGCTACAGCCTTCGTTAGCGACCGACTTCGCCATCGATTCACATTCACATTGATCGGATGTGTCATCGCCACAATTGGGTACATTATTCTCATATGTCAGGAGTCAGTGCCAGTCGGTGCCCGATATTTCGCCCTATACGCGATCACGGGTGGAGGATATATGACGCAGCCGATTTTGTTGGGCTGGGTTAGTAACAACATGGCTGGGCACTATAAGCAATCTATCGCCTCAGCCATGCAGATCGGCTTCGGTAACTGTGGCGGTCTGGTGGCTAGCAATGTCTTCTTTAACTCGGAGGCTCCAACATACAAAACTGGGTTTGGTGTCAGTCTAGGGATGGTATGGATCTGTGGTCTGGCATGTACTGTGTTCATTGGTTATGTATACCGTGAAAATCGGCTACGTGAGCAGGGTAAGAGGGATCATCGATACCATTGGCCCAGAGAGGAACTTGAGAATGCTGGGGATGATCACCCCAGTTTCCGGTTTACTTATTAAGTATGGAATTGAATTGACATTTGAAAGAGTTGATTACCGTCTACCTGTATAGACGTATAGATGTATAGATGTGATAAACCCTGACTATCACCTGCTCAGTTTGGGTTTTCATAGTATTTTTTCTATACTTTCCACGCCTTATGGCCTGGCCAACCTTGGATGATTGGTCTATTCGATTTCCCCGTTTCCTATTCGTCAAGAAGAACCCATTTTCCAAAGGTTCCCTGGTACATTTTATGCCAAGACCACCCTTGATCGGCATCTTCCTCCCGATATGACGTAAGTACGCTACACCGGATTTTTGGCCATTATCATCATTATTTATATAATAGAACTATTATTGGTGTGGAAGATCGTCAAATACCTACCGGTGAGCCCCAATCGTAGATCAGTCTATATTGTAAGTTCGTATGCATCCGCCGATCATGACCCAGAAAAACTTGTGGGGGAAGTATAGCGACTAGCGACTACAAAGTACTGCGTGTTAAATGAGGATATACTTGGGGATCCAATGATACTACAAGGCACAACCTCGCGGGTCCCGCGGAGTTAGATAATATGCCCAGCCAAAGTAGATTACCTATATATTGTCCCTACTTAATCAAAATCAACCCCTCTCCACGCATTCTAATCCTCCCAACTCGAACCATCTTACATAGATGCTGGGAACTCGCCCAATCTTCACAAAATGTCGAGAACACTGTCTCCGCAGAAGGACGTCCAACCCGTGACTCCAGAATACCCATGGAGATCCGACAACCCATTCGGTCCACCTCAAATACCGCCATCCGCCCCCAGTGGCATTAAACGACTCCGAAACACACTATCAAAACTATCACCATCCGCCTTCGCGGAAAAGGAACTCCTCCGAAAAAAGAACCAGTGCAAGAGTCCCCTGACGCAGAGAAATGTCCACACCTTGGTCACCGAGCAAGAATGCAACGAAGCCTACAAGCCCAATCTACACTCGCCCCAAATCCAAGTCACTGAATGGTTACAACGAGTCTCCTGAGCCCGAAAGTACCATTTGCACACAAAGTCCCTATGGGTATGAGCACGAGCACGGGGATGTAAACGTCAATGCGAATACAATAGAGTTCCGCTAGGCCTTTTCTCGAACTTTTCTCTCTCCTCTTCCCCCTCCCGCCACTCGCACTCCAGAGCGCCTGTCAAATATGGGGAAACTCAATCCTGGCACTAAAGTGGCCTTTTTTTCCTGGGGGCCAGAAAAATTACCCGTTACGGGTTGCTCCATGGGGAAATTCATGAACCCCTGGTTGCTATGGTTTATGCTTGGCGTTAACGTCATGATTTGCTGGTATGCATGCCGAGAGTGATATGCTCCGCCTTTTTTTTTAAGAATTGGAATTTTGAGGAGATGTACAAGATACAAAGGACATCAATGTATACGTGTCTAAATAATGTTTGAAGTATAAGTGTTATACCCGATGTGGGTGTAGTCACATGGGTGAGGGTTACGCCAGTTGGTTCATGATGTACTTAATTTACTATTATTCGCGGAACTTGTAACTAATCATTGCTGTTATACAATATACTACGTTTTAACTATTCAAATTGATTCTTTAATTTAAATGTAAATATCTTGTATGAAAATAGAAAGAGACCCGAGCTGTTTCTCAAGTGGATATAAGCGGGGTAAGTTTAGCGACAACTAGAGTCTGCCTTGGATTACTCCTAATGTTAGTATATTGATTATATTGCCAGTTATACATCAGACAAAGAGAAAAAATAACGCTCTCTGAATCTTACAGTCCTCGCTTCCAACCCCAGGATGTCACCCAAGAAAGTAGCAATAATCGGTGAGTGTAGAGAGTCAGACCCCGCGGGCACAACTCCAGGTGGTATATCCAACCTAACATTAATATCGCATCCTACAGGCGCCGGTCCCTCGGGCCTAGTCACTGCCAAAACCCTGCTTCATAATTTCCCGCCCGGGACATTCTCTCCAATAATCTTCGACTGTCAGGACAAAGTCGGAGGTCTGTGGTCAAGTCACCATCATTCTCCCAATCAGGTGAATGCACCCGTTGTTACACTAGACCCTCGAATGCGCACCAACCTCAGCTGCTTCACGGTTGCGTTTTCGGATTTATCCTGGGAGTCTGTGATACCTGATGCGGATGTTCCTGTTTTTCCTCAGGCGAGACAGGTTGGAGACTATTTGGCCTGTTATGCGGAGCGGTATATCCCAACCCATGTGCTTCGGCTAGGGTGTAGAGTAGTAAACACTATACGGAGGGTTGAGAATAGAGGTGATCCGAAGTGGAATGTTCAATGGGTTCAGGAAAGGTATGTTGGAGCTTATTATCCTCGTGTGTCGCTGTACTCGAGCTGGACATTGACTCATGGCCATATATAGCACGAAGCAAGCTCAGTCAGAATATGGATTACCGGATGATGGAGTATCTTCGGAAGATGTTGACCTGATCGTCATCGCCTCTGGATACTTTGCCCAGCAGTATGTTCCGGATATACCAGGTCTTAAGCAATTCCAAAGTCAAGGCCAAATCATCCACAGTTCTTCCCTCCATTATGAGCGAGAGCAACCATTTTTTAATGAAACCAAAGACGTGAATGGTCAGGTCGTCGTCATCGGCGGCAGCATGTCAGGCGTTGAAGCCGCATCTGCTGTGGCTCTCCGCCAATCTTCATCTACACTTTCCACGCACAGAATCCCATATCCCCAAGAGACAAAAGTACACCATATACATTCAAGACCCTTCTGGACTCTACCAACTTATCTCCCACATGAATCTCCCGATGGGACTCCATCTTTTTACCCTTGGACTTAGCCATGTACGACTTGGGCCGCCGACCCCCGGGTCCAATAGACTACGCCTTGGGGCCGATCCCGGAAGAAAAAGCAGTCAAAACAAATATTTACTTCCACTCATTGCTCGGGAGTGACTACGAGAAATACGCGCACATGGATTCACCACATGGCGCCGAAGAATCCAGAACCCAGCCACCATGGGTCGCCATAGGGAATGATTACGCCGAGTTCGTCCGATGCGGAGCGATTCAGACCTCGATGGGCCGGGTAACTTCTGTGAATTCTAATGCAGATACCAAGAAAGCCTCAGTTCAGTACGAAGGGCCCGATGGGGTCACCAAGACGATAGAAAATGTGACGACGATAGTCATGGCCACTGGGTTCACGCCGTACAAGTCCTTGTCATTGCTACCAGACGAAGTATTGAGAACCCTTGAATACTCCAAAACGGATCCCTTCACACCGTTGATTCTCGACAAGGGAGGCAGCGTCCGCTCAGAAATCCCCGATCTGGGATTCGTCGGATTCTACCGTGGCCCGTACTGGGGTGTGATGGAAATGCAAGCGAGGTTCCTTGGGAAAATGTGGAGTGAGAACAACGGTTCGCTTTGTGAAACAGACGACCAGAAGCAAAGTCTTCGCAGTCTCAGATTAGCACATCCGGATCTAGCCCGTGGTCAGTTCCCCATGGGCGACTATGTCGGATTGATGGAGTCGTTCGGGAAGGATCTAGATATTAGCCGCTCGGCACTGGAATCAGGCAATGGTCGGTCTGGGCCCGCTGTTCCTGCGAGGTATACTTTTAGCAATACAGAAACGCCAAGTACAGAGAGTGAGGTGGAAAAGACAATGGGTTCTTTGCGCGACGCTCTTATTCCTGGGCATGAGACAGCACAGAAGGCCGCGGCGTCAGCTATCTTTCGGGCTCTGCATGGGACTTGGAAATCTTCACAGAAAGCAGGGACTACTAGATGTGACGCATCTGGGACTCTGGCCTTTTATCCGCGGTACCCAACTAGCACGGCATATGACAGGGAGTATGTCTGTGTGGAGACAGATGTGGGCTCGACCGGGCGGGAACAACCTTTGCAAAACAATGTGCGGTTCATCATGCGCTTGGCAGAGGTGAAATTCGAACTTGCCACTTCCCGAATCGAGATATGGTCATCAAACTTGGCAGATAGGCTGTCAACTGATCGACTTATCCAGGTTTGGGAGCTGACGCCTCTATCTCAGGAGAAGAAGGAGGAGGAGGGAGGGCCTATTCCTGGGGAATATGTGATATCCGCGAAGAGTGTTGATTCGGATTCTGGAGTCGAATATTTGTATACGTTCCATTTCAAGGGGGTTTCCATCATATCCTGGGAATGCGTTGAAACGGACACTCTGGAAGATAAGGGGGAGTTGGTTTCTTATTTCTACACAAGAGACTAAGGATAGAACTAAGATTAGAGATTTGAGTACTGAATACAAGAGCAGGCGAAGTGATGCTAAGCTTCCGGCCGATGGTCAGCACAATAGACATTAATGGGTTGAAAAAGACTGAATATTCTAACACAGAGTTAGAAAATTTTTATTGTAAAGGAAAAGTAAGAGAAAATTTCGAAATGCTGGGGGGTTGAAGAAAAGTTCTATATCAAAATATCCACTCGATGTTCTAGACCGATGTAACCGTCACTTTTCAAATTGATATTTTCTCCATTGCAATGCAAAAGTTGATCTGACAGGCACCTAACAGGCATCTAGGCTCAATTTTTTTTTGAGCCTCAAGGCACATCTTGGTCGATCTACAACAATATTTCCCCGATTTAGCAGGTCAGTAAGAAGAAACTCCCGTGGCCTGTACCCGGGTACCGCCATGGGGGAATTAGGCTATATACGAAGGAGTCTAGGCGGATCTGTTTGGACGAGGGGGCAAAGGAGTTATGACCCAGCCAATCACTTCTATGAAGGTAAAGGTTTGGTTAGTCTGGGGGTGGATATCTTCTTTTGAATCCCTGGGTCCTCGGTGGGGAGTTTTTCTACATTTCTATATTTCTACACCTTGACATCTTCTCTATTATAGCTTTCTGAAGATATAAAGATTCTAACTAACGCAGTTCAATCACATCTGCAATTCCAATCTGAAGAACCCAAGTTATGGTAGTGAAGGCTATACTTTTAAATATCCGCCACATCCACCTCTCGACTACATGAAACATACTCATATTCTTTGAATCCCTCTCAAAAACCACACATACCTCCAAACCCTACTCCTCAGCTTTACAATGTCCCCCAGCAAACCCCCAACCCCAACCCCAGAGTTCCTCGACCCAATCTCCTCATGGCGCGCCTGGCAAACCCTCACAATAATCTACACAATCCTCCTAAACCGCCAAATCCGCCGCCGCTGGGTCCTCGAACAAAAAAGCATGCAAAACAAACCACTCTGCGAACGCTTCCAACCCTTAATCTTCCTCGAATCAGTCCCAACCCTGCAAAAGCCCAACACGACCCCAACCCCCTCCAAAAACGCAACTAACAACCCCTTCAACACAACCACAATGAACAAACTACGCACAAAAGCCGCTCTCCTCCGTGCGCGCATCGAAAAGGGAAAGGAACTCGCCTCCGAGATCGAGCGTCGCATGGCCCAGGACCCGCCTATCAGATTTCCGACGCATTTCTGTCATACTTGTGTCCAGGACGGGGAGAGGATTGAGGTTTTGCTTACGAAGTGTGGACATCGGGTTTGTAGGATTTGTCTTGAGTATGGGGTTGATGAGGATGGGGTTTATGAGTGTAGTATTTGTTTCCTGCCTACGGGTTTTGTGGCGCGGAGTCCGTTGGCGTTGGTTAAGGGTTCAGGGAAGGTTTCTGCGGTTGTGAAAGAGGTGAAGGAGGATGGGGGAGATGGGGATGGAGAGTGGGAATTGAGTGAGGTATTGTTTGCTGAGTGTTAGGTTGGGTATGCGAGGGTTAGGGTGGGAGTTATATTGCATTATATATGGGCATATTGGTATTTCTAGCGACATCTACCATGCTATAATACTTGGATATAGAACTCATAATGAAACAAAAAGCATGAATTTATGTGCAAGGGACTATTTATAACCAAAATAGCCCTCCTGGGCTGGAAGAAGTTCATATCCTTCTCAAAGATCCAGTCCAGGTCTAAACCAAAAAAATGAAAAATTCTCCAGATGTAGAACACAATCTAGCGAACCTCTATTGACTAGAGTGGAGAAACACCAAAAGAAAATCCAAAATGCATCGTGAGCCATAGCCTGGCCATCCAGGCCATGGGAACGCCTTTTTCGCACCAAAATTGAGAAAGAGGAATCCAAAACGTGGGGACATGATGCCACCGGGGAATGAGGGGGGTCATTATACAGTAATTATGAGAGCCAATGCAAAATAAATAAGCATTTACCCCAAAGCGTGCATGAATCCTGGAGATGGAAGAGAAGAGAGTGTGAGGGACAATCTCCAAGACACGAATTGCAACAGCAATTCCGAGAGAAATCATATATCATCCCTGTCTTCAGCGGTCCTCTGCTCTCTCTCCGCCGTCAATGATCATATTGACTTCTTTGACGGGATGCAGCAACATAGGAGGAAGACACATGCGACCCTCGCCAGCCAGCTCTTGTTGCTCACCGCCGTCATTGTCGACGCGGAGACCAAGCCAGCGGCGCCAGAGGTTCGGCGAGAAGCCCGCCGAGTAGAACCAGGTCGTACCACGGAAGTTGTGCTCACGGTCGCCAAAGATGGACGTGCGAGCGCCACCGGAGGCTCCATTGCGACCGGCGTTGAACACTGATTCCAGATGACGGGTCGGCCAGCGGCGATCGAGGTAGACGGCGTGCGGGACGAAGACAGCCTTGAAGCCGTGGTGCAGCGCGGTGGTTGCGGGCCACATCTCCGAGAACATGCTGTGGCGCTTGAGGCTGCACTCGCGGTGCATAGTGATGAGCAGTTTGCGGGAGATTCGCGACGCGGTGATGATTGCGGTGCGACGTGGTGGCATGCCATTTTCCTTGTTGTAGCCTGTCACGTCGTCGCGCAGAAGCCAGGTCGTGCCCTCGGGGTCGTAGAGCGGATTGAAAACGATTAGGTCGGCGTCCTCACCCACGCCCCACTGATACTGGTCCTTATCCATGCTTGTGGGTGGGATGCCCTCACCCTCGACCTCGAATATGTCCCGTTCGTCGGGGCGCTCGGGACCCCAGATGGACTTGTCACCCTGTTGGTGCATTGTGCTTCGCGTGTTGCCTTCGTTGCCTGGCGGACCCTTGACGGCGCTCCACATGTTGTTGGCAGAGTTGGTACCGCTCTCGGTCTGCACGCGGACCATCTGCCGGAAGTCCTCCCATGAGCCGTGAACGGACGGAACATAGAAGCGCGCATTGCGCTCCCAGAGACCCTTGCGTGGCTGGTTTTTCGCCCACTCGCCGACCTTATCAAAGAGGTGGTACCAGTGGCCCGTGTAACGCGCATCCATCTCCCAGTTCCAGAAGTAATCGTACTCGGGGTGTTGGAAAGCGAAGTACTGCATGGGCATGTACGTGCTGCGGTAGACGCCGTGGATTGGTAACCCGCGAGTCAAGGTCTCCTCCAAACCGGGATACATCAGGGCCATCTGTGGCTCGGACCAGAGAGTTCCCATACCACGGAACTCCTCTGGCAGCGCATCATCAAGCACGCGCTGGTATGTCTCGTCATCAGACCAGATCTGAAGGTTGGTATCCTTAACATGAACCAAGAAGTGAATAGTATACTCGCCACCGGACATCAGCGAGAGCTCGGAGATGACAGAGCGCATATACATAATGTCCTCCGGGGTATAGTGGAAGTCGTGCCATGTGCGGATAACCACTGCAGTACGTGGCAGACGCTCAGGTCCAACCTTGGGCGGTTCCTGGCGGCTATCTTCCGCAGGCGGCAGAGTGTTCACTTTGGGAATACCTACAGGCATAGAAACAAAGTGGTTGAGACGCGGCTCCGGCAGCTCGTTAAAGCGATGGCGATTGGCCGCGTGGCAGCGATGTTGCGCAGCAGCCCAATCCACCTTTCGGAAGTCCACTGGCGGGATATCTTCCCACACACGGTCGGCGCCCTCACGATGGCCATCTAAGCCCGCGCCAACGCCACCTTTCTTGACCCCGTATCCCAACCCGTATGGTCCCAATCGGCCAAATCGATCAAAGCACATGTCGTCCCGAATACCCAACATCGTATTCGAGCCTAGCGCTGGGTCCGGGAAGCCCTTTGGAACTCCGGGGTAGCTCTGGATAGGTGGAACCCGTAGCGAGTTTTCTGCATTGAGGAAGCACTCACGCTTCTCGCCGTGTTTCTCTACATATTCCGGTGACTCGTAGTCAGGATAAGGATTGAACACATTACTCAACATATTCGGGGTTAAATCCCTCTTGGCGACCTTGTTGGCGTCCTGCTCTGGCTTTGGCTCATCGTGCTCGTCGCTTTGGTCCGTCCGCAGACCCAGGTCGTCGGAGTCATCGCCCGGGTACTCGGGGACATTTTCAGAGCGCGGGACCAAGGCAGATACACCGCCCTCATAGCGGTTGAGGAACGGGAAGCTCTCCCATAGTGGCGGCTTCGGGGTGCCGACCTTGGGCAGGTCGACGGCGACTTGTTTCACGGAGGTGGAGATGGTAAAGCGGAAGAGGGTGAGGACGAAGAGGACGAGGGCAGCGAAAAGAGCGAAGCAGAGCCAGCGCATGATCCGCTGGGGCACGCGAAACCCGACGTTTGCTTGAGGGCGGCGAAGACTGCCGCCAGCGACGACGGGCGGCGGGTAGGAGCCCGCGACATTGTTATCGTCCAGCGACTCGTCGTCGGAATCGGGGTGATCGCTCAAGTGATGGTGATATGCATGGCGCCCGGAGGTGGGTTGTTTTTCGATGTCTGTTTCTCGTGTATTATAGGGTGATGGGGACTTGTAGGCTGCGGAGTGCCTCCTCGCCTGGACGGTCATGATGCCAGACAAGATGTCAACATTGAATGAGTGGGGTAATTCCAAGGTTGTCCAAAATCACTCAATCAGTGGCCCATCTATTTAACAAGTGTAACAATAGAATAATCGATCCAGTAATTCCCAAATCAGGGGTGGTTGTTGGAGGGAGAGAGAGGCACGCGATGAGCTGTGTTGTTGATCGTCGGCCTGGCAATGGGGCGGCTCGGGCTTGTGTCACGGTAAAGTGATGAAACAGGTCAAAAGAGGTTGGAAAAAAGGTGAAAACAATGAAAAAGAGGATAAAATAATTGAAACTGCGTCAAACCAGACAGTATACCCGACCAAAACAAGAGATAAACAGCCCCAAAGGGCCCAAGCCGGCATTTTCAGCAGATAAAGTGCCAAGACCGTTGGCGCTCCAAGAAATGAGGGATTACGCAGTTGTCTCCTCAAAAGGACTGGTCCTAGCCCTAGCGGGTCACTTCTTTTTTTAATCTATTTTGGTTTGATTTTTATGGGTTCATGGGTTTTATGGGCCTTCTAGACGGATCTACTGAATCTTGTATTTATACTGAATTTGAACACATTGACGCCAAAGGTTATACACATTTTTAAGTATTTACCCCGTAGCTACAACACCATTAGGGGATGAGTACGGAGTATATCTAAAAAGAACTACAAAAAGATTACTAAAAAAAAAAGAGAGCTAGGGTCTTTGGTACGTAACATCCTGCAAAATATCCATAAAAATACTCGACTCTCCATGGTCAACCCTATGAGTCCCTAAACTTCATTGACCACAGCACTAACCAACACAGTCATACTCTTCTTCACATGAGCCAAGACATAACTAGCCAGTTCTTTATACAACTTAGGCTTTTCCTCTTCTTCGGCATCTTCATACAAATCTTCAAGAGCTCCTCCGTTAACAGCAACATCCCCATAGATTGACCGGTCATCTTCGTCTACCCCGATACAAGCAATGAAAGCCCCAAATTTCAGTAGGATCGAGTTGAGAATCAAACGGCACATTCGGCCATTGCCGTCAATGAATGGATGGATATTCACGAAAATGTGTGCATACTTCGAAGCCAAGGCGATAGGGTCGATCGTCCCATTTCTTGTAACTTCTTTCAAATCGCGCTTAAGCTCGCAAAACATGGACTGCATTTTGGATGGAACCAGTGAGGGATGAGGGAACGCATGTAGGCCCACACTAACTTCATGTGATCGATAAACACCACTATACTCCATCCAGGGGGTAGTCTCGGCGTCCACTTTATAGGTCAGAATCCGGTGGGCTTCGAGGATGATTTGTTCGCTAAGATTCTGGCCACGGATGCACAACTGGTCCATCGTAAATTTTGCAGCTTTTGCATGTTGCACAACCTCTCGGCGACTGCGTAGGACATCCGAAATGTCTGCAGGAAGGTGTTGGCTGATCAGACTCTTCTTAAGAGGCAAGTACTCTTGGTCTTGCTCTTCGATCTCTTCGGGGATTTCTTCGCCACGGAAGACCGCAACACAGAGCTCGAGAGTGATATCTGAGCTACTACCAGCCTTCTCAATTTTGTTTGAGCCATGCACCATCAACGCAAGGGAGTGCAGGATATGGTTCTCAAATCCCGCTTCTTGGCGAGGGGTGAGTTCGGTTTTAAATAAATCGGATAGCTGGTTTGCGAGGGTGGCAATCTCGTGGAAGACGGTCTCGGGCTCAAAATCTTCGTGGGTTATCTTGGACTCATAAGAGTCCTCCATGGCCACGGTGAAATAGGTCTCGACTCCACGCAGAGCATGAGCAAACATGGTTGTTTGACCGAGGGAAGTGTGGATTCCATGTGTGAATAGATTTGTTGAGGCTTGAAGAAGCTGGGTGGTGATTATGATGAGCAGAAGATGTATAGATGTAGACTTGAACCTAAAAGTATCTAACTATGCCTGTTTAGATAATGTCCTTGGTATAAGAGAAAGAACCCCTGAGGGGGACGCGAAGGGAAAGAACCACCTAGGCACAGATACTATTACTAACTAATCAAAGACGTCCTCCAGGGCTCTGTATAGTTTGTGGCTTTCATCGCCTTCACATGCATCTTAAGAGACATCTGAAAGAAACATTCAGAAATAAATCAGAGCGTTTTTACATATAACGTTCCTAATATTGATCGGCCGAGATTAGCAAAGTCTTGGGTCCTCAGGTTCCAAATACATAGTAGGTAGGTACAGTCAAAATAAGGTTGTAAGCCTCCGCAACCGTCCAAGGTCAGTGCATTTTCCACCGAAGTTTCCTGTTTTTATAGGCCCCGGGGGTGCTTAGTAGACATGTCAGCAGTCAGTGTTTGCGTGGGAGCCCAATTTTGTGCGTTGCTGCCCTTGGGAATTTGCAATATAATAATATGCTAATATTGACACTAGGCACCAGAGTCACAAAGTGTACAGAAGACCTACACAACAAGGCATTTATTTTAACAATGGATAACGGTTGCGAAGTTTTCGCAAAGCTCCCAAATCCCAATACCAGGCCTGCTCGTCTCACAATTGCTTCCGAGATCGCCACACGCAAGTTGGTAGGATTTCTGATTCCTCTTTGTTACATACAATCTAATTCAACTCTACAGCTTTCTGACGTGCTGAACGTCCCTGTTCCTCGAGTTCTAGCATGGTCCTTTGACTCGGCAAGTAGTCCTATCCGGGCTGAGTATATCCTTGAAGAAAAAGCGCCCGGTGTTCGCTTCGGCTCTGTTTGGAATCAATGGCCTCGAAAGTCAAAGCTCCAATTGATCACTCAAGTGGTTGATATTCAAAATACTTCAACGGGAGTGACATTCGATATGCACGGCTGTATTTACTTGAAGGATGATCTTCGCGCCCTAGGCGAGGAACCCGAAGAAGCCAACATTCAGTCTGCTCCGGCCAGCATCCCTGATATATTTGCCACAGGCCCTCTAAATACCGGCGAATTGTAGAACGAGGTAAGGAGTGACATGAATTTGGATCGTGGTCCCTGTAAGTCAAAATAGTCGACAGGCTAGTGCAAAGCCCCTAATCGTCTTTCTAAATATAGGGAGGGATCCCAGTGGCTACACTCGCGCATTGGGGCGTAACGAGATTGCGTATATGCAATTGCCCGAATGAACTATTATCGGTCACTCAATACCCAGGAACTTCCCGAGGACGGTCTTGGTCTTTTGGTCCAATATATGAAGGTTGCCCCGTATCTTATTCCTCAATCTACCAACGAAGCAGTATCCAATGAAACAGCATCCAACAACGTTCTAATACACCCCGATCTTCATCTGGATAACATCTTCGCAAATCACTCATGCCGCTCTTTGCTCACTGGGAGCATCTTGTCCCAGGTGCACCATGTCCGATCAATTTCACCAATGAGGATGTTGATCTTCATTCCAAGGAGGAGGAGAATATAACTGGTGTTGGGAAATTGCTGGCATTGTTCTGGGATGAGTCCATGCTCCCAGTGGATGGCATGGTCGAGCCCAAAGACTATGACATGGCGCAAAAGAATAGCCGGAAATTCAAAAGCATCTTCATCGGGTTGGCCAAAGATGACGAAGGAATTATTCACGGAACTCTGGCCGTATCAGGAACCCGCTGATACCGAGGGTTTGTGATCAATCAACACGGCAACGCATCTTCATCTGTCAGAGTTATGTATGTTTATGCAGGTTCATTCGGGCAGTCACATGCGTTTTGTCCATTAGATCCAGGGCACTCCATGTTAGTCCGCTAGCGCTAATCATGTGAATAATACTACTGCAATGCATATTGTACATGTAACACATAATCCCGAAGTTCTTGGCTAGACATTGCGGAAAGATAGAAGCTTTCTTGCTGTACTTTAAGCATAAGAACTAAAATATAAACAACCTTAGAATGGCTGCCAAAGCCTCAAGTGTATAGTCCCTCACGTGATGGTACCTGAGCCCGGACTGAAATTTACTGAGCCCGACTCAGCCCTACAGGCATCCTAAAGCGGCCAAAACAGAAAAGCAGATGGAAAGCAAATGGAAATTTGGAAGTTTCTGCTCATTTGTCCCTTTCTCGTTCTCTCGTTCTCTCCTTGCCCAATCTGAGATTCTGAGATTTTACAATTTTGGGTACTTATACAGATCTCTGGGGGGTTCCAAGGCAGAGAAGTAGTTTTGGAGTGGCGACGCCGGAGAGAAGAAAAAACAAATGAGGCTAATAGCATAGCGTAGAGGAAAAAGAGCCGTTTGAAAAGAGAACATCAAAAGAAGTAGCGAACCAGTTGCAGAACCCCTTTCCTTGCAGAGATCAATGTCATGTGTGGCCAAAGAACTCCCCGCCATCGTCATCATCAATCCATCATTTGCAGATTTCCGGTATTCTCCATCCAGCTACACGTCCGATTCGCATTCGCATTATAGACCTTAATCGCGGTTGGTTTTCCGGAGCGCATCGGCGAGCCACTCCAGACCCTCGTACAGACCATCACCAGTGGTGGCGCAGGTAGATTGGATGAACTAGACCGAATCGTTAGTGAATCTGTAAACAGCACATGCATCAAGGATGTCACTTACCCAAGCACGACGGGTAAGGCTCTGAAGACCAAGCTGCTGCGTGATCTCGGCGGGGCTCATGGCGTTCTAGACAAGCGGGGGAGGTCAGCATAACATTTCATCTACCAAAGATTCCCCGACAATCCAAATCCTTACCGGCAAATCCTGCTTGTTGGCGAACACCAGGAGGAGAGCATCGCGGAGCTCATCCTCGTTCAACATGCGCTGCAACTCCTCACGGGCCTCGACGATACGATCGCGATCGTTGCTGTCAACCACGAAGATGATACCCTGAGTGTTCTGGAAGTAGTGGCGCCACAGAGGACGAATCTTATCCTGACCACCGACATCCCACACGGTGAACTGAATGTTCTTGTATTCGACCGTCTCGACGTTGAATCCTGCATTAGGCGTCAGTTTCCGGGAGGGGGGCGTTCGACATTTCTCCCCACACGGCCTTATGAAATGGCGAAGAGCGCATCACGGGGTCGGCGGTAAATGGGTCGGGGAGCGGACTAACCAATCGTGGGAATGGTGGTGACGATTTCACCGAGCTTGAGCTTGTACAGGATGGTGGTCTTACCGGCGGCGTCAAGACCGACCATCAGGATGCGCATCTCCTTGCGACCCCATAGCCGGTCAAACAGCCGCGAGAAAGTAATACCCATATTGTCGGTAGCGAGAAATCCCTCGGATCCTGAGGAGTGGATAGGTCAGAGAGATATCGAGTTGATGTGGTTGAAAGGGGAGAAGCGGAGGGGTTAGAAAACGTGTTGTGGACTTGTCGGTCAGAGATCCAGGGGGGGCAAGTCTGGGCACGAGCCAGTCAAAACCGGATCAACCACTTACCGGCAGAAAAAGGTATAAGAGTTGATTTGGAAGTAAAGAACACAAGTTCAGGGGAATTATCGAAAAGAGAAGTCAGAAGGGGAAATTTGGGGTTTCGTTTTTTGTTTTGAATACGCAGAAATACGATGGCGGTGGGCTTAGTCTTCGTCACCTGTTTTCTTAAAGAGCACGCAACACTGGGCACGTTATCCAAAAATGAGGCTGAGGTATAAAAAGAAAACTTATGATTCTACAGGTTCTTTCCAGTATATATGTATGGTTACATATTTATAATAGTTCTGCCTATATAGATGGAAACGTATGTATATTTTGCTGGGAAGAGGACACCGTGTTGGCCCCGTAAGTGAAATACCACAAGGGAGTCCCCCCGGGCTAAGACCCTCAAAAAACGGTCCCACTGTGTCTGATAGGCCGACTGATAGGCCCGAACTTCCACACTTATCTCGTGCCTGCGTAATTTCTCTGGGTCCTCTCTCTTTGGTTCTTCCGTGGTCTCTCCTATTGTTCTGATCGTCGTCGTGACATTTTCTGGCGAGACGTTCGGAAGAACGTTCGTACCATAGACCGGTAAATCGTCTTACCTTCTACGGTATCGCTGGCATAACCGAAAACGGTCAAGAGCAAGATGGATGTAACGAAGATCACCGCAAAACTGACCCAATACTGTGTCTTAGTGTACCCGTTCTTCACACCAATAAGTTCTGTCGAGAAGTATGCACTCATCAAGCTAACTGGCAGGAACAAAATGGTCGCCTTGGCCAGCAGAATAGTGATCCGAGTGAGCTTCTCAACAGCCTGCGAGTCCTTAAGCGCAATCAAATTGAAATTCTAGGCCATGTCAGCATTGTTCTCGGAATAAAGATCGGCAAAATACCCACCAGGAATGTCAAGGATTCTTTCTCATTGAGGCAGTTCTCAATTTCGCTCAAACAGTACAGATTGATGCGATCAACCAACCGTTCGAAGCGAGCCACAGCCGTCGAGCTCAGTTGCACCCCAACCGATTTCTCAGTTGTGTTCTGAAAACCGGAATTGCTCACGATACTCGACTGGCGCATATCCACAAACTCCATCTCGCCAAAGGTGGCTCCATACGAAAGCGCAGCTGGTTGCGCCGAACGCGCTTCGTCGCGAAGCATGCGTTGTCGTTGCAAGAGTCGCCGCATGATAAGCTCATAGCTCTGATACAATCGTTTGAGAACCGCGAGTCGTCGGCCCAGCCAGTGCAATTCGTTCACCAAATCCACTACCGGACGATCGAGCATTTGGCCTCTCTGCGCGGAGTTAGCCATAATCAGAACACATCAACAAAACGTGATACAAGGACGATACTAACCAATTCCTCCAACGCAACACCATATTTGTGTTCTCGCTTTGCGATAAGTCCATAACTTGACACCCAGTCATCGAAGAGATAATAGAAGAGCAAACTCGGCCCATCCTCTTGCTTGATATTGGCTTGATCCGGTCCGAGGTCACTAAAATGTCGCACCCGGATGGTGATTAGCGACTCGCTCTCGGACATGGCAAAGTGCTGTCTCGAAACGCCAGCGAAGATAAAACGAATGTTTCTGCGCACAATGTCGAGGACTGGCTTGGCCTCGTCTATCGGCACTCCCTGCTGTCTTGCGAACGGGTTCTCTTGGATTGATATTATTGTGCCTGCAAACAAGTCAGTGCTGCACTCGAGGCTCTCGAAATGTCGTATCGCCGTTCGGCTCATACCATCGTCACACTGGATCAGCCAAGTCCAAAGTCGTTTTCCATCTGGGAGATCTTTGCCATTCGGTTGTGATAGTGCGGGGATCACAAACAACGTATTATAACCGATACATGTGTCTGATGGATTGTTTAATGTTCATCCGACTCAGGTTTGGTATGATATACTTACATCGAGGACCATGATCTACAGAAGAGAAATGCCAAATTTGATCTGTGACTTGGGCAAAGGTGAGGCTCTTGAATGACGCCGACTCGCGCGATTTATCTGGATCGGCGAGATGCTTGAGTGCATTCTCCGCATCATCCACTTCGTGCTTGAACGACGGCGCAACACTGGGTGATTGCGAATTCCTTTTGGCTGGTAATGGTGTAGGTGTAGTTTTGGGTGCAGGATGCACTGGCTCTGTGCACATCATCCCCTGCAGTCGTTCTGACACTCCATATTGTTTGGTAATCGCCTAAGAAATCCATGATCAGTCATTACTGCACATGGGAATGAAATTGAACATCCTACCCTTATGCTTTCCTTCTGCTCCTCTGGTGCCCATATATTACTATGATCACGATTAGTACACACTCAACTACATTTGAGTACTTAGCTCTTACATCCACCGTGTACCGAAACATTTGTCTCTCTGTATCATGTCAGGACTTGACTTTCGACTAGTCTCTACAATCAACCAAGTTGAACGTCGTGGACTTACCGGTTTACTCAGTAACAGTTTCAGTTCATTGGTGCCTAGATCAGATGCACACCAAGCCTCTTCGTTCCCAAAATCGAGCACAAAATTCTGAGTGAGAGGATCCTCTAGGCAGCGCATAGCAGTGTAAAACTGCGTCTTATCGTCGATGTTCTTGAACTTTTCCACAAGCGATCCCTCATCGTCAAGACTTGAATAGTAATCCTGAGGCGCAGTTGAGTCGCGCGAATCTGTTGTATGAGACATGATGGGGCAAAACAAACTGCCCAGGTGGTTTTCCAGGGGCTAAATTTGGAGGAAAAGTCTTGTAAATAAGCCACAAAATCAATAGCCAATATTCGAAAGATTTACTGTTAAATCAGGAGGGGGGACAGTCTCGAGGTCATTCATATAAACAACCTTACGAAATGCAAGTCCAGAGTATATCATAAAAAGAATAAGCAGAAAGTCAAGTTTAAATATTCTAATCTCACCGGGGTACAGCCTCAATTAAATCAAAATGCAAGGCAATAGCCCTCAACGCCAAAGGGGGGTTGGGTGACCAGTCATCTGAGGCTGACACTGCCGCCGGTCACGTTTAAGCGCTGCGATCATCTGCAGCCCCCGCAGACCATGTCAAGTTCGTTTCACCCGTCGATATTTATCCTAAAATAGATAAAGTAGCTCCCTATTTGCTCATTTTTTGAGTTGCCGTGTTATGTACCCGTCTACAGAGTACTTAGCGAAAGCTTGTGTGTTTATCAGTCATTCGGACTATTCAATATATATTGTGCCGAGGTCACAGGGTACTAATGACGAGCAGCCTTGAAGATCTTTCTAGGTGGGTATAGTATATATGTATTCTGTATTCAATAATTAATACAAGGTAGATCAGTTTGTGAAAATGTTTTTATCCACTCAGCTGGGCTACTATGTTCCTATTTAATACAGACTTGTGCTTGCGGCTGATCTAGATCTTCGGGGATATCTGCAAAACTGTAACTAGGTATCTAAGTGCACATGAGATCAACCCTAACCACCATCGTCACACAATAGTATTATTAAATGACAAAGTCCCTCTCATGAATAATAATTATATAGGATAAATGATAAAGTAATGATCGCTACGGTATAAGCGGGTCGGCCATGTGGCGGACCCGATGCTTCTATACTGTACATCCACAGTACAACAATGAATGAACGTACGTAGATGAATTGTACGTAGCTTTGAACTTTGAACTCTGAATTATGAATTCCTTACGGTCTATGTTCTCATCTAGGGATGGGAACCATTCCTGCTGATAGTAATGACAAGGATTCCAAATGTAGTAACGGCTAAGGCGTAATAGGCAAGGCCCGGCGGTTACTTGGAGCAGCAGCAACGTTCACATGGTCAAGCAATGATGAGAAATACCGGGGCTACCAATATTGTTATTCAAGCCTAGCTGACGGTTGCTAATACGATTATTTGTATGAGCGAGTGGAATTGAAGTGAGAATGAAGTATGTATGACCCGTCAACGGGATGATAGTGCGAAAGTTGCTCTATGGGATATGTCTCGAAAAATTTAATGAGGTCTACCTAAGAATAATCCTATAACACCTCCTATAACCCCGACAAACGTTACCTCAGTCATTCAGCGTATCTAGGTACGTCCCGTTGCTGAGATTGGATTGGAGAGGAGCGTTTCCTGTCGATGCCTTAGGCCACAAAGTGAGTCAGCAAGCAAAAAAATCCCGTCTAGGGCACCGCTAATCCTAATATAGACTAGCGCATGTCCACACCCACAAGCGGAGAAATTCACGGCCCTCGACAATTTCTTTTCTCAAGCATTCAGCGCAGAGCCATACCATAAGAATTTCAACTTCTTTTGGAAGACTGTAGCAATCATGTCCAAGATCACAGTCGGTACGTTTCACCTCATGTTCTTACCTACATGATCCAGCCACTAACTGTTCTTGTTTCATTGCAGCCGGAGTGCGCCAGAATGTCGAGAACCTTCTCAACTACTCTCTCAATGAGAAGAAGCGTAACTTCAACGAGACCGTTGAGCTTCAGATCGGCCTGAAGAACTACGATCCCCAGCGTGATAAGCGTTTCTCCGGCACCATCAAGCTGCCCACCGTCCCCCGCCCCAACATGGCCATCTGGTGCGTTTTCCATCGACAACCCCTCCCGCGGCGCAAAATTTTACATCCGTTTACGATGCGCAACGGCGAAGGAAATCTACACCTTGAATGAACACAGAAGCTAACAGACGAAATTTATAGTATTCTTGGTGACCAGCACGATCTTGACCGTGCTAAGCACCACAACATCGATGCCATGTCCGTTGACGATCTCAAGAAGCTCAACAAGAACAAGAAGCTCATCAAGAAGCTTGCTCGCAAGTACGATGCCTTCCTTGCTTCCGAGGGTCTGATCAAGCAGATTCCCCGTCTCCTCGGTCCCGGTCTCTCCAAGGCCGGAAAGTTCCCTACCCCCGTTTCCCACGCTGAGGACATGGCCGCCAAGGTCACCGACGTCAAGTCCACCATCAAGTTCCAGCTCAAGAAGGTTCTGTGCCTCGGTGTTGCCATCGGTAACGTCGAGATGGAGAAGGAGGCTCTTGTTGCCAACCTGATGCTCGCCATCAACTACCTCGTCTCCCTCCTCAAGAAGGGCTGGCAGAACGTTGGCAGTCTTGTCATCAAGGCTTCCATGTCTCCCCCCCACCGTGTCTACTAGATTATCTGTCGCTTAACTGCGCCGGTGTTTTCTAGTTTGGGCCTGAGAACTGGGTTTATGTCATCGTCTCACGACTGAAAAAAATATGAAGCTCATGATCGGTCTCAATTTTCTATCTCCATGTCGTAATTTTACTTCTGGTACAATGTAGCTGTAAATAAATCTTAGAATTGTATTGTACATCGCTCATTATGTGAAATAAGTGACTCTTATGATACACATACGGGGAATCAAGTTACTCCATGCCTTCCATCAATTCGGTCTTATCCAAAATCATGCCCCGCATGCCAATGAACTCACGAAGGCTTTCCCACTCTTCACCAACTTCCTCGCCTCTCATATAAGGGTCGGTGAAACCCCACGCGACAGCAACTCGATCCATGGCGGCGCGCTCTTCCTCGCGCAACCATCTTTGCCGCAGAGGGATACCAGGAATCCAGACCACACGCTCCATCTGATCGTTAGCCGTGGTAATGGCCAAGATGCCCATGGAGGATGTACCGCCAACGTAAGCCAGTGTAGCGGCGAACGCAATACCGGTCGCTACGTTTGGATCCATTGTGTTCTGAAACGTTGCGGCCCATGACGCGAGAGCATAGCATGCGGCCGGGGCAGCTGCAAGGCCAGCTATGGGGACACCGGCTTTCTTGAAGATCTTCGCGCGGTGGAAGGCGGGGGCGCAGAAAGTATTATCAATGATGGCTAGCACGAGCGAGAGGTTTTTCTGTGCAATGGCGACCCCAAGAGCCATGTTAGCCAACTCCGCCGGAACGGCGCTGTTGATACTCTTGGGATTAGCCTTCAGCAACTTCACTGGAGAGCTGCCCTCTTCTGGGACAGGCTTGTAGGCGTAAAGGTGGAAGATCTCAGGGAAGTGCTCGGCCCGTCGTAGCAGAGTCAGGGTCTCAGTGCAGGAGGCTAGAGCCTCGGGCGAAATGAAGACTTTCTCGTCCTTCAAAATTTCAATGGCAATTTGTGAGACTGAGTCTGCCAGTCGTGGGTCCGGGTGTTGTGAGGACTTCGATTTGCCTTTGTTCTTTGCGGCGGTTTGCTTCTCCTCAAGGTCCAGCAAAGAAGAGATCGCACTGCCCTCCCCCTTTGAGGAACCTTCGCTTTGATCCCGTTCTTGCGAGACAAGGGACTCGGCGACGCGCTGGCATCTTTGTAGCAATTCTACTACCACCTCGTTGGAGGCCACAGCGTTCGATTGGTGCAAGGCAGATGCATCTTGCGCAATTTCTTTGATTGCAGCCTCTGGGCTTGTCTTAGTGGCTGAAGCGGAAGCGTATCGGCGAGAAATAAGCAGAGGAGAGCCCAATGCCAATTTATCGGTTCGTTTCGAGGGCTGTAAGCGGAGATTGGAGGCCGCAGTTCGACTTGCGCGAGCGGGTAGACGCGCGATAGGGAGACCACGACGGGGCGTTGAAGTCGAGAATTGACATAATTGACAGATTGGGCCCTGTGGCCGGGAGCCTTTATTGGCTGACAAAACAACTCTTTTCATGGCTGTGGTGATGAGTAACGTTGTGAGGCAGCTGTATTTTTCCGATGGGAGAGTCTAGGCGGAGACTTCGCCCCGGCGCTGTCCACTTCCCCGTACTCGTACCCTGACGTCTTCTTACTTCTCTGCCTAACAACTTCATGTTCCTTTCATTCAAGGAACACATTTTCCCGACCTGACTATTTACTAAATTATATGCAACCGACTACCTGATAATCTCATCATCTGATCCACAACCATGCCACCACCACCTCCTCCCCCGCCGCCGCCGCCGCCGCCGGGAGGTTTGGGTGGCCCTCCCCCGCCGCCCCCTCCAGGAAGTCTCCCAGGTAGACCTCCTAAAGGACAGGCTAAAGACCGGGTATGTAGATTGGGTGCTTAAGTTCCATTGCTGCAAGCAGCTTGTCGCTCAAGGAATTTAGTAGCTAACCTATAGATAGGGCGCACTTCTTTCTGATATCCATAAGGGCACCAAGCTGAAGAAAGCCGTTACCAATGATCGATCAGCACCTGTAATCGGAAGCTCAGGAGGCGTCTCAGCAGCGCCTCCTGTCGCGAGTGCGCCGCCTGTTCCTGGCGCGAGGCCGCCTCCAAGCGGGCTTGCTCCGCCTGTACCATCCGGTCCAGCCGCGAATCGATTACGAAGTAACAGCGAAGGAGTTTCTGGGACAGATGGTGCAGCCAGTGCAATGCCACCTCAATTAGGGGGGGCTATTTGCTGGTGGGATGCCCAAGTTACGCAGTCGTGGAGGTGTCGATACAGGTGCCAATCGAGACTCGCCATATATCTCTGATTCCGAAGATGCACGTCGACCACCTGCTGCGCCAGCTCCGAAGCCTCCAGCAGCTCCCAAGCCTCCTGGAGCCAGGCCGCCTCCCCGTCCCTCATCAACCGATTCACCGCCTGCGCCGCCGGTCAATCATTTGGTTGCCGGCTTGAAGAAGCCTCCCCCGAGACCTGCTTCACGACCCTCTACAGTTCCACCGCCAGCTACAAAGGCCCCCGAAGCGCCGCCTCCACGAGCGCCTCCTCCACCTCCAGCACCAGGGAAGTTACCACCACCGCCTGCATCGAGAAAACCGTCCGGACCCCCGCCACCTCCCCCATCAGCCCCCGCGACTCGGGCACCTCCTCCCCCCGCCGGCTGCTTCTAGATCGACACCACCCCCTCCCCCATCAGTAGCCCCGCCATCAATTGCTGCGCAGGCTGCCCGTTCCGCCTTGGGACATTCTTCACCTTCGGCACCTCCCCCGCCACCCCCATCAGCTGCCCCAGGTGCACCACCACCACCTCCTCCCACTTCACTTCCTGCAGCTCCGCCAAGCGAGCCGCCATTCCGACCTTCCCCTGTTTCTTCTCGTCCTGTCTCCCATGAACCATTTACAGCGCTAGACCCTAGCGCTTATACACTTTCCAACGGTGGACCGCCTGCACCAAGCTCACGAACCCCTACAACACAAGGACATGGCCCGGTCCGAATAGAAGACCCGCGATTCAAATTCCAAAGCGATGGGCTGCTCCCTAAACCACGGCAATTTATCGGTGGGGACCGCCGATACCGCGCTGGAAGGGGCAGCAGTGTTCCTTTGGATTTGACTGCTTTGCGAGGCTGATTGGAGTGCATGGGAAATTGCAGGCAATATCGTGCACACATAGTGAATTGCTATACATAAATTCTTTTACACTAGAGTTCTCTATGTAGCTTATTGTCAGTGTAGCGAAGTTTGTACAACAAAACCCCACCTGGGCATCTTTTTGCAGCTTATAAATCTCGTTCATCTCCTTCCATAAAACAGTATAAAATGATGTGGTATCCACCTCTCCCATAAGCTTCGACACGTGACCAAATCGGGGATGTCAATCGCTCATCGTGGAAAACAGCCATGAAGCACCAAGACAAGCGCTGCCACCAATCCCTTTGCGACCAGTCGAGATCACCGACTAGTGTTTATTGTTACCAACCAGGAAGATTCTCGCAATCTTCACTTGAGACCCGGCAAACAGCATAGACCCGCTCCGCGCCATTGCCATCACCTCACATTCAATTGGCCTCGAACTTTAAACGGAGCTCCTACGCCTTTAATTTTCCCTCGGCGAGCTTTACGATTCTCAACAAGTCAACATTGCCGTGCCACGAACAACTGCGACCAACCCAGCTCTTTACCTCGGCGAGCACTTTTTGCGCGAAGTGATAGACTCCAAACAGATCGAGGATCCACGAACTCTCCCCTGCCCACGCAAAGCAAGAGAGCTATCCCAAGACTAGTGTTATAGCAACACCACCGAGCTCGAGACGTAGCTTGATCCCGACTCCGCGGTGCATCTACCTGTACCCGATCAACCGCAAATTTGAGATACCCTTGCACCTTGCCTTTTTGAACCGCCGCTCTCCCATCCAGCATGTCTCTCCACTTCTACGTCAATAGTAAGTTTTGCAGTTAGCTGAAATGCTTACACATGCCATCTCCTACATCTGTATACCAAGTGCTGACCAATCTCGACTGAGTAGAAAAAGTCCTCATCCTCACAGTTGACGGCCGCACACTCATCGGCGATCTTCTGTCAACCGATCAAACAACAAATCTTGTCCTCGCCAACACCGTTGAACGCATCATCCGCACCCCAGACGACGACGAGCCCTCTGCCGAAATTGAGCATGGGCTGTACCTGATCCGCGGTGACAATGTCGTGGTGTGCGGTGAAATAGACGAAAAAATGGACGGAGATATCGACTGGTCCAAGGTTAAAGGCGAGGTAATCCGAGACACGAAGAATGCATGAGCGGGGTTTTCACGGTGCTATTTTCCATTGTCATTTTTCGGGCGTTTTGGGGAAACCATTTGCATGCGATACAATGATTCAGCAAGCCGATGAATCCTGGGGTTTGCCAGTGTTGGGTGTGGCCCTTTACTATTGAATCCGCCATTGTGGGCTTTGGCCCTTGGCCCTACAACGATGCGTAGATACGCTGGGTGTTGAATGTCGATGCTCCATGTTTTGATTATTTTCCGTTGCGAACCTACAGCGATCTCTCACGGGTGATGATGTGCTCTCTTGCCATCTCTGATGTGCAATGATGCAATGGCCAAAGCATATAGGAGGGGCTGCACATTGGGATTTGCTATCAACTCGGCATTCTTGCCCCTCGAATGACTTTGCGGGGGCTAGAGCACAGACGGCGCTGGGCACACAGATGAATTTACAACAGGGGCTGGATTCTACCGCTACTTGCCTCTCCCAAGTATGAGATGGTGGGGGCTCCTATGTTCCAGGGGAATGTGAATTTACATCTACAGTATGATTCGATATAGGGGCGTGAATTACCATTCTAATTTTCTACATTCTCTCTTTTTTAGAAAAGGAGTAATTTCCTACCGTTTGCAGCCACATTCCTTCTTGACTCCACGCGGGAAGATGCCAAGCCTGCCTCGTACAACGGAGTATCAGAGTACCCGAGTACCTTTGTAGAAAGAAAGAAAGATAATCCCAAGACAAAGAGAACCAGATATAGAGAACTAGGCAGTCATGTTACAGACATCGTCAATCACCTGGGTAGATCTTTAGTATGACTTTGTACAACGAGTTATGGTCTCATAGGCCCCCCTGTCGGGCCTTGGCGCAGCAAGTTAGGAGGCTAATGTGACAATGTGAGGTGTACAGAGTACAATGTAGGGTAATAGGGTTGAAGATTTAGAAAGAAAAAGAAGTCGGTCAGTGAATTTGTTCATATAACCTGCCTTTGCATATATGTATATACCCAGGTTAGGCCGCAAACAGTCAAAATCAAAAAACTCTCAAGGCGAAACACAGGCAGAAACCACCGCCCCCTCAGTCCTCCCCCTAATTGCAATCTCATCTTACTTCAACTTCCCTTTTACTTCTCTCCCCCAACTATTTTTTACCCTCTCTTGGCCCCTACAGATCGCTGGGCGATCTCCAATTCCTACGTTTACCTCTTTATCCCCCTTTCCGCCGTTTCCCCCTTTTCCGCTCAGCCCTTCATGTGTCCGATAGTATCACTACACCACAACGAGCGAATACTGGGTCAATTCCAACAGTTTTCCCGGGCAAATAGCCCGTTGTGAACGACAGTTTACAACTCTTAGCCACAAGCCAGCCCCAATAAACCGATATTCCCCACTCCCCCCCGCGCCAGCCATGTGGCTCTATCGGGGCGCCCAGTCCGCGGTCTTCTACTATGCCACTTGCACCCCCTGCGCCGAAAATCTCGATCGTCGGAAACGTAGAAAGGATGCTTCTCGGGTCCAACGAGAGAAGGAGAAGGAACGACGCAACAACGAAATCGTCACCGACCAACCCCGTCCATTTGCACAGCCAACCCCTTTCAGCACCAATGTAGGTTGGCGAGAGGAAATCTCCTTAGGCCCTGGTCCCCCAGCCCGTCGGGGTGGTCACCGCAATGTTCAAAGAACGGACAGTTGGAATACCGACCAGACCTCCCAACTGAAGAAAGACAAGAGTGGTGGCCTGATGCAACCACTCGGCGAGAAGTGGAAGTCAATGCGGTACCAACGGGAAGATGAGCCTCTCTGGGGACAACAAGAAGTCCGTGGATCGTCCATTGGATTCTCTGGACGTGGTCGCGCAGACCCGAATGAAACATCCAAGTACTACATCCCCCGTGTGCCGCCTGTGAACGACCTCCACCCGCCCATTGTTAGTGGACCGTGTAGCCGTGCCGAAACTAGATGGATGCTCCAGCCGCCACCAAGTGCCCGAGTGATGGCCGGTAAAGCAGATGTCAGTTCCGTCACTTCGCCGACCAGTGATGATTTTAATTTCCGGGGATTTGGCACCGCATCCCGAGCCCCTAAGAACGTGGCTAGGGAGAATTACACTGGAAGAATCAGCGAGGAGACTGGTGACGGCGCTATCGATGACACCACTCAGAACCATCGACCTCGTCGGCCATCGCTGACTCAACTCCGTATCAACTCGGATAGTCCAGACCCAGAATCACACTCTCGAACTGACTCCATGTTCTCCACCGCCAACTCGGATGATCCGAGTCTTGAATGGAAATACCCCGACACTCCGGCATCCCGTCCTCAGTCCAAAGCCACAGATGACATTGATAAGTTCTACCGCCCACAAATCTCGAAGACTCTATCTACAATGCACCGGGACAACAAGAATGTTCACATGCTACACCTAGAGATCAACGACGACAACCGCGATGAGATTGGACTGGGTCAATTACAGCCCATCCGCCCATGGCGTTGGAGCATGGACATCTAAAAAAGCCTCTCGAACACAAAATCCACAACACTCGTCCTCGAATCCTTGAAAATCCCCCTATCTCCCTTCCATTCAGCTTTCCTGGGTTTCTGCTATACGGCGTTTGAAGCATCAAGACCATTCAGCATTTGCTTTTTTGCGTTTTATTTCCTCAGGGTCCTCGGAGACCCCCCTTTTCCACGTTTGCCGAGTGATACCTGATCTCTCGAAGCAAACACCCTCTCGCTCTGCCAGGACCTCGCATCCCACATAGGAATGTACCTGGCTGGTCCGGTGCATAAAAGCGAAACGCCTTAGATCCTGAAAATGATTCCTGTGTCGCTTCACCACAACGACAAGAGAACATGCGAGTTTACCATGACAGCGCTCCTTACTATCCTTTCACAATCCTTTTCCTTTTCTCTCTTGTTTCCCTCGGCACTTTGTGGCCCTGCAGATTTCTCTTTTCTATTCTTCGTCTTTCCTTCAATACTATATATTATCTCTTCCTTGTACCATAATCACTCCCTCTGTTTGGGTTACCAGTACATAGCGTTCGGCCAATGGATGTTTTTCTCTTTTTAGATATTGAATCAGACTAATCTATATAATGCAAAATATATCCCAGAGCTTTTTCCAACTTGTGTTCTTAGACAAGACATCCGGCAGTTGATGTCTTTTATCTAGATCAGGGCCATAATGTTTTCGGAGTATATTTGAACACTGACTGTCTGTATTATAAAATTTGATACACAACATATTTCTAATAAATCATAGATCTCCTACCAAACAGCATATAAAAGGGCGCATGGTATACTAGCTAATAATTCCACAGCAAGTAGTATTTCACATGGGAAGATGGCTGTGAATTTTAGCAATAGGGCAAAATAAGGATATATAGAGGGGTTTGAGCTGCTCAGTGCTTGTAGGTGCCGTCTTGTTAGACACACCCATTGTACGCTACGATTATTATATGGCCGAGGCCAAGGATCATGCAGCTATGCGTCGCATTCAGCGTTAAATTTTCGATTCAACTTTGTCTTCGTGATAGATGCAATTCAAATGCACATCAAAAACTTCGTATGCAGAGAACATGTGTTTTTGATCTCGATAAACAAGAGACCAGGACACAAAAGTTCGAAGTAGAACAGTTCAAAAACAAAGACGCAAGAGAGAGTAGATCAATGGATCTCCTCGGCGTTTCCAAATTATCCCAAATGCAAACAACGCCCAACCCGGCCACGCATAGCCTCTGTAAACCAGCCAAGGGTCTAATGGGGCCCATATTCAAATGCTCAGAGCCCGCGGAGCACCAGCTAGGCAGTCCTTTGTTAATTTCTTTCCCTCCTCGTTGTGTTTGCTAGATGGATGTAGATACCGGGAGATATATAGAGAGAGGGAGAATCGCCTTTCGATCACCCTCTACTCTAGTAGACCTTCTTCTTCTCGTCCATGCTCAATTGGCCGGGGCCCATGTTGACGAGTAGGACCAAGCCACCACTGTAGAATTTATTAGCGTCGTGCATGTTTGATTACCAGGGAGAAAGAACGTACACAATCGACAAGATTTGGAAGAAGTCGTACTTGGCGAAGTCCTTCTGGGGGTGGTGGGCATGCAGCTAGAAGAAATTATCAGTAACCAAACATACAACCAATTGCGTAGAAAAACGTACCGTCCAGAAGTTGTTCACAAACACGTTGAACAGACTCAGGATGACAACAAGAATGATAGCGCTCCACTTGGCCTTGAAGCCAACAATGACCATGACACAAGCGACAAGACCGAACAAGCTGACCAGAATGCGCCAGAAGCTCCACTCGCCGGAGAAAACGAATCCAACGAAGAGGAAGATCAGCAACACACGACCAGCGAACTGGACGTACATCTTGCGGTCCTTCTCATCAAGCTGGGGCAGACCGGCGGGAACGAACTTCTTGCGCACCCACGAATCGGATAGGACCATAAGCAAACCACCCACAACACTCAGATTGCGAAGGAAGAAGTTCAAGTCGAAGATGAGACCGTATCCAAGACCCTGTGTAATGACGACGCCGAGCAATCCCGCGACGGCGAACTCAGTGCGTTTGCGGGCGATGACCAGAGTCGAACAAACGGCCATAGCAATGACATTAGCGATAAGGAAGGTGTGCGTGATTCCCCAGGGAACTAAAGCGAGCACGCAAAAAGCGCGTTAGACAATGATATAGAGGTAGTGTGGGACCATGGACCCCTAAGGTCGCGCGGATCGGGGTCCGGGAGCAAGGGCATTATCTTACTCTTGCGGAAATCACGGAGGTAGAGGAGCTGATCGTTCCATTGTGTGAGAATGCGCAGCGAGTCTTCGATGAAGGTGACTACGATCAGGAATCGGCCGACAGCGGGAAGGTAGCTAGAGAGCGAAAGAACAGGTGTTAGTGCATGCCTCGAATCCCTTGTTTTGAGCTCTCTCGCGACTCGGCCCACGACACGGGTAGAAAAAGGCCAAAAACAAAGCGTGAAATTGAAACATACGGCTTCACTGGATCGGCCAAGGTGTCCAACCAGTCCTCAATCTTGCTTGTTTGCTCGCGAATTGTGTCCAGTGGACTTGGGTCGCTGGTGGCATCTGCGCTACCGGGCCCGCCAAACGGGTTCTGGTGGCCGAGGTTGTAGCCCGCAGTGCCACGAATTTGGGCCATGGCGGAAGAATGAAACAAAAAGAGAGTGAGAAAAAGGAGAGGAAGAAGAAATTGAAGTTGAGTTCTCACAGGTTGGGGAGGAAGAAGTCTTAAGACAGGATCAAATACCAAGGAGTTGTATACAAAGCACCTTCAGGCCACGATAACCGGAACTGGCCGCTAAACCGCTTTTGGAATAGTGACGACACAAGACTCTCTATGATCTATATACTAACATTGTTAGAAAAGCTCTACATTCTTGCCCTTTATTGGGTTTTAGATCAAGCATTGGTTATGATTTCATTGCAATACAGATTTTGCCAGGTAGACTAACAAAGAAAAAAAAAAAAAGAAACTTGCACAAACACAGCGTCAGATCCATTCCCGCAATTCTGCTTTTGTTTCCGCAGTGCAGTTCTTCCTCCTTGCACAACTTGCAAGGGGAATCTACCAATTCCGCTCCTAATGCGTTGTGGCAATCTCCCAGGCCCCGATTGTTGAGGGGAGGGAGAGTGCTCGAATGATGTGACACCCCCAGAACGCCCAAAAAAAAAGAAAAACAAAAACAAAAACAAAAACAAAAACAAAAACAAAAACAAAAAAAGGGTAATAAATACATTTCAAGATGAAGAGAGAATATGAGAGAAAGACTTCATGGCAGAGGAAAATGCTCAAGCGGCCCAATCAGAGTCCAGGGGGTGGCCCTTCTCACGCGAGCGCAAGATATCGGGGAGGTAGGTTGGGGTCACGGTCACACGAGGCTCAATGGGGGCAGGAGCGACAGGAGTAGACTGGTTCTCCGAGGCACTGGTCTCACTGACACTCTCGTCAGACTTGCCACCCTTCTTCTTAGGCTGCTTCTTGGAAACAGTGGTCCATTCGTCATCGCCGTTGGCAGCTCCCAAGAGGCGCATCTGCTCCTCCTCCGAGGGGAGGTTCTGAGCCCACTTGGTAGGGGCAGGGGCAGCAGGGGACTCGAATGTATCCAGGAGACCGTGAGAGGCGGCAGCAGCAGGGACGGCGGGGGCAGAGCGGGATCCACCATTGGTCTTCGCCGGCGCAGTGCTCTCCTTGGTCTGCCAAGCGTTGGCAGCGGGTGCGGTCGATCGGGCAGCCTCGCGGCGCTCAGACTCGCGAGCGGTGTGCAACTGCTTCTCAAGCAGCTTCTTGCGCTCAGCTTCAGCCTCCTGAACTTGCTGCTTGCGGGCCTCGTTCTTAAGACGCTGCTGGCGCTGCTTCTTGGTCTCCACCTCCTTGAAAGTCTGGACCTTCTGCTTCTTGGGCTGGTTCTCAACATTGCCAGTAACGCGGAGCACAGATGCACCGGGGGCGGGGGCCTCCAGCATGTCGGAAACATATCCGGCCGAGGGGACAGTGGCGTTCACCGCGGGGGACGCGGCGGGAGACAGATCGTCATCAGCCTCAGCGCCAGTGGTGGAGGAGGCACGGGTGTCGCTGGTCTGAAGCTGCGCAGCCTTCTTCTTGTTCTTCTTCTGGCTCTTGGTAGGAGCGGGCTTGGCAGGAGCGGGCTGAGCAGGGGCGTTGGTCTTGAGGCCGGCCATGCGGCGGGCCATCTCCTTGCGATCGATTTCCTCATCTGGCTTCTCGTCCTCGGTGGTGGGGGGCGAGACAACGGTCTGCACCTCAGATTTCTTGGCGGCAACCGGCTCGGGGGCAGGCTTAGACTTGCGCTTTGACTTCTTGGGTGCTACAGTGGCCTCAGATTTCTCCACGGCAGCTCGAATCACGTTTGCCTTGGGGGTTGTGCCATTGGTGTAGTACCAGCCGAGGCCACCTGCCACGACGAGCAAGATTGCCCAGCTAATGTAGGGATTCATGGTCATAGAGCTGTGCACTCATAAGTCAGTACCATCAACATTGTCATGGTGGTTGCTAGCGTGGAACTTACTGTCTGATTGAAAGCTATGTAGGCGGAGGATGTGGGTTGAGAGGGGAGGTAGGATCAAAGTTGCCGGATGAGAGGGTAGGACAATTGCGCACGCGCACTTTGAAATTGACACGCGCACTGAAAGCTGAGACAATTGCGCTCAGTTACAGAAGTTGTGTCTGAAGGGAAGGTCTTCAATCACGAGGAGACTCCACGTCGGTCAATTGACCGGAGTGCGCAGAGGATTCGCGGGGTGACGAAGCCGCGGATAGTAGTGATAGGAATAGCGCAATGGCGCAAAAGGAAGGTAGGATAAACAAGAGAAGAAGTTGAAGAGAGTAGAGGATGAGAAAGGAGGAAAGGCGAGGAGTAGAGGAAAGGGCAACCGTGGCAGATCCACTCGTACCGTGACCGTAATGGTAAGTTACCAAGCTCTTGGCTTTGGAATTGCACATATTCTGTCCCTTGTCTACTTGGCGTCTTTTGATTTTATTTTATGTCTGAAATTATTGTGAACTTGATATATCATCTTCATGTTGACTGGGTTTTCAACTGTACCGTACACTGGTGCTTGGGGACCGAAGAATGTGATGCTCATACGGAGTATGGAGATTTGAGCATTGCCGTACAGAGTACTGCAAGCTGTCATCATATATTCAAATGTTTTGTATTCAACGTACGGAGTACCTGGGGAACAGTGCTCTCTGCCCAGGGCTACAAATGGATAGTGTACTACATATGTTGTACATATGTATTGTATGTAATATCCAAGCTAGTTAACTAATAGCTCCAAGAGAGGACATGACTTTCACTGGGCGAACAGGCCACGTCTCCGCCTGTCTCTCTTCTCTCCGCTTTCTACGTTCTAAACCGATTTATATCTTACTAGCGCGTTCTGGGTAGACCTCCTGAGCATCTGTTTAACATTCGATTAATCGATTTTTCCGGGAGCCGGGAAGCTTGGAGATTGCCGATCCGGCAATCTCTCATCAAATGTTTCTTTTACCCCTTACAGTAGCCCTCACGCCCACCACGAGGAAATGAGTTACTAATAACAGACAACCAGGTCCAATTGGCGGTCTAAGTCATGCATTTGATGCCTGTGAAGCCTATCGAATCCCAGTCAACGAGTCTAAGACCTGCATTATGCAGCGGCACCTTGAAAGGAAGGCTGGGATTGGTGCGATGGTCATGCACTCCTTAAAATGCAATTTAACCAAGTCTTCGATATCCTACTAGTTTCTTACTCTTTGGTGTCTTATTGGCTATTCTTTACTCCTTATACCTAAACTATTCTTCTTTGTTCCTATTTTTGCCTCCTATTCCACTGTTTTCAAGACCGGCCAGACTATAGGGTTTCTTTGACCGACTGACTACTGATATCTATGAACCCCTGGAGCCATTGTGACTAATGCCAATGGCCCCTCTATTGGTTTTGATGTTATAAGAAACAAAACTGAAATAGTCCCATTATACAGGGTAAGCTATGCAAATAAATATCTATAAAGTTAAAAGCTAAAAGAATGTACACATGGATGAAATTGAATTGAAGAAGTGCCATCTCTGATCTATTGAAGATCATTTCCAAGTCTCTTGATTGGTATGGGGTCATAGTAACACTGAATGGAAGGGTCGCTGATAAATCAGAAACAGCGAGCAATATCACAGTAATATATGAAGCGGGGCATATTCAGAACGACATCTAGTCTCGAAATTGCATGCATTTGCCCCAAAACCCCAGGCTCCCTCGGGGCCGCGCTCGGAGGGTAACAGGCTTCCCCGCCCAATAAATCTTCATTAAATAGCTCGAACGTTTTATTTCATAAGACGAATATCCTCCTAAAATCTTGACTTCCCACTGCCTTGCTGTGCCTTTTAAAAGTATCACTGAAGTCACAATAAGATCCTCTAGAGCCAATATAAATGGAAACCATGCATCGAAGCACAGAGCTCACACCTAATGCATCGGCCAAATATGCCGAAGTTAAGCCGCCAACCGCACCTGATCTTGCTCCCATTGCTATAGCAGCTCGAGGGAAAGAGATCACTGGTCTAAGAATCTTTCAAAGAACGACAGATGATATCACGGACTAGGATAGAGGAGCTCCTTTTAGCAATGAGCATTGACCAGCCAACCGGAGGCGTGAATATGACATATGGAAGTGGAGACGCTAAGTATCTCCGCTATTGGAAGCCTAAATCCCCCAACGCTCCGATCGTCCTCTTTGTCCACGGGGGCAGTTGGCGATCAGGGACCTATTTAGACTTGATTGGATCCCCCAAAATTACTCATTTGACCGGCCGAGGCTATGTCTTCGCCATTGTCAACTACACACTCATCCCATCTGCGACGATGGAAGAGCAGGTGCAGGTGGCCGACTTGCTGGTTTACCTGGTCAGAAATGCAGCCACACTAGACTTTGACCCCCAACGAGTCATTCTGATGGAACACAGTTCGGGTGCACATATTGCCACGCTACTGAGGACTGATGAAAGATACTCCGAGAAGGCAGGGATCGATATTTATATCGTGCGGGCGGTTATCTCTCTCGACGGCTCAAATTACAACGCAGTGGCGGAGATCACCGACAGTTCGCGGCCGGTAGCGGAGAGCACAATCAGAGGGCTCGGCACTGACCCAAAACGACCGAAAGATGAAGGTTTCGAGGACCATATGCAAATGCCATTACGCCTTGGCGACTCCACCTATCCTGCAACATTGGTTATGAATAACTGGCTCAAAGTGCATGTTCCAGTAACCATCCCAAGTACCTGATCACTTTCACTCTTCCAGAAGTGCTCCACATATCAAATATCAGTAAAAAGATAGTATGCTGTTACTGAAGAATGGACATATATCCCTAGAACCTCCCATTTTGTTGGGCATAGTGAGGCTCGGATTGATAACAGAGAGAGTTGGGTTGGTAGTCCGGGGGCCGTCGGTCACCGGGATTGCAGTCCTAAGCCAGGGTTAGTATGTTTTTCTTCAGTGACTCAGTCTGTGTATATATCATGACCCCCATCGCTTAGGATTGGAATATATCTTAGTTGTTATTTTAATAACAGTGGAAACTCTGATATAACCGTTGAAAGTGTTATATGAGTTGCCTACGAGGGGTAAATAGCCAGACGAAACCCCCGCAGCCGATAACATTGATAAGCTCCCACTTTTGCCATTCACCAACATTTGGAGGTCAACAACATTCACCATGGGAAAGAAAATTATCATTGACACTGATCCGGTATGCTCCTTCAGATTAAATTGCTATAACTTCGGTATTGACCATAACACAGGGCATTGATGATATCCTCGCTCTTTTGCTGGCTCTGTCCGCCACCCCAGAGGAGGTAGAGGTTCTCCTCATCTCATTGACATTCGGTAACATCGAGGTGGAGAAGTAAGAGATCCTTTTCTCTGAAGAATTACATTGTCTGACCACATATCTAGCTGTCTCCGCAATGCAGTATCGATGTTCCACATCCTCGAGCGGGAGATGCAGTGGCGTCGGGAGAAAGGCCAACCTGAAGGCTTTGGCAGCTTGAAAGCTTCCCGTCCTATATTGGCTGTTGGTGCAGAGGACCCCCTCGAAGACCAGAAAATGCTTGCTGATTACTTCCGTATGTATTGCTTCACCATATTATAGATGCCGCTGACTGATATACCCGCAGACGGAATCGACGGACTTGGTGGTATTCACGCAACGGTATGTGAAACCCCATATGAAACCGCCTTTTGTTATGGCTTAGAAACAAGTAATACATACTGACTACTAAATAGCACCCACATCTCACTGCTGATAAGGCATGGGTACACCTCTTCGCTAAAGAGCTAGAGGGCGAGGGAATCAAGCCTGTTGAGGATTGCTCAGGTCCCGATGACCACGCATTCACTCCATCCAAACTTCCGGCATATAAGGAGATTCTCCGCGCGCTACGTGATAATGAGCCAGATTCAGTGACTCTGGTAGCAGTCGGCCCCCTCACTAATCTGGCTTTAGCTGCAGCAGAGGACCCAGAGACATTCCTCCGCGTGAAAGAGGTGGTCGTCATGGGCGGTGCTATCAACCAGCCAGGAAATGTGAGTCAAGCCCTTTCCAGACATAAGAAGTATCGAGACAGATTGGCTGATTTTGTTAATAGGTGACACCGGTGGGCGAGTTCAACGCCTACGCAGATGCCGTGGCAGCCGCGCGTATTTTCGCACTCACCTCGCCCAACCCGCACACGACCGTTCCACCCACAAAGAGCGACAAACTCCCACCATACCCTAAGAACCTCAGCCGGCAACTGACTCTCCGTCTTTTCCCGCTGGATATCACCCTCCGCCACAATCTATCCCGCGGTCAGTTCCGGGAGGCCATCACGCCTCTTTTGGCTGCTGGCTCCCCGCTCGCCGAGTGGGTGGATGCCTTCATGGGACACACATTTAGGACCTTGGAGCGCCTACACCCTGGTCATGTTGGTGATGATGCTATGCTGAGTCTGCATGACCCTGTGTGCGTCTGGTATGCTTTGACATCAGATGACCCGAAGTGGGTTTACTCGGCGAACTCGCCTGAGGATATCCGAATCGACACCCTGGGCCAATGGACTCGCGGTATGTGCGTTGTCGACCGCCGCAACCGTCACCGCATTGAAGGTGAGGAGGAGAGCTCTAATGACCATGGTCTCTGGCTGAGCGGCCGTGCTGGCAATCGCATCTGGCGAATGGATGGGTCGCCTGGGGAGGAGAACTTTGGCAATGTCATTATTGAGAGACTCTTCAAGTGATATGCATTTGATAGATAAAGGGAAACACATTTGGTGGGCATAGACGCATATATCAGTTGATTTCTTTAGAGATTGAAATATGCTTTCTCTTTTTGGACCGAGGATATTCCCCAAGCAATCGCAAACATCATTTGCCGTAGCCGGCATATATTTGGATATGTCGGTAGATTCTAGCCAGCTTTAGGTTAATGACTAACCTACCAGTAGTAGCTAGTATCTCCCGAAATATCTCTTAGCAATGCCATCCGTGGGGGTTGGTCTGTACTCCTGTCATATCGGTCATACCAAGCCATATGTTCTATCCACTATAACGCTGGAAAAAGTCAAGCGTGACGCCAAGCTTCTTTTCTATTTTCTGCCCTGGAGCATGATTGGGTCAGTACCAGAAGATCGTCACCCGCTGGAATGTACGGACTATGCGAGGTGTTGATATGAATTACACCAAGGCGCGCAAAACATGCCCTATCGCACCACCCATGTAAATAACTGTAATTCTCCACCAATTTGGCCCAGAATAGACACATGGCTAGATCATCAAAGGATTCGAATTTGTTCGTCACATAAAGTCAATTATAAAATTGTGAGGCGAGGCGGGGGTCTAGAGTTCACAGGAATGTAGAATGCCATATTCTTGGGATCGACCGTGGCACTTACTACTATAGTCCTATCAAACTCGCTAATATCCAACACTACATAATCCAAGAGGCTTTCCCCAGGCAGCTCGGGAATTGACAGCCAGCCCCCAGATCGTTGAAGCCGTCCAGCCGTTTCTATATAAGACGAGTCGGTTTAGGGATAATACCTTCCTAGCAGCTGTCTCACCTTGAATCTCAACATCAGATCAATCCTCACGGACCATCCACTTCCCTGAACTTATTCTTACTCTTCATATCCTCCTCCTCACTTCATCACTTTGCAACATGCAGCTCACAACCCTATTCACCCTTTGTGTGGCTGCCCTGACCAGCACCGCCACTGCAATGCCCCATCTCTCCGGGGCGTACCACGGTGCCCGCCTCTCTGTCCGTGTCCCTACCAATGCAACTAGTTCCCACAATGCTACTACAACGGGTACACGGGGCAAAGCTCCCCTGTCGACGGGATCATCTCACATGAATCGCGTTAATGTTAACCGCTGTCATGAGCTATGCTCGTTGCAGTCTCAGACTTGCTCGATTGCTGTACCGGACGATGATAAGTTTTGGTGAGTTTCCTGTCTTGTCTTTGGTCATTTTTCTTTCTTCGTGAATCGGGTTAACATACTGTTTCTAGCTGGTCAATTTACTTGCAATGCACGGAGAAGTGCCACCCTGAGAATTTCTACAAGTAAATAGAATTGGATACGGAAAATATTTGGAACAAAATGCTGTTTAGTGTCATGGGCCATGCATGTGATATGAATGAACGATCTTTTTTTTGAGAGTTTTTTTTGAGTTTTTTTTTTTTAAAAAAAAAAACTTATATGAAAGTGAACTGAGTGTCTTTATTGCATTTTCTCATGTCTTGAAAATTATGTAGCCATAAAAGGGTCACCAAATCCACTTCAAGTGTATATGCAGGGCAAAATACTAAAAATAGAAAGGATAATGAGTTAGTTTTGTAGGGAGTAAGTGGCACTAGAACAACTACGGAGTACGTAGTTAGTTATTGCAGTTCAACGACGTTGATGCAGAAAATGTTGGAACAAGAGCTGTAGCCACACCTCCCCAGAGCAAATTGAAATATTTGGGGCATGTCTCTGAACGTTGAAACATTCAACTCCGCGCTCAATGACATAAGATCGTCAATGAGCCAGCTTGCCTGGCCTTGGATCCACAATTTGACTCTGAAAAGGCGCGATGTCCCCAGAGAGGAAGCACGTGCCATATGTGGATGAGTCGAGAGGAAGCGGGTACCCGAGGAGTTGTACGGAGTACGGAGGAGGGGCATGAATGCTCTAAAGGAAGACCCTCAAGTTGTAACCGTGGCTTGAAACCGACATAGTACTTTCGTAGCCAATAGGAAAGATATAAAGGTCACTATCGCAAAAAAGGCACATACTCTCGAAGCATAAAGTTGCCTAGGTGAGTCCGTGTAATTATCGAGAGCAAGACTGTCCTCCAATTGATACACGTGCTGGGCTACCTCAATTGATGTAATTAGTACCAAATACAATGGCATAAGCCCCTTTTCTCAATGTAAAATCAAGTACCAAGTACCTACCAATAAGCTCTCCAGGCCCCACTTGCTACTCCAGCAAATGCCCGTTGTTCCTTGAGGCACGAGTCTCCGCTTTGACCAATCAGCGTCGTCCATTGTAGCTCGTGGGCACAACCTTTGGAAGCACGCGACACTATCTATAACCTGAGAAAGCCCTGGACGACGTTCACGGTTATATAGTCTACAACCCCTTGCTGTACAACTCTACTATTCGCAACTTCCCCCAAATCCATCTTTCACAATGTCACGCCTTCCAACCCCAGCCATGTCCGGTGGCTTCATCATCAAAGACAAGCCTGACGGGGATGCCTTCACATTACCTCCCGCCGCATTGAGCACTGGCAGTCGGAGGTCCTCCCGATCAGACCCTTCCTATGTCCCAGCATCCCCGACATCCCCTGAACTCTCCGGCCGCCGTACAAGTCACACCGCGCGGTCGGGTGCATCTACCAAACGCCCACTCGAGGATTTTGATTTGCCTCCGCCACCGACTAGAACTCGCAAGATCATCCAGATGAAACCAAAGTCACCTTCAAAACCCCCTAAGACGAGGGAAAATGGCAAGGGCTCACAGAGCTCAGAAGACGCAATGCCGAACCCCACATCAAACTCTAAAAGAAAACAGCCAAGTGCCACTAGTGCTGCAGGACGCAAGATCGCCCGCAAGACCGCACACAGTCTAATTGAGCGCCGGCGACGGTCCAAGATGAACGAGGAGTTCGGCACGTTGAAGGATATGATCCCGGCATGCACTGGGCAGGAAATGCACAAGTTGGCTATTCTTCAGGTACACCAGTCACATCTCTT